CGACAAGCGCGATGCATGGCAGGAAGAGCCAGAATCCAAGATCGCAGGGTTGCGACTTGAAGGGACGAGGCTCTGGTACCACGACAAGGCCTACGTCAGGCTTGGTGACCAAAAGGAGCTCATTCAGAAGATCCACGAGTCAAGACTCGGGGGACACATGGGAATCGGCAAGACAATCGCGAAAGTCAAGCAGAACTACGACTTCCCAGGAATCAAACAGGCGACAGAAGCAGTCCTAGCAGAGTGCGACCGCTGCGGACGAAGCAAACCAGGACGACACAAACCATATGGGCTGTTGCAACCATTGCCAGTCGCAGAACGACCATGGAGTTCGGTGACGATGGACTTCGTCACCAAACTACCAGTCTCCCAGGACTCAGTAACGGGAGTGGAATACGACAGCATCCTCACAATGGTGGACAGACTCACCAAATGGAGCTACTTCCTCCCTTACAAGGAAACATGGTCGGCAGAACAACTCGCAGATGTGATCTACCGCAACATCACCTCGGTCCACGGATGGCCGGAGGAATGGATCACAGACAGGGACACCAAGTTCGCATCAAAATTTTGGCAGGCTCTGATGACAAGATTGGGTACGAAGAGTAAGCTTTCAACCGCTTACCACCCACAGACGGATGGACAGACGGAACGACTCAACCAGGTCGTCGAGCAATACCTACGGTTGTACGTCAATTTCCAGCAGGATGACTGGGTCGAGCTGTTGCCAACGGCACAACTCGCCTACAACACCACCGTCACGGAGACCACGAAGGTCACGCCATTCTTCGCGAATTACGGCTACGAAGCAGATTTGCGACAAGGGCCCGAGGTTTCGGTGCCCAGAGCGGCAGTCAAAGCCGACAAGATGAGCTCGCTGCACGCGATGCTCAAGGAGGAACTCGAGTTCGTACGAACCAGGATGAAGAAGTTCTACGACAGAAACAGGCTCGAGGGACCTCGCCTAGAAGAGGGGGGCAAAGTTTACCTCATTTCTCGAAATCTTCGCACAAAACGACCAAGCAGGAAGCTCGACTTCCGCAAAATCGGGCCGTTCAAAATCGACAAAAAGATTTCGGAGAACAATTACGCACTCGCGTTACCCTCGACAATGCGACTACGGACCAACGTTTTCCACATCTCGCTTCTGGAACCAGCGCCCAAGGGCGCACGACTCGACAAGGACGCCGAGGCAGAAGATGAAGAGGAGGAATGGGACGTTGAGGAAGTCCTAGACTCACGCATCATGAAAGGACAGTTGGAGTATTTGGTCAAGTGGCTGGACTTTGGTCCAGAAGACAATTCATGGCAACCAGCTACGAATCTCAACTGCCCCGAGAAACTCCAGGAGTTCCACCAGAGGAACCCGGATCGACCAAAGGAGGCGTCAAGGACCAGTCGAAGTCGGCAGGGAAGTCGGCGAAGGAAGCACTAAGCAACGGTTAGGAACCAACGCCACGCAACACGGCAAACACGAACCTCGGAACCCAGGAAGGGTCGGACAAAGCCTCCTCAGGAACAGGCTCCACTGTTGACTGAGCAGCAGCATTCTCAGCCTCTCGTCGCTTCGACTCTTCTGTTTCCTGCCGCTCCAGTTCTTCCAAATCCTCGATGGTAGTGACACCACGGGATAAGGCACGAGACATCTTCTCAGACCACCTTTTCTTCGAGAGACGAAGACGATTTATCTTCGCGTCCAGTTCAGCCCGTTGGCGCTCGGCTTCTTCCATTTCAGCGTCCAACTTATCGTACTGGCTAGTGATACGACGCAGTTGCTGCAGAGTAACGCCTTGAGCGTCACAGTGAGGCTCATGGTGAGAGACGCACTCATAACAACTCGCGGAGTCGGAGGGAGACGCCTTGCACGTGTAACCCCGAGATTCACAGAAGGAACAGGAACGCTTCATGGTGATGGCGTTTCGGAGGATGGCTTCAAGAAGGGCGTCGCGTTGTTCAGCTTTCTTTTCAGCGGTCAACGACCTGGTGGGTTTCTCCACGCGATTCCCCATGATGATCAGCAGGGTAAGGGGGTAAAGGAAGAAGAGTACCCACCTGGGATTCGGGCTGTTGGCGCTACTTAAGGGATGGGGAGGTTGGCAAGTCTTTCGGGACGCAAGACCTGGAGGAGGGGCATCGTGTCACGGTCATGGTCGCATGCAGGGCTATGTGGGGGCTGCGCGGGAAGCGCCCCAAGCCAATCATTAAGAATGGGCCTCCGGCCAATCAGCAGAGGAACGGAGGGAACGACTACCGTTCCTCAGGTGCCATAAGGAACGAAGGGAACGGCTACCGTTCCCTATGTTCCTAGGGAAAAGTACGAAGGTACCTATGGACTTAGATAGTATATAGTCACTCGTTCTGGAGAGCTCTGGGAGTTCTCCAGTTAGCAATCACAACTACAGTTCGCTACAAGATCGAGAGCCTACTGTTGAGACAAGTCTTTGTTGTGCACCTTTTGGCTGCACCGAACCTAAGCACCCTTGAGAGAATACCTTCGACCGATACTGAACCCTAACAGGACGGGTCCAGAGACAGGTTCGTCACATCTGGGCTATCTTCGTTGTCTGGATTCAATAGGTCGGTTACTGTAAGTGGTTGTTGCGTATAGCCGCTATCTGTGGGCTGAATCTTCTAGGGGAGTTGTCTGGGTATGGCGATTGTGGGTGGGTACGGTTGGCGGGGTGTAGTTGGTGGTGTGTGCGGGCTACGAAAAAACGCGGGGTAAAGTGGATGCGGCTGATCTGGTTGGTTAAAACGTGTTAGAAAAGTGGGTACTGGCCTGAATAGGTTTAGGATGACTTACAGTCTGGTGCAGCCGTTTTGCAGTACCCTGGGCGGTATCTTGAATTGACTGTCGAAATCTGGGCTTTTTATGGTTGACTGGGCTGGGCTGATTGATCTGGCTGATTTGCGCGCCCTGTCGAAAAAGAATGAAAATCAATAAAAATCGGTAGAATCAATCAAACCCTTGAATGCGGGCGATTTTTTCGATTGGCGGGTGGCACTGCAATCAACTGGGCTAAGCCAGTTTGGTGGGTGTAGGGAAAATTGTTGAAAAGATTGTTGAAAAAGTGGTGGAAGTGGAAGGATTTGGTCCCTGGAAGAAAGAAGGTTGTGGATCAAAAAGTCGAAAAGCTGAACAGTTGGTTGGTTGTTGGTAACCAGGCGGCCCTGTAAAATCTAACTGTAAATGGCTTAGTTTGTGGGGCAAGTTACGCGCTAACAAACAAACCAGTGTTGTACTGTACATTACTTTGGCCAGCCGATCAGGGCCTTAATAGGGTGTCGCCCGGCGCTAAGAACCAGTCTGTCGGGAACGTCCTTCCCGTGTTCCCCGCCCTTCGCAAGAAAGGTCAGGACCGCCAGGTCAAGTCTTGCCGGGTTGTCGCCATCGCTCATCCGCTCGAATCGCGGCTTGGCGTCTCCGAGTTTGTCAGCGACGTGTTTTCCACCTCGTCGATTCAGCCCTCCGGTCGAGTTCCGGATGCCGGATATGGTCTTCGGCCGTATCTGGAAATATGACATTGTGTAACCGTTCCGGGAAATGCACTGCTGGTGCTTGTGGAACACCAAAAGGGTCTCCGTCCATTGGTTCTCCCTCGGAGCGCCACTGTGTGCCCGGCGAGGGAGTGCCTGGGGTGTCTGAGGGCGAGCCGCGCGGTCTTTTTGATCTCATGAAGCTGCCTTCCACCGACATGCTGCTCACACCGAGATCAAGTGCGGTCTACCGAGCCTGGAATCCACGTTAGCGGGTCACTCTTTATGATAGTATCCAACCTTCCGTCCAAATGAAATAAAACGCGAGTTAGAGTATTTTATACACATCGTCTTAATGCCCTTTGCCTCTCCCCCTTCTATCCCCTTTTCCACTTTTCTTCCCTCATTTTTCTTTCCCTCCCCCTCTGCCCCTATTCTCCCAACCCATACACCCCTGTCAAGTGTTCCATCCTGACAAACAAGTATGGGTTGACCTGTCGTCACACCCGCAGACTCTGGGTTCTTCATTTTGACCCCGTGTTTCAGCCCGGATGGCTACAGCCACATGGCAACCCTCGGCTCGGCGCTTCGTACCTGCAGCTGCCGGTCAAGTCGTCAAGGCGGGCCGAGCAGTACCACTCGGTTACGAAGACCTCGGCACCTTGTACCCGCCCCCGAGGTCGACGGCGCTAAACAAACAAGCTTGCTCGCACATCAAGCAACTCCTTGCCTATCTTGATCAAACAACCAACATGAGCCCGGGATCACATCCGAGCGTGTTGGAGGCTCGGAATAGCCGGGTGCTATTGTGTATCGGTCCCTCCATTTCTCGCTGGGCGCCTTGTCCCACCTTTGGTTGTTCGAAGAAACTCACCCCCCCCCCCCACCTTAGCTACCTAATTATGTCGAACAACGAAGCCCGAATAAACTCAAGAAAGCAAAGAGTCCGACATGACCAAATCGCTGACTCTCGAGACAAGTTGACCTGTTGAAAGTATCATGCATTCCCAGCCATAGTCCTCCGAGCTCCGGCTGACTTCCGGGCCACAACAACCTTAACCTCTTCTCCGGGTGTATACACATGTCGAACCTGTCGACGTGGTTGATAGTACATTGTCGGCGCTGGTCGCAAAAGTTGTGGGACTGCTGTCGTCAGCGTCTTCTGTCTCGATATGTAGAAGTCTCTCGGCGTCATCGGGTAGCGGTATCGGACTAGATCAATGCCAAGTGTCCCTTGACCTGGTTCAAAACCTTGTTTGCTCCAGTGTGAGACCTACGAGGAGACGTTCAGTAGCGTGACCCGAACTTCCGGTTTGAGACGTAACAACAGTCTCGGGGCCTTTTCTTCCTTACCTACGACCAAAACACCATCGTAACTGACAATGCCAATTTCGGGAGATATGGCTCTGGAATAAACAAGCGAAAGGGGCTCAACCAGAGCAAGCACCTGACCGAGACCTGTGGTTACCCAGCGTTTGACAGGTTCGGGTTATAGGAGGCTTATGCAATCTCAATAAAGTACAGGACAGAAGCCATCCTTGCCGTGTGTTCAACTCCATGTTCCACCCGTTGATACGAGGCAACATCATGATAATGCTAGACACATTGACTCTCTGGCCGTCGGCTCGCGAGTCCGCCACGTTGCGGTAAGATGGTTCCCTCGGTGGAGTATAAAATAAGCCCAACGCCTGTCTCTGAGGGAGAGAAGACACATTCCAGCGGGCAGATTCCCCGGTCACTACATCGGCAATAACACGTCTGGCTGCCCACAAATCGTCTTCTATCGCGTCCGCATTTACCATCCCTAGACACCTTTAACCACGGCATCCCACTTTACGATGCGTTTCCTCCCGCTGCTCGTCCCCCTGGCCTCGGCCGAAACCCTCGGCTCCTGGACCATCTCCGCCCTCTCACGCCGTATGTCAACCCCCTTTCCTTCTTCTCAACAGCACCCCAACTTTCCCCCGTGCCCCCGACAAGAAAAACACAACTAACACCTCCATGTCATACCCTCCAGAATGCACCCCCTCCAACACAGCCTGCACCTACACCCTATCCCTCACCACCCCCGACCCCCCCAGACAGCAGCACCAGCAGCAGCAACAACAACACACCTGCACCTTCACCATCACCTCCCCCGACCCCGACCCCGCCAACCACCCCGCCAGCCACACCGACTTCACCGCCATCCCCTGCCACAACTCCAACCCCAACACCAACCCCAACACCAACAACGACAACGACATCAACATCCAGAACAAGTACACCTACACCCTCACCGGCTCCTGGAACCCACAGGGCTCCTTCCTCACCCTAGTCCCGACCGACCCGGCCGCTGGGCGCCATGCCTTCTTTGGGTATGGCGAGGCCGAGCTTGCGGGGGGACGGGTGGCGGGGCTGCGGAGGGCGGCGGTTTATCGTGTTGGGGCGTTTGATGGCGCTGGGGAGGACGTGGTTAAGGAGGGGGTTGGTTCTAACGGGGGTGGTGGTGGTGGTGGTGGTGTTAGGAGGGGGGTTGTTGAGAAGAGGGGAAGGATGCGTGTTGGGATGGAAATGATGGAGGAGGAGGGGAGTGAGATGATGGGAGGGGGGGTGGAGAGGGTTGGGAAAAGGGGTGACGCGGAGGAGGGTAGCAAGTGGCAGATCAAGGGGCTGACGCGGTGTGAGTGTTCCTGATTCCCCTGGGTAGGTTGAGGCTAACAATACCCGAACAGTCCCCGATATGGCCGCCAACACGACAACCTGGCAGTTCACCATCGTACACAGCGGCGGCGAAGAAACGCACTGCTCGCCCACGGCGCCCACTAGCGACCCGGTGGGCAGTTTCTACGGCATCCCCTGCGGCATCAACGACGACGCAGACTTCAAAGCTTCGTGGGGGTACAACAGTGACGCCGACAGCGCTGTCATGACGCTGTGCTAGTAAGTATTCCCTCAGATCATGCCGTCACTGTGACACGGACAGATTCCTGACGATGAGCCAGCGTGCCGAACGGAACAGACGCGTGGTTCGGGTACGAGCAAGTCTCTCACAACCAGTGGCTGGGAGATTCCAAGAAGGAACCGGTCTATTATACGGGTTGCGGTTGAGGAGCTAAAGCTGAGGCGAGGGTCGAGTCTATCGAAATACAAGGGGGCACACGTCGACTCACTGGACTGGTTCAGGTGCCACCTCTTTACAGCTTGTGACGTTCTTCTTTAGAAACCTACGCGGTGAATTCAATATGTGCGGTGGGCACAAAGTTAATTCGTTTGTCTGTGACTCTAGTATCGGAAGGGAGGGTATGGTGAGGGTAGACGGGGCTCCATTAAATAAAACTCTGTCCGAGCGAGATATCCGGCACCGTAGTAGCACGGGTAGCCTAGCATCGCATTGGGTAAGGACTTCTCGCCCTTCGGTTTGCGGCCCTGCTTACTCGGGCTTTCGCCCATAGACAACCAACCTACAGGTTCAACGGTCAGCACGACTCACATTCGACCTTGACACAGGACTTACACGGGCCAATAAGCATGTATGCTTCGGTCTTTCAAGTCCTTTCGTACACCGACAAGGAAGGTTTCCACCTCAGTGGCGGACCAGCCCAAGATATTGGTGAAGAGCATCAAGCTGACTCCCTGGATACCGGAAAGAATATTCTCCGAGGACCAGGCGCCTGGCAGCGGGTTAGCGAGTATCGTCCAAGCCGGTCTGGCTCTCCTACCTATCTCCTTGTGTTTGGCATCCTTGGCCCACGTGTTGACGGGCCACTTGTACTCGATCTGAACCACATCCTGGAACCCGGCATCTATCATTTGCTGCTTGTATGATGCCGCCGACCTCATCGAGGCGCCGTGCTTCTCGCTTGCCTCAACCAGATAGCGGTTCCACTGCGCGAGCGGGCAACCATCTGGCAAGCTGCCGTCATCACACGATAAAGGCAAGACATCGGCCAACTCGGCGTAGGCGCCTGGGTTTAGGAATCTAAATGGAGACGTGAGTATGAGGCATGGGCCTTCCTAGGTGATGCATAATGGCGTATAGGAAAAGGAGGTGCTTACTGGTAGCATCGCTCAACTAACCTAGGCCAGTTTTTGATGGACCCAGTTAGCATGCGGGCATATATGAAATCGAACTTTGTCACAAAGGTCCAGTCGCTTTCGAGGTCGTCGACGAAAAACTCGAGGTTGGGGGGGACACTAGTTTTGTGAGCATGATTACTGGCAGTGAGTGACACGAGCAACTCACAAGGTCGGCTGGATGGGGCTTAGATCAACACCGACGACCTGGCAACGGTCAGTGACTGATTGTACACACCACACGGATGGTATAGAATACATACTGATGCATCGGGGTGCTCGTCGGCTGGAGAGGGTTAGAGCCTGGGCCGACATCAACACTGAGGAACGTACCAAATTCTATGGCCCAGATGCCGGTCCCGGTGCCGGCATCAAGAACGCGGTTGAGCGGCCTGTCCTTTCCAGCAGGCGAGAGATACAAATGGTTATCTTGACACAGTAGGAAGAGGTTGTGCTGAAGGTCTGGTTGCTAGTGAGCACGGGGGATGCGGCATGAGGCCTTAGCACCGTGGCGTTGACTTACCCAAGCGTTCATTCTCTGTCTGAGCCGAGACCGTTAGCGGGTAAGGCTGCGCATGAAGGTGTCTCATAGCTTACTTCGTCATTTGGCAGGAAATAGGCGGCTTCTGTTGTGGAACATGTCAGCCAACCGGGGGTGGGAGCCGCATCTTGGGAGGACTGACCGCTTGCCCTATAGGCATGGTAGGTACGGCCATTCTCCTCGCGAAACTTGAAGATACTGGACGAGATGGACGTTGTGTCGCTCACGTCGGCCTAGAAACAGTGAGCACAACACATCTAAATTACATGTGCTGGCGTGGATCAACAGGCTAACCTACCGTGCTGAAGAGGGAATCGCCATCGCTGTCACGCTCATCATCCTGTGTAACACATCGAGATATCAGCGCTGTTTCCTATCATCATCATGCGCTGTCAACCCACATCGGCCTCGAGGGGTCCAATGTTGCCCGGCGGGCTCGCCGCGGAGAGCGGGCTAACGGGGCCGGGCGAACCGGAGGCGGCCCGTGGTGGAGACGATTTCGTAGCGTCGCGTGGGCTGGTGGGGCTCTTGGAGCCTTTTCGAGACGAGTCGCCCATCGTCAAGAGCAAGGGTTCCCAGAATGATACTTTCGTACGTTAAGCAGCAATGGTTTCAATCCCAGTTATGGAATCGACGGAAATACTGGAGATGGAGCGGCCGTGACGGGCGGCGGGCGGGCGGTGGTCACCTTTGAGCATTGGTGGCGTGGTCAAGTCAAGGGTTTTTTCAATCTTGCAACTTGCAGGCTCGGTTGCAGATTGCAGACTGCAAGCAGGTGGCTTTTCCGGCTCTTTCACCCGGAAGGGAGGGGTTACCAATCGAGGGACCAGAACATGCCTGGGTTCATGCGGGGACTGGCATTTGTGCGTGGATTTCGGCCAAGATTGCGACGTGTTGGTGCGAGATGCAGCACTTTGCAGGGAAACCAGGGAAAGAGTGGTGCGTGGGAGATGCCGAAGAGGATGGGATTGCAGGAAAGAACCAAGGGCTAACCCATTTGCAGGTAACTATTCGTACCTCCCGTTGAGGGGAGCCGGCGGCATTCACACCCCAAAGAACCCCACAATCCCGGGGCCGCTCTTGCTTCAGATACTCGTACCCAACGATACGGTAATTTATACCATCCCGATTGCTAATCGCTGGTTCTCGCCCTCCTCGTTACATCGTCTGATGCTTGCCGTAAACTGCGCCTCACCTCCACGACTGGCGCCGTAGGAACAAGATAAAAATACCCGCGCTTGTATTTTGGGGCAACGCGTCTCATTCTGTCTATTTTGGACCAAATAGGGGGAAGTTGCCTCAGAGTATCCTACTTTCCGGGCCTCTCGTACGAAGGCAATTCATGCCCGACCTGGACTTCACATCGTTTTACACATCCTCATACGCGTATTAGTCGTCACCAGCGACGTCAACATGAGGATCGGGTGTCTCCAGTTTGCGCCAAAAGTGGGCGATGTGCCAAACAACATTATGCGAGCCGAAGCCGTTCTCTCAAGGGCGGACCCGGACGACCGAGAGAACTTGGACCTCCTCGTCCTCCCTGAGATGGCCTTCAGCGGTACGAGCATTCTAAGCTCGGATGAGCATCTGGCTAACTCTGCTAGGCTACAACTTCAAGTCGAGAGAACACATCTCGCCGTATCTTGAACCGACCGGGTCTGGGGTCAGCTCCCAGTGGGCGCGCACCGCTGCACGTAAGTATAGCTGCACCGTCGCGGTTGGGTACCCGGAAAAGACCGAGAGAGCAGGGCGTGGGCCAGAATACTACAACTCCCTCGTCGTTGTCGACGACAACGGCGAGAAGCTGGCCGGTTATAGCAAGTCATTTTTGTACTACACAGACGCCACATGGGCCAACGAGGGACGAGGCTTCTACGGGGGGAAGCTGGGCCGCTTGGGACAGACCGCCTTGGGGATATGTATGTGAAGCCATAATAACGTCCCCCACAGAAGCTTTCCGCTGACAGTTCAGGCATGGACATCAAGTAAGAATGCCACAAACTCATCATGCCAGCCAACGCCCGACTAACAACCCAGCCCCTACAAATTCGAAGCACCCTGGGACGCCTACGAATTCGCCTTCCACGTCCTCCACGTGCGGGCGAACCTGGTCATCCTCTCCACAGCATGGCTGACCAACGACGAGCAGAGCGCCTTCCTCTCCTCCCCGGACGCACCCGACTTGAGCACGCTGGCCTACTGGGTCGCGAGGCTGGAGCCGGTCATCCGGGCCCACAGCTCCGAGGAGACCATCGTGGTATTCGCCAACCGCTGCGGGGTCGAGGACGAGGCCACATACGCCGGCAGCAGCGCCGTGATCGGGATCAAAGACGGCGAGGTCTCCGTGTACGGCATCCTCGGCCGCGGTGTCGAGGAGCTGTTGGTCGTTGACACCGAGAAGCCGCCGTTCGGGAAACTAGTCAACCCCCTCGCGGCGCCAGTGGCCGAGGAACCAGGAGCGCCACCAGCACCACCGTCTCCGGCAAGAGAAGACGACCCGGAAGACGGCCCGCCGAAGGGCCCCGGTCCGGGAGCTGGGCCAGGCTACGTCGACTCACCGACGCTGCCCTCAGGCTTCGCGCCACCGGCCTCGAGTAATAGAACAACACATCGGCTGGCCTCATCCCCGCGACCAGCCGCCTCATCCCCCCAACCAGCCGCCTTACCCCCGCGACCAGCCGCCTCATCCCCCCAACCAGCCGCCTTACCCCCGCGACCAGCCGGCACCGGCCCACACGCCCGCCCCAAACTATCCCTCCAAACCAACCTACCCATATCATCAGCCCCCATCGCCCTACCCTCACCAGACGACAGCACCCACCCGCTGTCGGCGATACCAATCTTTGTCGACGTCTACACACCCGACGAGCCCGACGAGCTTGACGAACCCGATGAGTCTTCCTGGCGGGACGGGGCGGTCAAGTTCGACTTGGGCGCGCTCTCGCCGTGGAGTGTGGCGAGTTGGCGCTCTTCGGGGTCGGTTTCAAATTCGGCTGCGTCGTCGCCGTTGGGGTCGCATTGTGGCGGGGTGATACGTGTGGCGGCGAGTCCGAGTGTTTTTAGAGGGGGGTTTTTGGGGGGACGGGGGGTTTGTGTTTGAGGGGTAGTGGTGGTTTTTCTTTTCTTCCTTTTTTTCTTCTTTTCTTCCTTTTTTTCTTCTTTTCTTTCTTTTCTTTTTTCCTTTTCTTTCTTTTTCCCTTTTATCTTTCTTTTTTTCTTTTTTTTCTTCTTTTTTCTTTGGGAGGGAGGTGGTACATACAGTTGGGAAATGGGTATTTATAGTGTGCATACATAGCTGGCGTTGGGGTTTGTTTCGGATAGGGGCATTGGATGTGAGAGGGGTCTGGTGAGAAGGGTAAATTAGGAAGATATGTTAGGGTATCTTACCTATTTGTTAACTACGTAACTCTCGTGCTCGTCTGTGTTAGAATGTGTGGTGGAATCTGCTGGGAAAGAAAAGGGCGACCGACCTAGTATAGTAAAAAGTAACAAAACCTCCTGAGCTGCCACCAAGGTACAACAGAGGTAAGCAACGAAGATAAATACTTTCTTCATTTTGGCTGGAATGTGTGCTGGGAAACAAAAAAGTGAACAAAATATAGCGAGAAAAGAGAAAAAAACCTGAATGCCCCCCTAAATCACCAGCAAAAGTATAAGCTTAGCGATTACTCGTTTCGATCGAGTGACCTCCGGGTTATGAGCCCGGCGCGCTTCCGCTGCGCCAAATCGCTTTAACCTACTGTGCGCTTCCGCACTGGTTGTTGGAATCGGAAAAGGCGGAGGGGTATATCTGTTGGAAGACTCGGATCAATTTCTTTCTGTGGAATGCGGCAAAAAAGGGGCGCGGTTTGAGTCATAACACGACGAGTGTGGTGGGTCAAGGTGGGGCATCCAGAGTGCCAGACGTGCTAGACACCCTCTGGCCAAAAAAACCGATACACCAAAACCGACTTAAGGTGGGCCCGCCTGCAAGTCCCGGCAACGAACGCATCACTCCCGAACAAGCTGTGTATAGACCACTAGACCAGATAAATAAGCGATACCGTGGAAATAGAAAGACCAACAGTCAAAGATTGCATTGCAATTCATTTTATCAAATTCGGGTTTGATTTGGCTGAGAAATACTGCATCAAGATAGTTCTGTGTGGTTTTGGTGTACCTATTTTTTTGCCCATGGGGTGCGAGACTCCCAGACGGTGGACCCACTCTCGCGCTAACAATGACGTTTTTGGCCAGACTCTCTCCACAACCCAACAAACTTCGACTCTGAAGTGACGGGAGAGAAACAAAGAAGGGAAAGTCATAAGCGGACGGAAGAAATGATACCAAAAGAGAGAAAAAAAAGGATGTGAGAGCAGGACGACGTCATTGACGCATCCTCCATTCTATGCCTTTCGTCGCTTGGAAGAGGCTTCCTCGTCGCAATCCTGCAAAACCCATTCGCCTCATTTACTGCGAAGAAAGCTGGAAGAAAACACGTCGAGCCAGCAGGTGTACTCCCAAGGTATCTCATCAATCACGAGGTATCTGGGGCAAGGCGCGAGAGGCTGTGACGGGTTGTGACCCAAGTTCTCATTCGACACTACTATTCGTATCTGTACAGTAAGGTATGCAAGGCTCCCCAGCAATGATAAACACAACCGCTCAAACAACGCCCCCGGCCCGCCATGTATGCCCCTTTCCCAATGTATGCACCTTTCCCTCTGAACCCTACTTGACCCAGATTACAAAATAAATAATACAACCCACCAAACAGTAACAGTACACAACACACACACACAGTCAGCATACAATAAATAGAAGCCCAACCTTTAACCACTCAACAAACCCAGCACCAGCAACCCCTCCCTCACCTTCCCTCTCAACATTGACCCTCTCATCCTCTCTCCCCTCAAACAACCTCCCCCCCTTCCTTCAGACAACCTCCCCCCTTCCTTCAGACAACCTCCCCCCTTCCTTCAGACAACCTCCCCCCTTCCTTCAGACAACCTCCCCCCTTCCTTCAGACAACCTCCCCCCCACCCCACCCAGGCGACCGCCACCCGCCCCAAACCCACCTCCCACTCCCCGACCTCCGCCCACCCCCAGACACAACCCCACCACCACCACTACCACCACCACCATCAAGCTGCCCCGGTGGCGGCGCGAAATACGCTCTCCCTGCCCCCGTCCGTGGCCCCGATGCTGTCAGCGGCGGACTCATCCCCAGCCTAGCGCTTCCTCTTTCGTGCGTGGGTGCTAAGCTCGTTGGGAGGGGCGCGGTTGCGGGCGCGGTGGGGAGGGGGCGGGTTGGCGGGTGGATTCTGATGGGGGAGGGGCGGGGGAGGTTGCGTTTCTTGGGTCGGGGTTGGGGGGGTGCGTCGGTAGTGTTGTGGTTGTGGTTGTGGTTGTGGTTGTGGTTGTGGTTGTTGTTGTTATGGGTGTGGTTGTTCTGTGGGCGGTAGATGTGGGGTTGGGTTTGTGGTTGGGGCTGCCGCCCCTGGTTCGGGATCTGGAGCTTCGGCCGGGCGGGTGGGTTGTGAGCTGATGGGAAGAGGGAAAAGGCCGGGCGCGGACGGGTGTGTGGGATGCGTGAGGAGCGTCTGGGCGGCGGTGCTGTTGGGGGTGTTGGTAAAGGGAGGGCTGGGGGTGGGACGTGGACCCATGGTTCGCCGGCTGGGTTGAGGTAGACGATCGGTTTTCCGCTCCCGATGGGCTTTCGCCTGGGGAATGTTCGCGCTTTCATCGGCGGTGTTGTCGATGAAGGCGGGGTCAAAAGCGGTGCTGGGACTGGTTGGGGCGGCGGCGTTGCGGGTAGCTCGGCGACAGAGGGGCTATGGGATTGGCGGGAGCGCTCGTGGCGGTAATAGCGGAGGGCAATGACTGTGTCGACGCTTCGGCGGTCGCGGCTGTGTGGTTGTTGGGGTGTAGGGGATTCGTTGCTGTCTTCGGAATACCCCAGGTCTAGCAACGCCCGGGTAGAGAGCGAGGACAAGCTGGATGGAGACGACGGCGCTGCGGGTGGTGTTTCTGGTCTGGCGGCGACGGTTCGGTACTTTTTTATGTCGGGATACATCTTTGCTGCTCGCCTGCGCTTTGCGGCCCGGCGACGGTAGGCGAATAGAAGGAAGATCCCGCCACAAAGGATCAGGGCTGCCCCGACGGTAATGGCCACGATGGCAGCCACTGGTAGTATGCTACCGGTCTGGGGGGAGGTTGGCGGATCAGTGGCCTGGGAAGGGATAGGATCGAATCTAGATCCAACGTACGGCGGCTCCGTGCAACACGGGCCGACGTCCACCGTCAATATGCTGCTGGTGAGGTCAAGGGCGGGCAGCGCCTGGGCGGTATATGTCGGCTGCCGTTGATCAAGATGCAAAGTAACCCGACGTCTTACTCGGAACGCCATGCATCATAGACTTTCCAAAACCCCGGGACCAAAGAACGGGCTGGCCATGACTCCCCGTCCCGCGCGGAAGCGAGGGGATAGGGCTTATAAGCGCGAGCATGTCAAGCCGAGCCACACGAGGGCAGAATATCAGACACCTAGGTATGTACCACCACTTGGCCACCACCTTTAGATTATTCTGCCTCATTCCTACGGACTCCCTGCGAGTAAACCAAGCGTGCCGGAGGCGGTGCCTGTTGGCCCACGGTACCGGCTCGGGAACATGAATAGGACGGGTAGGGTGGTACCGCTGACGATGATGCGGCGCAGATGGCCCGCAAAGACGGTGGTACACAAAACCGGGCGCCATGAATACCACCCTCCGTCCGGAATAGGACCTGTTGGCGGTAGATTAAGCGCCGGCGCGCTTAAACAAATTCCAGTTGGGACGGGCAGGCATTTGACAAGCTAGGTACTTTTGCAGGTTTGCAAGCTTCAAAGAACCGGGAGAGCTTGGTTGGTCGCTGGTACCAACAATGTTGGCTACCCGAGTGAACGCCTCCGGCATTTGCCCCTGAAATGGGGGCAAGAGGGGCAGAGCAGCAGAGGGGGGGAACGGGGCCAAGATCAACTGCGCCGCCAAAAGTCCTGAACTCTGTGTACACAACGTCCTGCATGGACGCATGTATAGTACGCGCGGTGCTGGCGGGTAGGCCCTGAAGCAGCTGCGGTTGATGCTGTTCCCAGCTTGGGGACAGCCTTCGCTATGCCGTACCAAGCAACGGTTTTGCCCAAGGATGTGTGTGGTATGGATTCGACCAAAATGGAAAACAATGATCTCGAAATGTCAAGATGTGCCGCCTATTTTGGCTCACCCGCAGGACAATGGGAGGGTGTCAGCGCTTATTCAGAAGCACGCAGAATCCTCGTGGCGGCCATGGATGCAACCGAAGCAATATGCAAGCCACGAACCGACAAAGACGGATGCGGACAGGGCAGGCCCAGAGCTCTGGTTTGGGGGCCCAGCCACAACGTGACCCCCTTTCCGGAGCGGTGCCTTGACCAAAGTTTGGCGGTGGCTGAAAAGGTGCCCGAGTAATCTGGACTCTGAATGTTTGGTCTCTCGACGGTTTCAGGCGAAAGAGTTGGTGGTGTTGGTTCGCAAGTCCATTCCCGCAAGGCGGACCGGAAGTCGGCGGCCACGAATCCGAGTTGCAGTTGGGAGGCGGTGCCGGGCACCGAGGTATGGCCGGCCTGAGTGAAGCCCGCCTCAGCCGGCCAGAGGAAGTTTCAAAGCTTGATACTACTGTGTACAGAAATCGCCGGAAACGGCGCAGAAAGCCGCAGCGCAGCCGTTGCCGCGTATGCAAGGTCCACACCCACGAGTGTTGTTGCAAAAGCGTTCTACTGCAAGGGACGTGAGTGTAAGCGTGGGGCATCTGTTGTTTCTATCTGCAACTGCCGGCAGAGGATTTGGTGGGCGATGATGCAGCATGGAGATGGTTGCTATCCCCAGCCTGTTCTGGTTCCCATGTGGGAAATGCACATTGTGAAAAAATAGGTGTGCAGAGCCCACGGCTGCATTCAATTTCGAATATAATCGAGGCCGATTTTAGGAATAAATAAGACGAGATACTGGGCAAGAATGTCAATTTTCCGGAGACCACAACGATACACATGGTATAACAGTGGGCGGAATAAGCCATCGTTTGTCGAGGGCGTCGTGATTCTTCTTCCCCGCGAGTTTGTGGAAGTGTGAGTGACGATTGTGGCCTTTCCCCACTGCCCTCGCTCGATTCGAAGCCACCCTCCAGCCTGTTTCTTGGCGGGTCTTCCGTTTCATCCCCCGCAGATCATCTTGTCCAATCAGCTTCGCTCTCTCCAAGTTTGTTTCAACAGTCCGTTTTCCCATTGGCTGATTATTGTTAGCTTGGAATCCACTCAAGCGTGTGAATCCCCACCGGCTCCGCCCGCTCGATCGCAGAATGCACGACCGGGATGGTGGGGGATGTGATGGGACGAACTGCAGCTGGTCACTGCTTCCCACACTTTCCCAAATCTCGCAGGTCCAGGTCGACCTGAACTGCGGGAATCACAACCAGTTCCAGGGCAGGGCACGGGCATTGTGATTCGATATTTTCATCGTGGTATGCTCTGCTCCTGTGCGACAAAAGTCCACAAGTCAAAGAAGGGAAAGAAAATAAATTGCCCTCTCTTCCATGATTCCCTCTCTTCACGCATTCGATTTCCATTTTTGCCCTCGATCGATCTCGCTTGCTCAACGTCCGGAATCCTTTCCGTCCCTTTCGGCAGTGGCCGGAGACGGGTCTGCCGGTGTACATACACTAGTACGCCCCAGTAGGTCGTTTCAGGCCCAGCTAGCACAGAAAGTCGGAGGATGGAAGCAGAGTCCCTGCAGCGTGACACCATCACGTCGAATGGCGGGCGCTTACAGGTCGGCACTCTCGACACTTTTCCCAATCAGCCAGCTGACCGTTTCCATGGTGCCACAAGTTTGGACTCTGGTTGACCTTGGCTTCCAAAAATACATCTCAAAACGTGCCTGAACACGACTGTGCCGCTCCGTTCCCGCTCCCCGCCTCCCCGGGGGCTTGCCCCTTGTTTTTCGTCAGGTGCTTCTTGTTTCCCGTCTGGCCGAGACCACATGTATCCCCTCATCTTGCCAACTACCGCAATGGCCCGTCAATATCAACATTGAACGTCGAATAACCTAATCTTTGGGCTGGATCGTGTAGACCTGCTTGGTTGCTGCCATCGAGTGGAGGTTGCCTCGAGACAGTTCTCCGTTCTGCCATCATGAAGATTGCTTGCTTGCAATTCGACCCCCAAGTCGGTGACGTCGATGACAACCTCAACCGCGCCGATGCCGTCCTCGACAAGATAGACCCCGAGGATCTCGACAGCATCGACTTGCTTGTCCTGCCCGAGCTCGCTTTCAGTGGTACGTGGCAACCCCTCGTATTCCGCCGCCATCCGCCCGTGGGCTTTGCGGCTCAGAGATTAACATAACACAGGTTATAACTTCAAGTCATTGCAGCACATCGCCCCCTGTCTCGAAGAGGCTGGCTCGGGTATCACTTCTCTTTGGGCGCAGACCACTGCACTCAAGCACGACTGCACCGTCGTCGTGGGATATCCGGAGAAGGTGGACGTCTCGGAGAACTGGCCGGCATCCCCTGAGTATTACAACTCGGCTCTTATCATCAACGGCGATGGAGACACCGTCGGCAACTACAGGAAATCTTTCTTGTTCTACACCGACGAAACTTGGGCTCTGGAGGGCGGCAGTGGATTCTTCAAAGGCAACATTGACGGACTTGGAAATGTCGCTTTGGGTATCTGTACCGATCTCAAGTAGGTTCTCCGGAACCCACCATACCTCCCATTCCATCCGCTAACATCACAGCCCTTACAAACTCGAAGCTCCCTGGGAGGCCTTTGAGTTTGGTTTCCACGTCATGAAAGCGCAGGCAAACGTGGTGATAGTGTCCATGGCCTGGCAGACACATCAGGATCCCGGCTTATTCGGCGCCAACCCCGCGGAACCCGATATCGAAACACTGGTCTACTGGGTCCAGCGACTCGAGCCCCTGATTCACGCAGACCAAGAGGAGGAGGTTATCGTCGTCTTTTGCAACAGGACCGGCTCCGAAACGGAAGCCACATACACGGGTACAAGTGCTGTCATCGGTATCAAAAAGGGCGAGGTGTTCGTCTATGGAGTTCTTGGGCGTGGGGTGGACGACTTGCTCATCGTTGATACGGACCATCCGCCCATGAGCAAGCTCACTGATGCCGACGCCGTAAAGAGCGACGAGTATCCCACCGAGGCGCCCGCCTTGGATGTGGAGGACGACTTGCGGACGCACCGAATCCCGGACGATACCCTGATCGGAGAAAGACAAGCGTACCCATGCTATCCTGCCGACTCTGGGGTCGGTGTCGAACTCGATAGTCCCCAACAACCAACCTCTCCCAAGCTACCCTGGCTCGCACAAGTCCCCCAGCCGGGTGAAACTCCCACGGACACCCGCTCACCGACCCGCCTGCAAATCCCTACCCGGCCCCAGTTCGACGAATACGTTACCATTGACAGTGCCATCTCAGATGATATCATAATCGACACGCCGGCCGTGGGAGATACCCCGGCCCTCGATAGACGGCAATTCCGCCCCAAACTAGCAGTTCCATCATCGCCGTGGAGGTTTCCCACTAAGCAGAGCCCGTATCCCTGGCACCACCATGACGGGTCACACTCTTCGGTTTTTGGTGGCGGGGCTGCCATGACACCCATTACGCCGTTTGACGAGGACGGCTGGAGCTCGACGCCGATCGAGCAGAAGGCCCCGCCCCAGTGGTTTTGGAAGCATGAACCAACACTGTCGGCTTTGAAGGAGTCGATCGTGGAAGAGGATGAGGATGAGGAGGAGCCAAACGAATCACCGGACACAAGGATGCCGCATTCCGGAACGGAAACCAAACTGGAGCCAACGCAGTTCGAGACTCAAAATACTGTTTCCGAGAGCGACGACAGAAAAGCAGATGGTGAGGCGGAAGAATTTGATCCAGAGCCAGACACCGCACCTCTGAATGACTGGGCCGAACTCGCCGGCGTCTTGGGAGGACTAAAAGCACGACCTGGCTCAGCATTCGATTTCAAATCGTCCCGCGACGACAGGCCCAGCTCGCCCAAATCGCGATACCCGCCTCGAACCTCAAGTCCATTTCAGCTTTTTCAACCATCTGAGTTGAGCTATGGAGAGCAGGAACAGACCGCGTGGGGAACGCTTGATTCAGATCCGCCACGATCAGTGGCTGGGGACATCTGGGACGACGGTGACAATGATAGAGGCGGGGGTACGTTGTTTACATTTGCCAGGCCGTCTAGCGGGGCAGATCACAGATCATCCCAGAGGAGCTATTCGTTCGACAACCCCAGCGGCAACCGGGGCCACGGTGAGTGGGCAAGCAAACGTCAACCATCCCGTCTCCGGCACGCCATCTTCGCGGAGGAGGCTGCGGAGGATGAGCCAGACTACGACTCGGACGACTACAGCCCCAGGCATATCAGCATAAGCCGCGGGAGACAACCCAACTCCCAGCCCTCTCCCGCCCTCGACCAGCCGAGCCCTGTTCGTGAGAGTTACCCAGACGCATACCCAAACAAGGACAACAACCCGCCGCCCCCCCGTGACAACGACTCAGGCTGGCCACTACACCCCAACCCTAACACCAACACCAGCGACCCCGCCCCATCCAAAACCCAACAACAAACACCGCACCAAAACAGAGACGACCACCTCTCCCCCCTCTCCATCGACCCAACCCTCGACATGCACCACCACCAAAACACAGCCACAGCCACACCCAGCCTCTGCTCAGCAACCTCAGCAACATCAACCACCTCGGTGTCGACATTCGCCGACCACCCGGGCGTTGGGGAGCCACCCAGTCTGCCGCGGGCAGACGCCGGCGCCTGGTTGGATGATGATGCACCAGTTAGGTTTCGGGAGTATGGAGGCGGCGGTGGCGGTGGTGGTGGTGGTGGGGAGCCGGGTGCTGTGGTGCTGGCTGGGGAGGGCGGGGAGAAGGTTGGGGAGGTTTGGTTTGGAAGGGAGGGGCTGCCTGCACGGGGGTGTTAACTAGTGGTTGGGTTGGGAGTGGGTGGTGGTGAGGTGGTGGGTTTCGTAGGTGTTTTTGAGGTGGCGGGGGGATGGGGTGGGGAGGGCCGATGATGTTATGATACTAGGACTTGCTTGCATGTTTTGATGGGGTTATGGGGATCAAAAGTGCTGGGAGGAGCGGTGGTGTTGGGGTCGAGGTTTGATGAAGGGGTTGGGAGAAGAAAGGGGTTTTGGAGCAAGCGGAGGGAGTCATGTTGTTACTCTAGGTGTATTATACGCGCATAACTAGGTATATCATACAAGGCATTTGGTTGTTTTGTACTTCTTGACGACATTGCCGTTTTGGGGGCTATTCTTCGTCGGCCATAAAGGGAAACTGACCAAGTGGGTGACACCCATCTCACATGTCCATACTACGCAATACCGGCACCACGGCTCGGTATGGGAAGTGTTCTCAGACCACTCTTCGCAAATGCGGCTCACATCGATGACTAGTATGCATGCCCCAGATATTCCATAGGCGCACCGAGGAAAGAGGAGCGGGTTGAGGAGCGTTTCGAGGTGCGACTTTACCTCGCGCTAAGATATTGTTGGCCCGGGAGCTCAATCACAAAGTGGCTTACCGTGAGACTGTGTCCTGCATGTCTCGCACTGAATTTCCGAATAAAGGGGGCGCCTCAGCGTGCCTCGGCCATATATGGGCGGCAAGTAGCGACCCCAAAGAGCTTACAGGGTCCTTACTGTGTAGACTTCCACAGATCGCGTTCATATCGTCATGATAATTTGCCCGGAGCAACATTCATGCTGAGCATACGCATAGTTATCAATATTTCGGGATCCACCCTCTTATGGGCCGGGTGGAAATTAAGCAGTCGCATTCCATGCCCCAGATCTTGCTCGCAACGCATACCTCCCGTGAGAATCGGTGGGTTTTGACCGTGGAGTACCACGAGGACTTCGCAACGGTAGCTCGACATGTTCGTCTTTGAGAGGATGTGGACCAGTTAACATATGGACACCGAAAACATTCTCCTCGGAGCCGGGGGTAGCGCCGTGGCGTTGGCTTGGGGAGATGCGACCTGGATCTCGTGGCTGTGAAGGTTCAGGTCTCGGAGATGCATTGACGACGGCGTTGCGCTGTGCCGCGGCTGGCCTTGGGGGCAAGCTCAGGGGCGAACCTCTAGCGAATAGGGTGTTATTGCCGAAAGTCGAGAGTTCCCTCGCATACCGGGTAACCAACTTCCACCCAGCACTTCGGAACACGGCAACCTCATCCATCCTTCAGCCAAGGATCTCATGAGGGATGAGTTACTCGACGGGGTTCGAACTCGATGGACCTTGGGAAGCTTATATAGTGTACTTGGTAGCGCATTATCGCTCGGCCAACACTGGTCCGTGAGGTCCATTTCAGCATGACGGCCATCCTCCTTGATGTCTTTTTGAGATGCTCGCCTTCCGGAGATGTGCGAATGGTATCGGATCTCGGCAGATGGACATGTGATTTTCACACTGTGTCGGATGCTGGTGAAGATTTGAGATGGTGGCCGATTTGGGGGCCTGTTTGGCAACAAGTCGCATTTCCCCTCACGGCAGAATTCTCGTGTGTGACGAGTGGTGGTGAGGAGAGGAAGGAGAGTTCCGGGCTGGCCTCGAGCAGCTCAGCTTCGGCCGAAACGGGCAAATCGTGGGTCACGGGTAAACCAACGGCAGCCAATAATAATGGGTAAACAGGTGACTGGAGTGGGGGTGTGAAAACGGCGAGGGCCCTTGCAGCAGGCACATCTGGTCCCTGCCCTGCGACTGGTCAATGCTGTGCGCACCCGCATGGTTAGCGTTGACTGTGCCATCGAACTGCATCCCTCCCGCATCTTAGCTTTGGCCATTGGGGACGCTCACCTTGGCTGACAGCGAGCAATGCGCCGTGTCGATCGGGGGTTCGGGGTGCGAATTGCTTGATTTGCCCATCCCACGGCCTGTCCCGAGCCCCCCAATCACACACACACACACCATGGTACCAGACGGCGCACTGGGTTTCCGGCGTTCTGTTCTCACTGTGTGCCGATGTTGTTGTTGCGCCCTCACCAGTGCCCCGTCACTGTCACATCTGTTGGCGTTGTTGCCATCTTCAAACCAACAACCTGCATCCCGGATGAAATGCGCGCTTAACTGATAGCTGTCGAGCGCGCCTTTGTCGCTGTGGCTTCTAATATTGCGCCTGTCGACACCGACAATTCGGTCCTCTTCACCGTCTTCTTATATCCACAGGCGACTTCCGGTTTGCTCGACTGCCCTCTGCGCCCAAAAGACCCTCGTGAACACCTATCATCGGCATGTCGTACAAGAAAGCTGTGCGGCAGTAATCAACCCCGGACTGCAGCACTGCGTCCCCGCATTTCGGACCAGACGAAAGTCAAACGGCGACCGAATCCATAACTCCTTATAAACGCTCCCGATCCAGCTTTTCGACCCTTGTCAGCAGCAGAGGGACGCACCCCTCAGGATGCCGCAGAGCACCGCTCGTCTGCTCGCCGCCGCCGCCGTGTCCGCACCGCTGGCGGCATCCCTTTTCGTCTCCCCGGACTCGCCATGCTCAAAATACTGCGGCAATGTCCAATCCTCGACGGCTACCGACGAGATGGCCTGCGATGCCGGCACTCTTAGGGGCACCCCGACAGGTGTCGTGTGGGAGAGCTGTATCGACTGCCTACTTACTAGCACCCACGTCGCCGGCAAGCAGTCAGATTTACAAGCATTACTCTGTATGTATCGTAGCAGACTCCGCAACAGTACTCTTCCAGCTACTGACTTCGGATTCTCCAGATAACCTACGGTTTAGTATGGGACACTGTCTGTTCGGCGGGAGCACAAACCCATGCGTGACCAGGTGAGCCCCTCTCATCCTATTGTCTTGGCCTGTAAGAGCCTCGCTAACAGGGCGGAAGCACGGCATGCGAACCGTTCAAGGACGCCGTTATATACCAGAACATGACGACCTCGGTCGGCCCTCTGGACTATTGCAAGAGGTGGGAGGAGGATATGGTCGAGCACTGCAGTACTTGCCTGGTGCCACTCGTACAAGACGACGTCGACGGCCTATCTCAGAACAACTACATGACGATCCTCGAGGCAGCATGCGAGCAGAAGACGAAACCCGGTTCGACCGTATCTATTGATGGCGATCCCTTCGGTTTCCAACCTATCACCATCGTCGCGCCGGAAGTTACTTATGTAGGGGTCCCGAGCCCCGACTACGGCCCTGTCTCCCTCGGTGCCCGTGTCGGCATCGCCTTTGGTGGCCTGGCCCTCATCCTCGCCATCGTTGGCTTCTGCATCGTCTTTAACGGCAAGCGGAAACGCCGTGCCTTCCTACGCGATCTCGAGCGCCGCCATGGCGGCCAGGGTTGGCCACACCCCAAAACCCGCTACGGCGGCGGCGACGGGCAGGACATGTTTGAGACACCGGTCAGCCAGCAGCCCCTGCGCGGGTGGGAGAACGGAAGCCCCGTAAGCGCACATACGGACGCGACGTTCCCGCGCTACTTCAGCCCCTACTCGAGCCAGTACAACAGCCCTGTTGCTGGGCCCGACGGATCAGGACCCAGCAACGCTCAGTGGCCGACTATCGCGAGCCATCTCCCCACGCAGCAGCAGCTCGACCAGATAATCCAGGCGCAATCACCCGCCCACGGCTCACCACCACCCGCATTTACACAATGGCCAACGACCAGCCAGGAGAAGATGGTCATGCAAATGCACACGCAACCCGAGAAGAGGCAAAACGAGATGGCGATCGGGGTTGCGCTCGGCGGGGATGAGACGAGTTTACGGTCCAAGGCGTCAAACCTGAACCTCAACGGCTACCCGATCGAGTCCAAGGGCAAGGGGAGAGACGAGGCATACGAGATGCACGAGGTGGAAAGCCCGTACGCAACTGCCAACGGGGACGCGGCGGGTCGGCAGTACGAGTATCCATACAGGATGCCCGCGGAACCACAAGCTCCAGTGCTGCACCACCCCGGCTACGGGAGGCATCACGGGTCGCGGCCCGGGTCGGGTGGCACAGGGGGCGCGGATGCGACGGAAGGGCTGGGGATGGGAGAATACGGCGCGGGGCAACACGCACAAAGAGGATTCCCGGTCGCACAACACGGGTAAGGAGGGTAAGCCCTGCTGGTGGAGGGCGTGGAGTGTGTTTTTCTTTGAAATTATAATACCCGGATCTGGATGGAGTTGGATATACCTGGATGCCACCTCATGGTCGGCCTTTGCTTTGTGGACATGGAAGGATGGGGACACGTATATACTGGATCTGTACTGTATCAATAACCAGGTAGTTGAGAATAGTTGCTCAACAAGACACAATACTCATAATCACCTTGTCTTCACCACATTTGTTGAATGCATCAGCCCGCCGAGACTCAACTCACGGTCCCATGCATTTGTGCTCAATTACTTGCATAAACCTTGCATAACCCAACCACCCACACCACTGGCGATCACCCACCAACCCACCTCTTATCGGCACGTGAGACTATGTTCACAATGAGTTTAGCGCCAACTCGAAGCGAGCGTTATCGTTTCCCCACACCCGCCTCTTGCTCAAAAAAATTTCGGGTCGGCGAGTGGACAGAGCTTTCGAGGTCAACAATCACAGACGGTGGAAAATCGTACGGCGACTGTCCGACTACTCGATCCAGCCTGCCGGCCGACGCGTGAATATAATCACGGTCCACCTATAACCTTGTTTGTCTTTTCTAATCGACCAATTGCTATACGAGCGACCAGATCCAAGGATCCTTTGTGTTTTTGGACAACAAATCTGAGGCTTTGAGTGGGGGTTTTATTCAGTACGGACTACATTGCACGACTACGCACAAAACACCATCACAATGTCGGACTCGAAAGCGTTGGTGTCGTTGGTGAAGAAGGAGGGCGGAAATGGGGATGAGCAGTACATGATCAAGCCGCAGAACATGGTGCCGACGCTTAACACCAGCGACTGGCCCCTGCTGCTGAAGAACTACGACAAGATGCTGGTGCGCTCCGGCCACTTCACGCCCATTCCCAACGGCTCGTCGCCCTACAAGCGCGACATCAAGTCCTACGTTTCGAGCGGTGTCATCAACCTCGACAAGCCGTCAAACCCCTCGTCGCACGAAGTCGTTGCGTGGCTCAAGCGAATGCTCCGGTATGTGGGATCTGAAAAACGAAAGAAAGAAAATATCAGGACAACGGTGCTGACAGTTTTGCAGTGTGGAGAAGACTGGTCACTCCGGTACCCTCGATCCCAAGGTCACTGGCTGCTTGAGTACGTGAATCCATATTCTGAAAAGCCAATGGCACCTTCGGCTAACCGGATTAGTTGTCTGCATTGACCGCGCCACGCGTCTCGTCAAGGCCCAGCAAGGTGCCGGTAAGGAGTACGTTGCCGTTGTCCGCTTCCACGACACCATCCCCGGCGGCGAGCCGGCCTTCGCCAAGGCCCTCGAGACCCTCACCGGTGCCCTGTTCCAGCGCCCGCCCCTTATTTCGGCCGTCAAGCGCCAGCTGCGTATCCGGACGATCCACGAGAGCAAGCTGATCGAGTTCGACAACGACCGCCACCTCGGCGTCTTCTGGGTGTCCTGCGAGGCCGGTACCTACATCCGTACTCTCTGCGTGCACTTGGGTCTGCTCCTCGGCGTGGGCGCGCACATGCAGGAGCTCCGCCGTGTGCGCTCCGGTGTCATGTCGGAGGACAACGGCTCGCTAGTTACGTTGCACGATGTCCTCGATGCCCAATGGCAGTACGACAACGGCGGCGACGAGTCGTACCTGCGCAAGGTCATCCAGCCGCTCGAGACGCTGCTCTGCACGTACAAGCGCCTTGTCGTCAAGGACTCGGCTGTCAACGCCGTCTGCTACGGCGCCAAGCTGATGCTGCCCGGTCTGCTGCGGTACGACGCCGGCATTGACGCCCACGAGGAGGTCGTCCTCATGACCACCAAGGGCGAGGCCATCGCCATCGGCATTGCCCAGATGAGCACTGTTGAGTACGTTATCCTGTCACCTTTTTCCTTGTCTGACCTTCCAATAACCGTCGCACAGGATGTCCACATGCGACCACGGCGTCGTCGCCAAGGTGAAGCGCTGCATCATGGAGCGCGACCTGTACCCCCGCCGCTGGGGTCTCGGCCCTGTCGCCATGGAGAAGAAGAAGCTCAAGGCGGACGGCAAGCTGGACAAGTTCGGCCGCACCAACGAGGCCACCCCGGCCAAGTGGCAGCAGGGCTACACCGACTACGGCGCCGCCGACGCCGCTGCCGCTGCTGCCAACGCTGCTGCTGCGCCTGAGCCTGCCTCTCCCGAGAAGAAGGCCGAGTCTGCGCCGGCCGCGGAGGAGAAGGCGGACGAGGACAACAAGAAGCGCAAGAAGCACGACGGCGAGACGGCCGAGGAGAAGGCGGAGCGGAAACGGTTGAAGAAGGAGAAGAAGGAGAAGAAAGAGAAGAAGAAGGGGAAGGAGGCGGATGACAGTGATTAAGAAGGGAAAACTGTATGATCTGGGGGTTCCTTCTCGCTTCTGGATGGAGGGCGTTTTTGCGGGCTGCGGCCGTTGCACGGAAAAATGACGGCGTTTCTGGTTGTTTGTCTGGTCTTGGTGGTGGATTCAGCTGTTAATATTTCGGGGGTTTTCCTCGCAGGTAAAATAGATGTGTTCTGAAGCCGGGCCTGTCTTTGAGTGGACTACCGTACCAGGGTGAAGCTGCGCTGTGGCCATGGCGAATATCTGGTGGTGGATGCCCAGGTGCCGGAATGCCATGTACCACAGTATCCTCAACCACGCCACCTCCTTTAGGACTGACTTAAAGCATCCAACCCCTGACTTGTTTAATATGGCTAGCCAAGTTCTTTTCTGCGAGCGCGCGTTCATTGCGCCGACATCTTCGACAATAACTGCCACCATTCGCACGCAACTGAGTGCCTTGGAGTGGCTACGTTCATCTGATGTCATCCCTGGGCCTACAGCGATGTTGCCTGTGTCCCTCTCCTCCGCTCCGTGTCCGAGCTTCTTGACTTTTCTGGAGAGGCCGCAACGATTTCGAATCCGCATCAGCCGTCCAGAACCTCAACCACATCCCAAGAGCGGAACCATGTCGCAAGCGAAAACCACCTTCAAACCTCTCCCCGCTCCCGATAATGAATGGCGGTGGCCACCCGACGACTAGTCTTGTTCTTCGTGATGTGCGCGTCACCCTTTGCCCTCAAGCTCCGACAAAACCGACGCCGGCTGCTTGTCCGACTGATCATCACGATCTCGCTCCTAATACCACTCTACCTCCTTCTAACATTCTTCCTCCCGCGGCCGACCACCCTCACCAAAACGCCCCTCCTCGCTCTCAACTTCCCCGACCCTTGTATCATCCAAGACATGGCCTCCGGAACGTGGTACGCCTTCGCAACCGGCTCCTGGACGCCCAACACCAGCACCGACACCACCGCAAGCGATACCACAACAACACCACCCACCACCACCTACAAACACATCCAAGCCGCCTCGGCCGCCCACCCGACCGGTCCCTGGACCTACCTCCCCTCCGCCGACCCGCTCCCCACCCCCGGCCCCTGGACCGCCGGACCCGGCTCCCAAACCTGGTCCCCCTCCCTCACCCAACTCACCACCAACACCACCCCCACCAACCCCACCACCACAACCACAACCCCCACAAACACAAACACAAACACAACCTACATCCTCTACTACTCCGCCCAACTCCCACCCCCGCACACCCACATCCACTGCATCGGCGCCGCCACCTCCCCCACCTCCATCCTCGGCCCCTACACCCCCCTCCCAGAACCCATCCTCTGCCCCCTCCCCCTCGGCGGCGCCATCGACCCGTCCGCCTTCCGCGACCCGGCCGACGGCAGGCGCTACCTGCTGTACAAGGTCGACGGGAACGCGCTGGGCGGTGGGGGGGAGTGCAATAATGGGGTGGCGCCGTTTCGGAGGACGCCGATTGTGTTGCAGGAGGTGGATGGGGCGGATGGGGTGGGGTTGGTGGGCGGGGGAGTGGAGGTGTTGGATCGGGTCGGGGAGGTGGATGGGGCGTTGGTGGAGGCGCCTGAGTTGGTTTGGGTTTCTGGGGGGGGTTCTACGGGGGGTGGTGATGGGGGGGATAATGGGGATGGGGGTGGTGGTGAGGGTGGTGGTGGTGGTTCTACTAGGGATGGAGACGGCGGTGGTGGCTCTACTAGGGATGGAGATGGTGGTGGTGGGGATAAGGGGGGGAGGTATGTGTTGTTTTATAGTAATCACTGTTGGGATGGGCCGGGGTATAGTGTTAATTATGCGGTGTCGGAGGAGAATATCACGGGGCCGTATAAGAGGGCGGAAGGGCCGTTGATTCGGACGGGGGATGCGTTTAATGTTACGGCGCCTGGGGGCGCGGTGAGCGTGCCGGGCGGTGGGTGGATGTTGTTTCATGGGAATTGTCCGGAGGGGAGGTGTTTGTTTGGCGCGGAGATGAAGGTTGTGGGGAGCACGGTTACTGTATCATGATGGTGTTTTGGGCGTTGTTAGAAGGGGTTACAATGGGGATATCGAAGCATCTACAGAGGGAGTTGAGTTGATCGACTTGGCGTTAGTTATAGCTATATATGTTTACGTGACTTAAGCTGAGACTCGCGAGTGAAAACGTTCAGTTCGGATGTCTTGCAGTCTCGAAATAGCCCTAAAGCATTCACCTTGCCTTCGAGTAACTACATCCCCATCACCTGCTGCCGCAACTGCACGTCTTGAAACATAGCCTGGTACGTTGCCTCTGCCCTGCGCTGAGCTGAGCCAAGCTGGAGATGTTGAAACTCGGAAGAGCACCTCGCCGGCGGCTGGAATCCGAGATACACCATACTTCCCTCCATACTCGGCACCTCGGCAGACACAAAAGCGGGCCCGGGTTCGATACCCCGACACTGTCGTGCATCTGCCTTTGCCATCGCCGCATCTGATGCCGTTCACCTGAACAGTTTAGCGCTCTGGCGGGACCATGTGCGGCGTTGAGAGAAGCTGGAGGGGCTGTGTGTGAGGTTTGGTTGTGACTTGCAGAAGCTGTCGTTGGGGAAAACCAATGAGAAGTGGCAGTGGCGCTCTATTGGTTCCAGGCCCCGATCGCTCGCGCTGATTTGGTTTAGTGTGCCTTGGCAGGCCTCGAAGCGCCGGCCAAGACCTGCCCCGCATAACCTCTTGCACGACAAGTCAATTGGCTCAATTCTCCGAAAAACAAGAAAATCATCCAAACGCTGCGGCCGTTCACGACGCAACCCGGGCTGTTGGGACCATCGGCCTGTCGAGGCGGCCGATGCGGCCGGTGCTTGCGGTCTTCTGATGTTTGCTGTTTGCAGCTTCAGCCTTGATCAGAGCGCTAGTCGAAGTTGAGTCAGTTGGGAGTCAAGAGTCGAGTTGAGTCGATGAGAACCCAATGGAATCACGTTAAGACTGGATTAAGCGCGGGAGGATTCGCCCACACCATCTCATCAGTCGCAACAGATCGGTTGAACCAAGAAACCATCCGTGCTATTGAAAGGTCTTGTCGACCTGATTGGCCTATCGGCCAGTCTACCGTTGCCGACTAGTGTACCCCGGGAGCAGCCATGTGCCGACCGGCCGTCCTGAGGGAGCACAAGGGGGCCCAGCAGCAGATAGGAAACCCTCTTAGCCCGTCACATCCCGATCTGGCCTAGAAAAGGCTTGTCAGTGCCGTACCTGAGCATCCCTTCGCCGCCGAGTAGACCCCACTTACCCGTTCTGCTCAGGCCTCGGGGAACTGCATGCAGCTCGTCACATCCACACACCACCTCGTGAGGTCAACCGTCCCATGGGCGGCACGGGAGAGCCTGAAAGTACCATGTTTCTAGAGCTCCTTTTCCTCATGTCGTGCAACGAGAGATAGCTATTTGAAACAGACCTCTCCCGCCCCTCACATGGTTCCCGCTCTCTTTTTCCGATGGCCCTCGTTTAGTTTCTAGTCTTTTTATTGTTCATCCCTGGTGTTGAGGTTGAACGTCCTTCGCTTCGTTGATCCTCCTGAATAATAGACTTGTTTTTATCCTACCAAACGTTCTTCTGATAGCCCCGGCTGGACCTGGGCTCTATTCGACCACTAATACCTCGGTCCCAGACCAGCACATCGACAAGATGGCGAAACTGGCTCTATACACACTCCTCGCCCTCTTCTCAGCATCACACCTCTCCTCAGCACTCCAAGTAACACCAGACTCGCCATGCTCGTCAGTATGTCAAGACTCGCCCGACCTCGATGCCTCGGACCCCAATTCCTCTACCACCAAAAACTCCGACATCACATGTAAAGATGCCGCCTACTCGGGTCCCGTGGGCACCAAGTTCCAGAGTTGTATGGCGTGCCTACAGACCAGCACCTTCTCTCAGGGGAGTGAGAGTGACACCATGTGGTTTCTCTGTACGTACTGTGGTTCCAGGTCTCTAAACTTCTACTTACCCCTGAACCAGACAACCTGAGGTACACAGCTGCCTACTGTGTTTTCGGTTTCCCCAACGCTACGGATGTCCAGTCGACACCATGCACCACGAGCACCGCGTGCGGTATGCTCAAGGCTGCCATGGAGCACGGTATCCAGGACCCCAAGGGCACGACCGCCTACTCCTACTGCTCAGCCGGGGATGGCCACGCCATGGATTTTACCAACTTTGACACTTGCATCCCCTGTCTTTCTGCCGAGGGAAAGAACGACTATCTGGCAAACTGTAAGTACCCTCTGCCGTATTATTGGTACCATGTGCTAATCCCACTAGACTTCCGTGCCCTAGACGCTGGTTGTCGCCAGCAACCCGCCCTGGGTACCCTCCTAGGCCTGAGCGACACCATCTTTTCCGAGACAGAAATCAGCATTGTCGACCCGGCAAGCCTCAACGGGGACGAGGACGGGAAGCCCGGCCTGACCGTTCCCGTCATCGTCGGCATTGTTGTTGGTGTCATCGCCTTCCTCCTCATCGCGGCGGGTATCACGTTTGTCTGCCTGCGCAGGCGGAGAAACAAGCGTGTCCGCGCCAGCGCCCAAGCCGATTACTACGCCCAGGTCAACAACCGCCACCACTCCTCCATGTCCTTCCAGTGCCAGACACACATGGCCTCGCCCCGCCTATGGCCCGGCACCGAAGAGGGCCTCTCCACCCCCATGGCCGAGCACCCCGATTTCCAGCCGCACCGCTCCTCCACCTGGAAACCGCCCTACCCCCAAATCGACGAAGAAGAAGACACCACCACCACCACCGCCACCACAACCGCCCACCCCACCCATCACCACCCCAAACCCCCCGCCCACCCGACCATGCCCCTGCACATCACCACCACCATCCCGCCCACCCCCCCGCCACAAGCCTACACCTCCCCCTCCTCCGCCGAACGCACCTACCACTCCCCCTCCGACTTCCGCTCCCCGCTCTCCGCCGAGTCCGTCCGCAGCACCTCCGCCCTGCTGCCCGCCCTCAGACCCTACGTCCCGGCCGAGCACGGCGTGCACACCACAGCGGCAGCGGCAAGCCCTACCGCTAGCACCACCACCACCAGTCCGGCCACGGCCCCGGGAACGGGCATGACGCCGCTGCTGCGCAGCCAAGCCTGGCCTCTGCCGGCATCGGAGCAGACACCCGGACGGAATAGGGAGAGTGGGATCGCGGCGGGGCGGAGGCCTGTGATCAGGTTGGACAGCAGCGCGGTCGATACATCGGTGTCGCCATCCCCGCCGCCGCCGCCGCCGCCACAGCTCAAGACGTCATCGTCACGGGGTAGTGGGGTGTTGGCGGTGGGCGGGCGTAAGAGTCCGCGCGTGACGGGGAGCCCGGTGGAGTCGTGGGAGATACGGACGGCGTTTGCGGCGCCGCCGGGGAGGCGGTGATCTTCTTTTCACTCTTTGTCTTTCTTGCGCGCTGGGTCTTTTTCTTTTGTTTTGGGTTGGGGGGTTGGGGATGGTTGGATACCCGGTTCGTGGAGCTTTGTTTATGTTGCTAGGAGGAAGAGGGATGATGGCTAGATATTGGACTGGGAGGCGGTTGGTCTGGGGTCTACGGAGTTTAACGTTGATTTTTTGATGTGGTATTAGTTAATGATGTAGGAGCGGTGTCCGGTTGCGAGGGAATCATGGTAGTTGTGTAAGAGTACGCCAAAATTGATTGTCGAGACGAAGTTATTGACTACATGCTACCCCTAGTTGTATTATGTGTGGAGTGAGGAGGCGTATCCCTCCCCTCCGTTCAGGAAGTTGCCGCTAGATTAGTACATGACCCCAGCAGCTTTGATCTTGAAACGGCAGTTGGCAGAGTGACGTCTCGACTTTTCAGTCATTATTCCCCCATCCACCTTGGTCCCCCCACAACTCGAGACTTGATGCAAGATATACAAATTAGAAGCAAAGACCCGTCTAGAGACACCAGACGGTAACGACAATGGCTAGGTAGATGCATATTCCAGTGCCCCAGTCTCAGTTCCCATCCAGAAACGCCATGATATGCTATGGTTGCCTTCACGCTTGCTTTGCTCGCTTTCTCCCACACACACCCGGCATTTTCAGCAGATCCCATACTTCACTTGGTATGCCCCATTTTGAATCACTCCCATTAACCAGGGTATCACACAGACTGACCCACTCCCTCACACTCCCGGGTCCAGTTCACAAAATCCACCCTTTCCCTCTCCCCAGCTATAGACGAGTCAAATACCCAACGGGTAGACTGGTAGACTACCCCTCCAGATATACCTCGGCCCTCATCCCAGGCTCCTCGCGGTCCGCCCGATCCATAGCCTCCCTCAACTCCCTCAGCATCCGCCTCGTGTTCTCCACCATGACATTGGTCTCCGCCTTATCCGGCACCACCCCACTACTCAAGACCGCCTTCTTCTTCGCCGAGGGTGACACCTCCCTCCCCCGTCCCCCAACATCATCATCATCACCATCCAAATCCATCTCCGAACTGCGCTTCCTCTTCCCCATCCCCAGCGCGGCTCTATCCCCACTACTGCGGCTCCGCATAGGCGGTGGCGGCATGCTGCCGGCGGCGGTCGATGCAAACGGCGGATGGGGCGGGGAGGTTGAGAGCAGGCCCTGGGCCGCGAACCCGGGGAGGTCGACGCTGTGTCGCGAGGCATGGCCATAGGCGGGCGGACGGGGTTTGCCGATCTTGGCCAGGCGCAGCTCAGAGGGCGTGGGCGAGGGGGCGCGGCCGGTGTCGCTGGCCATGTCGACGTCGATCGGCCCGTCCGGCGAGGCAGAGCCGGAGGGAGACGCGAGGTCGTAGCGCCCGCTGGCGCGGCCCGGTTTGTTGTTGGCAGAAGAGGATCGGGCGATGGCTTCCGGAAGCCAGTTCCCGTCTGGCATGGGCACGAACCCGCGCGCGCGCAAGTCCCAGTGCGTGGACTTGGCGAATCGACTTGGTTTTTCTCCGTTACTTGTACCGCTGTAGAAATTTGTTTGTCGCTTCGCGCCGGGCTCGTCATCCGACTCCTCTTCCGCCGACCTCTTCCTAGTGGCCGAGAAATTCGTGGTCCGATGATTGTCGTGCCCCGTCCCAGGAAGCGACTGCCTGAAACGCGATGACGATGTAAACGACCCGCCGTTGATGTTGGCGTTGACGACGGAGCCGCTGGCGGACAGGCTCCGACGGGGTTCGATTCCGAACTTTTCACGCAGCGAGCGCGTCTTCCAACCCTCGCGCTTGCCTGCAACGCTGCTCGTGTCGGATGGCGCCGGTTCGAGCTCGAGCTCCGATTCCGGATACCGGAAGGAGCGGGTTGCGCTGTCCATTGCCCACGGGTCCCCGCCGTTGATAGCGGATCCGCGAACGGAGCGGCGGGCGAGAGAGCGCGGGTCGTCGCGGAGCCCCGAAAACACGCCACTCGCGAGGAGCTGGTCTTCGGGGTTCTGGTCAGTGCTGTAGGCGACGCTGCCTCGGCGACCGGTGGAGCTGGCGAGCAAGGCAAGGCGGTTGCTGTCTTCCATGAGCTGCCTCTTTGCGGCGCGCTTGGCTTCCCGTTCGGCCTTCTCTTTTTCTTCGTGCAGCTGTTTCTTGACGATTTGTTGCTGTTCGCGGTAGAGGCGCATTTTTTCTCTGCCTTCCCGAAGAATGCGCTTGGTGGCAAGCGACCGGGTGATGTTGCGCCAACGGTAAAAGAACTTTAGTCGCAATCGGTAGCTTTGATGTTCGCGCGCAATCCGCCACGATTCTTGGTCCTCTTCCCGCCGTTTTCTTTCCGCTTCTTCACGCTCAAAATCCTGCCAGGCGCCCCAGAGTATGTGACTTAGAATTTCCTCGGTGAACTGCTCTACGAGACCTTCGTCGCCTGTGACGAACCATTTCGTGAAATCGCCGAGTAAATCGCGCTTGTGAGATGGCGGTGGTCCGGACGGCACTGAGGCAACTCCTGCCTGCGAAGGGGCTGCCGGCGTTCGTGATGATGAGGCAAAAAGAGGGGCCTGGCCAAGCGGTTGGGACGGGGTAGAGGAGAGAGGTTGCAGGCCTTGGGTTGTAGGCACAGGCGTGGTTGTGGCGGGAGGTGGGAAGACTTGAATAGACGGAACTGATGGCGCGGAAGTGGTTCCTTGCTGTCCCGATGTAGGTTTTGCGAGCGTGGTGGTTGGGAATAGAGACGCTCCGGCCGGCGGAGCTGAGCCCAAAACGGAAGCCGAAGGAGTTGACGCGGCCGGTTTGGCTTGGGGGAAGGCGGTAGCCTGTGCCGGGTTGGCGGTGGTGGCCGAGTTGGAAGCGGCGTTTCCGAAGATTGAAGGCGCGGATGGAGAGGTTGTGGAAGGCTGGGTTTGTGCCGCTTGAGCAAGGGATGGTAGGGTAGCCGAGGCCGTGTTGGTGAGAAAACCGAACGGATTCGAACCCTCTGTGGGCTTGGTTGTAACAAAGGGCGAGGCCGCTGTTTGCCCGGGTTGCGCCGGCTGGCCTAGGCCCGCAACAGGCTTGGGGGTTGTGCCGGCTGCTGAGAAGGCCGGCGGTTGGTTTAAAGACGAGAACGGGCTCTGTCCTGGCTGGGTTTGTGATGTAGGTTGGCTCGGGGCTGCAAATGGGTTCGCCGTTGCAGCTGATGGTTGCGGGGCTGAGAAGCCAGAGAATGATGACGGCGTTGTCGTGGAAGGTACCGTTGTACCGAATGGTGAGCTTGAGGCGGGGAGGCCGAAAGGGGAGGAAGTTGTGGCTGGTGGTACGAAGGCCGGGTTGGCCATGGACAAGTCCTTGGATTCGGCTGCTCTCGCCACAAACAGACTACCGCCGTCCTCGGAGAATAGACTATCCGGGCTATTCTCGGAAGTGGGCGGGTTCTCCGACGGCTCCTCAAAGATGGTGTTGTAGATCACATGAGGCAGGGACTGCGTCGTGTGCTTCCGCTCAACGATTGTTCCCGAGAACGCCTGTCGGACTCTTGGAGACGGGACGGCCCTTTTCTTGTTATTGAGGAGGAGGTAAGGCTCCGTGACGGGGTTTCGCCCCTCAGGGACCCATGTTGAGAACTCAAAGTCGTGCAGCTCGGCGAACTCAACCGCCTCCTCGGGTGTGTCAAACCTCAGCATCGCGTTGAGGTCCGACGCCGTGATGGTGCGAGGGGCATCGCGATGTCGAGCATAGCCCCTCACGAGATTCTTAAGTATGCCCTGGCGCACTGTCGTGAAATGGACTTCGGCCACGCAGGCCATTGTGTAAGAAACCCGTGTGTCCTCAACGATGGAGAAGTAGTTTGTAAGCGAGATGTCGGACAAGCTCGTCGCCACGCGGGGCTTGATAGGACCCTTTGGTTCCCGCACGTCCTCCATCGCCTGGATCAGAGACAGAGCTGTCTGGACTTCTTCGGACTCGAACCAGGACGCCTTTCCCCATGTGGGAATCCGCCTTGCTATGGAGGGATCGTGCGCGTTGAGGAGGAGGTAGTACGCCCTGAATTCCGGCTCGTTCGGGCAGTGGACTTGCTTGTCGTGACACATATCGTACGCCTCTACGAGTGACAGGATGGTTCGACCCAGCTGCTCGATCTCCTGCCTCTGGTCGAAGTCCTCGTTTGCGAAGCCCTTCTTCGACAACAAGTGCAGGGCGGTGGCGTGAAATCGTGTGATAGTTTCGAAGCAGTATACCATGTCCTTCATTTCTTCGGCCGACTTTTGCGAGTGGAAGGTGAAGTCCTTGCGCACGGCTCTGGTCCGATCCCACAAAAAGTTGTGCATCGCCGGCAGGTTGCTCTCGGACTGGAGGAGGTCGTTAAAGAGGTAATCTGTCGTCCTCCGCAGGGCGTCCACAGAACGAACGTCCATCGGTAGCGGCGCATCTTGGCCAGCGGCCGAGCGCCCAAACTTCTTGACCATCCGAGCCGTGTCCGGCCACATGGTTAGCCCATCAGGGCGGGTCTCCTTTTCCTCCATCTTGACATCGTACTCGGCGATACGGGAGACCTGCTCGAACTCCGGGCACATGTTCTCGCAAATCCCCTTGAATGGAAGCGCATCCTCGAGTTTCCGCCTTTTGTCCGGATCGTCGATGAGGTCGGCTTTCCTAAGTGTTGCATACGCGCGGGTGCGATACTTTTTGTATGTGTCCTTCAGACCATCAATGGCGCCGCGCTTGCTGGGGTCACCAGGGTCGGCGTGCCATTTCGGCGGGTGGACGTTCTCCTTCTTGAGGTGATCGTAAAGCTTATTCGCATAGTTGAAGGCAAAATTCGATAGCTGCTTGGTCCGTTCGGTAGGGCCCGTGGCTGTGGTATTTTGGTTACCGCGCTGGCTGGAGAGGGGCTGATGGCGTTCCTGGCGCCCAGGCTGCTTGCCCCGACCAGCAGGCTGTGGTTTTGTGCTCGCCCCCGAAATTTGAGAAACCAACGGCTTCGCGAATGGGCTTGTACCGGCGAACGGCGTTGGTTGTTGCGGTCCCTGATGATTACCCCCTTGCCCAGCAAACCCTCCATTTTTGGCCTGACCTCCCCGACTAGCAGGACGAGTGCTTTTGGTCGCAACCGGTGGCTTGCCACCAGTGAGCTTATTCCGACGACTCATCGCGTTCGCGTCGACGTGTTTAGGCGCCGATGATTGACTTGACGGGCCCGACGGCGGCGCTCGGGAACCAAAAGGGGATGGACTCCGGCTGTTCTTGGGCCCACTCGGGGGCGCTCTAAAAAGGCTGTTTACCTTCGGACCGGAGGGAGCTCCGAAGGGGTTGTTGGCAGACGCGCCAGAGTGGCTCCCGGACGAGGATGGCCTGCTCCCAGATGCGGCTGTGGCTCCTAAAGAATTGTTGACGGGCGCGCCGAAGGGATTCGCAGTGGGCGCCGAACCGAAAGGATTCGCCTTGGGAGCCCCGGCGCCAGACGAGTTTTGAAATGGCTGGTTGAAGACAGAGGCAGGCTGACCAGAGACAGGGGGTCCAAAGGAATTCTGAAGAACCTGGCTTGGGGGCGCCCCGAAGGGGTTGTTAGCTGGCGCCGCCATGGTGGTTGGGGCAAAGCATTGGCGATGAAGGTCCCGAATGAAGACAACGGACGGAGGGGATCGCGGACTCAAGACCGGGGTTCGAGGGGAGGATCGGGGTGCAGATTGGAGCGTCGCGAAAGGGGCTTCGACGTCGTGGACAAAGATATCGAACACGGATTTGGGCGCGAGTCGGGATGGAGAATTACCAAAGGAGGGTCGCTCGATCGACGAGGTGATGGGTCTGATGAATGGCGATGGGGTTGGATCGCCGACGCGTGAGCACAACGGAACGAGGACGCAAGCTCTACCTATGCTGTGGAGCAAATCAGGAGTCCAGGCACCATGAGACGCCAAATCTCTATCGCGTGCTTGGTATCCGAGTGATTAAAGCTGCGGGGAAGGAAATCGGCAGGGCGCGCCGCAGTCGAGATTGACTGCGAACCTTGAATATGCAATCATGCAAGGTTTCGAACGGCGCACTCGTCGGCTGGCTTTGTCGCATTGAACCAATTCTGCCCTTTGAACCTCGGGCGGTGAACACCCTGTCCGCCCAAAAACGGCCGAGAAAGCTCGGACCATGTGGGAGACATGCTGGACCCGGAGCTCGCAAACCAAGCTTGGATCTTTATTCTGCGAGATTCCTACAATAGCACAAGGCACGGCACGAAAAGAATTTGCGAGAGAATATATTGTTTATTTCTTTCTGAATCGGCCTTGGATCCAGCACCGATACATCTTAAGTTTCTTGGCACGGTTAACAAGCAGTCTGCGATCGAAGCCAAGCTCCTCAATCTCGAAGCTTGGCTGTAGATCTTGGGCCTCGTCGCCCTCGACTGACTTGCTGAGCTTGCCGCCCCAAATATCTTGCAGCTCCTCCTTCTCGAAGAAGTAGACGCGAGTGCCATCGCCTCGGATGTAAAAGTTCTCCTCCAGGTACCGCCCCTTCTTGAACCGCACCTGGGCAAGGTCACCTCTTCCATAGTCGCGGAAGCAGACCTCACCGCCCGGCTTGAGCACACGGTAGACGTTCTCCACCGCCTTCTTCCACTGCAATGGGGAAAGTGCAGAGAAGATAAACACCATTACGGCCACGTCCACGGATCCTTCTTCAAGGCCCGGCGGCAGTTCGGTGCCAGCAACGTCCCAAACGTCAGCTTGCATCACCGCCGCATCGTAAGATTCATGTTTGCGCATGACCTCAACTGCCTTCTTGGAGAAGTCACAAGCGTGGAGCTTCAGCTTCGGGTTCTTGTTTTGGGCTAGAACGGGAAACGCCGTGTTCCCGGCGCCGGCTCCTATCTCTAGGAGTGTCACGGGTCCGGCATCCTCCCGGGTCACTTTGTCCAAAATCGGAAACTCTTGTTGGAGCCACTTGCGATCCTTGAAGAAGTTGGCCGTGTTGTTCTTGTAGAACAAGTTCCACCACTTGGCTGGATCCGAATTGAAACGCACTGTTGACTAGTTAGCCGATTTGCCCACAGTCTTTCTTGCAAGGCAAACATCGACGGGGTATGGGTGAGGCGCATCAGATGGGAGCGAAAGACTATAACTACATAGGTGTCTTCATAGAAACTCAGATGAACTATGCTTATAATTGTAAATCATCACAAGCGCCGGGCTTTTCAGCCCGAGACAAGAAAATAAACCGAGAAAAGTTCCACTCACTCTTGTCAAAGTCGGATACAGGTGCCTGACGCTGCATAGCGTACTGCTGCTCCGCATACTCTTTGTATGTGTCGTCAGTCTCAACGTGGTCCCAGGCATTGAACTCGAAGGGGTCGTCCTCCTGTCCGAGGTAGCGGGATCCGAACTGAAACGGGTCGCTCCTCTTCTGGTTGTACTGCGGATCGTGCGACCGGTGGGGAGGCAGTTCGGCCTGCTGCGTGCTCTGCGCTATTTCGAGCGAGGACATCTGGGCAGCCAGCGTCTCTTGCGCGTCGGCCGGAGCAGCGACGGCCACGTCCACGGCGCTGTCGACCGTCATGGTGGGCGTTGTTTAGAAATAAAAAAAAGAAAGCAAGAACTGCGGCGCGCCTATGAGGAGCAGCTAGCAGCTGCTGCAGGTCATTGAACTGCCCCTGATGAAATGCAACTTCGGCGCAGCATTTCGTGCGAGGAGGTTTCGAAGTTTGAAACTTGAGGAAAGAAATTTTGTAACCGCGAAAAAAAGGCGATTTGCAGAAAAGGGCTATCAGAAGTGGGGCTCTCTGCGGGGCCACCTGCAAGAAACATTCATGACACACACCAAACCAAATCGGGAAATGTCTTTTATCTTGACGTATTTCTATATCCATCAACCAGATTCCGACGTTTTTCACACTCTAATCACTGTTTTTGCTCGCCCGCTTCTTCTCGATCTTCTCTAGCTCCATATCGATCCGCTTGAAGCTCCAGCTCTTCCAGAAGGGCGGATACAGGAACGGCCGCAGATCGAAGCGATTGTCATCCGGCGCTGCAACACTCATCAGCCACGATTCCCATGTTCAGTCTGCGCAATTCCACTTACAGTAGTCGTTGCAGTGCAGAGCCGGCGTCAGTGTGGTCATCTTATGCCCTGTTCCGCCGTCAGCTACGCTCCCATTTCGAGGACCGATTCTGGCGGGAAATACGTACTGTTGATGGCATAAAAGTGGAAGAACTTCTTGACCTTGTCGGCGACCTGTGTCGGCGTATAGTACGGCGCGTCGTCTTCTGGCTTGCGCTCGCGGTCGATACTCCAGTCGTGTACAAGACGCTGGAACATGCCGAACGGGCCGAGCTTGTTGAGCTTGCGGAGGCGCCCGAAGATGGTCAGTTCCTGGTAGGTCATGCCCATATCTAATCCTGGGTGAGTATCGTTGCCTTAGAAGTACTGGCGGACAAGGTCATACCTGCTTCATCGCTTTGGACATAATCCTGCGTGATGGGTTCCTACAGGGTGCAGTAAAATCAGCATACTAGCACACCTCTTGAGGGGCTCAAAGATCATTAGTAGGAAGCACGTACGAGTTCGGCGGTGGGTACGGCCGTCAAGAACCCGTGGAGGCACGGAAGATCAAAGTTCTTCTCGGCCCACGCAATGAAGCGTTTCAGGTCGGCCTTGTCAATGGAGCCGATGGGATTCTAGACGGGTGTGTCAGTTTCATGCTTTCTTCGCCACACGGAACAGCATGGCCGACGTACAATATCGGCGCTCTAAAATTGAAGTTAGCGGTCATTATAACGAGCACCCGAGATGAGGTGGCCAGACTAGCCAGGATAGACTTACTGAACAGTCGTACTTCGTCAAGTAGCCTCTCAAGCCTAGACAAGATATACGTCAGAATCGGCTCTACCTACTGTTTAGGCGTTCACAGCACAGGGAGTCACATACTCTATTTTCATGTCAGTGGTGAAACCAGCGTTGCATTTGCGACAATTCTTACCTCGCCAACGTTTGCACTGCCTAGGACCAGGAGACTTCCACCGCCAGGCCTCTGCCTCGCGGTCGGGAGAATCTGACCAAACTCCTACCCGGCAGGTTAACACACGGTAAGTAACAACAACAATACAATAATAGATTCAACCCACATAAGCAGTGACCATCCTGATCCTAGCCTGCAAGCACTGCAGCGTCAGGTTCTCCTGCACGGTGCCACCCTCGACCTTGAACTTGGGGTCGAAGCCGACGGTGCTGACGACGAGCTGCTTCTGGGCCTCGTAGACGTCGTCGATGTCGAGGTTGACGTGGTAGCTGCCGATGGCCTCGGCCAGGTCCTTTGCGCGCTGGCGCGTCTCGTGCGAGCTCTGCTTCTTCATGCCCATGTAGATGGTGGAGAAGACCTGGTTGCAGAGCTCCTGCGGCGTTGTGGGCAGCACGTTCTCGCCGCCGTACTTGGCGATGCGCTTGACGTCTTCGATTACTTGCTTGTTTCCGTCTGCTATGGCCTCCATGACGATGCGGCACATCGAGTAAACGATTACTAGAAGGTGGTGAGTATGAGCATGTGGGCGAAAGGATATTCAAATTGTTCGGAACGCACCCGCAGTTGCGCATGAGTCGATACCGCCGCTCAGGGGCACGAGATAGCCCGCAGTCCCGGATCTCCGGAGGTACTGGAGAGCAAAAATGTTAGCCGGGTCGTTTGTTTTTTACAGTCTTCACTTACATCCCAGAGGTAGCAGCCACCGCTCAGCGCAATCTCCTCTTCGACAGAGTGGTACCGCGGCTGGATTGGCAGGGTTGGTGCCATCGTAACATCGGCGTCATCTTCCTCGGAACTAAGCTCGAACGGCGTCTGAATTCGTTGGTACTTGGCGGTGGATGTTGCTGCTTGAAGTCCGCGGGAGATGGCTGCCCTGTACGATCTCACCTCCTCCAAGTCGACTGTGGCAGTCACGACCTCAACATCGTTGAGACTAAATTGAGATCCCTGGGCGACGACGTCGCCGTTCACTATGATCATGGCACAGCCGTCAAAGTACAAGCGCTCGCCATCGCAACCCTGCTGGTTCGCGTAGAGGTAGACACCGCCTGACTTGCGAGTTGCTTCCATGATCAACTGCAGCCGGGTGTCGAGTTTCCGCAGCGTAAAGTGACTGCCGCTGGAGTTGGTGATAATCTCGACACCGTCCAAGGCCATGTCAATATGCGGAGCCTTTGGGGTGAAGAGCTCCTCACAGGTCTCTGCACCAAAGGCGGTCTCGGGGGTGGAGATGACGGCATCTCCAAATAGGACGTGGGTTTCGCCCTGCAATTCGGCCAGTATCTTAGGCAGGTGAAAGAGTTCCGTCTCTCTGGGACGCATCCAGGGGGTGAAATGCCTCATCTCGCGGTAGTTGCCGTCGTTGGCGAGCCACATCTTGGGCCGGATCAGGAGGATCTTGCCGTCAAGGCAGATAACCCGGCAGTTGTACCGCAGGTTCCGGTGGAGGATAGGCACGCCAACGTCGAGAAGGATGCCATAAGTGCTTTCGTCCCGCAGAAGCTGGGCCAGCATCTCCAGGCTGTGTGTGTAAACATCGAGCTCATGGAAGTGGTCCAGACTCGAGTACCCGCATATTTCTAGTTCCTTTATTTGGAGTGAGCATGGGGCCTGTAACCAGAATACGCTCGTGGCTTCTGATGCGTGACTTACGGGACCAACACGAAGACGAGCACCAGCCGCCTTTGCCTGATGGATACTTTCGATGATACGACCGAGGTTACCCTCCCACTGAAACCAGAATCAGCACTCAACATGAAGATACAAGAAACGGAAACTATTGGCGAATTACTCACGTCGAGAACCCATTGGTTCAAGCTGCATGTCGCAACCGTCACAAGGTGACCCATGGTTGTGGGTGGCCGTTGGTGTGGATATGCTTCTGTGTGGATGGTCTAGTAGTTTAAGTTCGGGGAGAGTCGAGTCATCAGTGTACTAGTATGTAAGCTCCTTTATCTTCCTCTATCTGGGATTGCTCATCCGAAACTCGCAGCTTCCAACGACGTGTGACCACGCCGCAGTGAGATGCTATGAGAGGCGGGACCTGTAGATAAGGTCAACGGCACAAACAGCTTCGCCGTGGGCCGTATCTACAGTTAAGCCTTTCTGAGACTCCCACTCTGAGAAATTCGGGGTGGTTTGTTGTGAAGCCCTGAAAAGGTCTCTTGTCCCGTTTCTACCCCTCAATAAACAGTGAAATGCACCGCGGGGCATGAAGACGTCACATTGCCTAATGCGGCTAGTAGACAGCGAGGGTTTGAAGGATTGACAAGGTTAAAAATTATGTCCACTGTCCAATTAGTCCTGCAGGGTCCGGCCTCGGCAATCTCACCCAAGACGAACCATCGGTTCATCACATCTCGAAGTCACTCGTTGGGATAGATGTTGCTGGCCAAACATCTGTGTAGCAATGGAGCCCCGATAACAATATCTGCGTTGCGCGAAAACTAGCCTCCCCTCAACGACCGAATTATACCATGAAAACCCGACATATCCTGCCCTGACCACGAGCATATCCCTTCAACCCCGAACACATCACGCGATCCTCCTCTCGCCTCCAACGATGGCACCGCGTCTACCAGCACCGGCGCGCCGCCTCCTAGCAAAGCGTACTAATCTACGTTCACTCCCGTCGCTCTCACAACCGCCACTCCCACCACCGCCGCCCCTCCTTCAAGCTCACAACCCACAATCCCAACCAACCATCACCACAACCACCACCACCCGCCCGCTCTCAACAACACCCTCCCGACCCTGGCTACTCTCAGCACTCCCCAACCTCGCAGCCAGCGCCAACGGCGGCCCCTCCCCCCCAAAGACCCTACACGCGCGGCGGCTGCTGCCCTACCCAGCGGCGCAAGTCTACACGCTCATCGCCGACATCGACTCGTACACACACTTCCTCCCACACTGCCCACACTCGCGCGTGACGAAGTGGGTGACCACGCCCACCACCACTGCCCCCATTACCGCGAACACCAGCACCGGCACCAGCAACACATCCCAACACAACCCAGGAGCGGGAGCGGCAGCGGTAGCGGCAGCGGGATCAGCAGCGAGCACACCAACGCGCCACCCAGCCCTCGCCGACCTCACAGTGGGCTGGGGCCCCTTCACGCAAACCTACACCTCACGCGTGTACTGCGTCCCCGGGTCGGTAGTCGAGGCAGTGAGCGGCAGCGCGGCGACCAGCATCCCGGCCGACGTGCTCCGGTCGGTGGGATACTCCCCCTCCCCTTCTGAGGAGGGGGGCAAGATGGAGGGGATTTTTGAGAGTCTCGTTACGCGGTGGACGGTGAAGCCCCTCGCGCGATCGGAGGGGGAGTGGGCGGAGGTGGTGCTGAGCGTGACGTTTCAGTTTTCGAATCCCGCGCTGGGGTTTGCGGCGGGGCAGTTGGCGGATGAGAAGGTGGACGAGATGGTGGAGGCGTTTGAGGGGCGGGCGAGGCAGTTGTATGGAGGGAGGTGACGGCGCAGTGGTTGTGATGCTGGCATGTGCTTTCCTTGGGGGGTGGTGTTCAGGGCTGGCCAGTCCTGGTGGAGAGTCAAGCAGGCGTACGATTTCAGGAGGCATGTACAAACATGTATGCTATGTGTATACGATTTTTCTGTTTTCGCTGGTTTCCTAGAAGAGGGATCTGAGTATAGAACATAGAATATAAACCAAAACATCCCAACCAAGACTATGCATCTCCAACGACTTCAGACAACAAGGCAAAACAACAAAAACAATCCGTCTAAATCTGCAAAGCAAATCCAGAACAAGCAAACCCTCCCTCGCCACGCGGCTGACTATTGACATTGACTCTTTGCGCCGGAACCGGGCAAAACTCGCCGCGGTATCGTGTTGCTGTTTCAAAAGACAGCCACCCAACGTGTTCATGGCCGTATCGTTTCCCTCCGAAGCTTAATGACGGTGGCAGACCTCCATTCATCATACTCCGTCACTCATCCCTCATACCTCGTCGTCCCACGTCTCATACCTCGTCCCTCAACCCCATACTCCGGCGGCGATACACCTGACGCCCTGATCAGACCAGGCCGTTTGGATACGCCGCGCTAGAAATCAAACCTGGAAGAAGAAGGGGGATATCCAAACATAACTCGGCGAAGCAAAACAAAGCAAAACCAAAACCAAAAAAGGGGAAATAAACGAGTAGGGCGACAAGGTATCAAAAGCCAAACCGAATAGCAGGTTGCAGGCAAGACCGCGACTTTCTAAAAGCGGAAGATGGGGGCAGTGTCATCGGATTGATCGTCCAGCTCAACGATTCGGCGACGTTCATCGGCGAAAATGGCGACCACAATATGTGGCGATCGACGGCTATCGACGAGGGGCGTTCCAGTTTAATGCTTCTTCCTAAAGTCACCTCACGTTAGCACACTCTTCCTTTAACCAACTTCAACCATGACGAAACAAACACCGCCAGCCACTCAACAAGGGAAAGAAACGGACTTGGGAGGCCATAGTTGGGCTGGGTAGAAGAAATACAAGGTATACTGCTGGGAGGAGGCGGAAGAGGAGGAGCGGTGATTATGGCTATGCTTGGGAGGGACGGGGTCGGGGCCTAGGACGCCAACGTACTTCTTGCTGCTGCTCTTGGGCTTGCTCCCGGCCATCCACCCGAGCATGGACGACGGAGCGGCCTTATCCTTTCTCCGAGGGGGTTTATTCGGGTCGACTGTCACAATCTGCGGCTCCATCGATGGTCGCACGATCCGAGGTCCAGGGGGCATGCCGGCGGGGCCACCCTGCATATTGCCTGCCCAAATGCCGCCCGGTGGCGGGGGCGGAACGCCCATACCGCCGCCTCCTGGGCGGGTGCTCGGCGGGCGCATAAAAGCCGCGGCCATCCCGGGGTGGGGGCGCTGGGGGTGGTGTTGCTGTTGTTGTGGGTGGTGGCCGGGATGCGGAGGGCGAGGCATGCCGCCGGGCTGCATGTTAGGGGGCATCTGCTGGCGAAGAGGGGCCTTGTCCATTGGCCACATGTGCATGGTGATGGCCCAGTCGGGCTCGACAACCTTCTCCCAGACGCTCGGGAGGATGATTTCGCCGTTGGGGCCGATCAGGTCGTAGTGACCTTCTTGGACGTGCGGGCCGATGACGTCGACATGTAGGAAGGCCTGCTTGATGAGCTCTTCCATACCCTGTAGACAGTTAGCAGAGGCGAAAGAAAAGTCCGAGTGCGTGGCTACGTACCTGCCATGTCTGGCACAGATGGAAGGGGAAGCTAAACTTGCGGCCGACGGCATCCTTGAACTTGATGGGCGGTTTCTCCTTCTTCTTCGCAGCGTCTTCGGCCTTGTCCTTGGCTTCCTGGAGGAGCTTGTCTTTGTAGATCTTCTCGTCCTTTTTCCTCTGCTCTTCGGCCGCCTTGGCCTCCTCGGCCGCCTTGCGCTCGGCCTCGAGCTTCTCCCGGGCCTCAACTTCGGCTTTGAGTTTGGCTTCCGCCTCGAGCTGCTTCCGCCACTCGGCTTCCTCGGCTGCCTTCTTTGCGGCAGCGGCTTTCGCTTCGGCCTCGGCCTTCTGAGCGGCTTCGATTTTCTCGCGTTCGGCTTGGACGGCGGCCGCGAGCTTAGTCTCTTGCTCTTTGATGGCGGCCTCGAGCGCCCTTTTGGCATCCTCTTCCATCCGCTTTAGCCGTGCTGCTTCCTCGGCTGCTTTGGCGGCGGCGGCGGCTTTTGCCTCTTCTTCGGCCTTCATCCGAGCATGAATTCGCTCCTGCTCTTCCCTGATGGCTAGCTCGATCCTGGCCTTGGCTTGGGCCTCAGCTAAGGCGGCAGCCTCCGCTTCGCGCTTCTTGCGCTCCTCAGCCGCCTTTATCTCGGCGGCGAGCTTCTCGCGGGCTTCCCGTTCGATCCGCTGCATGGCCTCCGCCTGCAACCTCTTTCTCTCCTCCTCTTGCTTCTTCTCCTCTGCTAGCCGCTCCCGCGCCGCCTTCTCAGCCTCGGCCTGTGCCAGCTCGATCGCCTTCTTTGCTTCCTCTTGCGCTCGCTGCATGTCCTCCATCCGCCTTCTGAGCGCTTCTTCGGCTTCTCTCTGCATGTTGGCCTTCATTTCCGCTACCTTTTCCGCCTCCGCCTTCCTCTTCTCTTCTTGTTCAAATTTGGCAAGTTGCGCTTTCAGCGCTTCCATCTCTGGATTTGGTTTCTCAGGCGGTGGGGGGGCAGGGGTCGGTGGTTTAGGCGCAGGCGCTTCGGTTGGCGGTGGCGGCGGCGCATTGTACATGTACGGTTGAAGGTGCGGTGGTGGTACACCGTAGCCCCCCGGGCCTCCGCCGCCGCCGCCGCCGTAGTAACCGTGGTTGTGGTTACCCTGCTGCTGGTGGTAAGGCATCATGTCATAGTGGCCGTGGCCCCCGCGATGCTCATTTTGAAAGAAGTTGCTGCTGTTCCCACCCATTGGCGACGGCGAGAAGGGATTCCGATAGTCATTGTAGGGGACCATCTGGCCGCTGTAATGGTTCTGCATGTAGCCCACGTGGCTTTGCGCATATCCGTTCGGCTGATGGCCCCCGCCCCTGGCGCCATAGAAGGCACCCTGGTTTTGCGGTTGTGGTGGGCCGCCGTAGCCCCGCCCGTACGACGGACTATACTCGTCGGAAGGGTCGATACTCATTGGCGGTGCCGAAGGTGCGTGATATGGAAAGGACTGGCGCCCGACAGCAGGAATCCTGTGGCTACGAGGATTCCCACGGACTGGGTGTGGACTGTGGGATCGTGGGAGTGCGTGACTGTACTCGTTGCTTATTGACGCCGAATCGGAGGGGTCGAGCTCCCCGTACTCATCATCCCACTCGTCCTCCTCCTCTTCTTCCTCGTCGTCGTCGTCGACTAAGGACTCGCTGAGGTCCTCGCTCCGTTGTAACGACGACTCGTCCCCGTCGTCGTATTCACTAGAAGAACTTGAGGCTGAAACGTGTTTTTGGTTGATTGGTACTGTTCGCTGTTTTCTGTGCGCGGCGACGGGGAGATGGGCGCGACAGGTCAGCCAAATAGTTCCTTGGACCGGAAAGGCAAAATGGGTCGTGCGGCGCAGTCGCCGAGTCAACAAGGGAGAGGGCGGTCCCGGGAGTGGACTTACAGCGGCATTGGTAGTGCTTATATCCGTCACCTGCAACTCTCGACAATCCACGGACAGGAAGCGGAGTCAAGGCGACCTAAATTGACTTGGTGTGCAATGGCGCTGGGGGTTGGCGGTGTGTGTTGTGAAGGGATGCAGGGATGTTCGTGTCTGGAATGCGCAAACCGGGAGGGGAGGAGGCTGTGTGCTTTGAGAAACGGGTAAATATTGCTGGGAAAGGACGAGAGCGCCTGCGAAAGGGTTCTGTGACAGGACTGTTCCCGTTTCAGCACTGGTTGCTCGGGAAAATGTCGACGCACGGGCGCTATATGTTGGGCGCGAAAACGGAGAGGAGGGGAGTCGATCGGGTAAGGTCTGGGTCGCTGTGGTCAGAGACGGGCAGCGGGAAGGATATGCACCAAAAGCCTAGACCAGATCCACCCGAGGGGCCGCCGAGAGAAAGAGACAGGGGAGGCGAGAGGGCGAGGCAACCCAAGGCGCGACGAAATTGAACCCTTTAACCCATTCCGTCCGCCATGGTTGAAAGGGAGTGAGAAAACTGGCAACCGCTCACGACTATGAGGGACCAAGAGAGGGGAGCTGGTTTTATTATGGGGGAGAGAGCCGATGGCGCGGGGTTGGGTACTTGCCTCTTGCTCTAAGGGGGGCAGTGAACCTGGCCAAGGTGACGCTCGTGACCACGGAGACGGTCGAGTCCTGGGGAATGGAGGGGAGGGGGGGCGCGGATGGCGGGAGTGTCCGGTGAGGGAAGGAGCACTCAGCGGGCACTCAGCACTCGGCAACAAGCTTCAATACTTGCATAGCGTCAGTGAGGGGGCCAAGTTGCTTGATGGAACGTAGAAACCCCGCGATAGCAGCGGAAACATCAGCACACCAAGGCAGCCGGCAAGGCGGGACCACTAGCCTCAATTGGGCTCCAGTGCCGTGATGGCAGACCACATGGGCCGGTTTGACGATGTCCCGGTTGTACACCCAACGTTGTTGGTTTCGAGTCCGGTGCATCATAGAACACCGCAATATCATCGTAGAGCCGAGGACGAAACTGGACCTCGTTTGCCCTCCGCCTGTGCCCCATGGGACACTGGTCCTCAAGGTTTGCAGCGCGTGCCTGGAACTGACCGCTAAGCCGAAGAGGGGCCACCATTCCGGGACTCAACAAGAGAGTCCAGCCCGGAAGAATAGAAAAGCAACGTAACGGATTGACAGCCCGGAGATTGAAGGCAATGAGGAAATACACCTAAGGTTTGTACGGCACCGGGCGACTAGCAGTGAGATGGGAAAGGGAAATGGTGTGCATACGGCGGAACAGAAGGAAATAACTATGAGGAGAGAGAATGTCGTCGTACCGGCCGATGGATTGTGACCCAGTATGGGATGAATCTCGTCCACAAACTGCCAGGTGGGTGTTCCCGCTCGTCGATCTCGGTGAGGACGGAATGAGCGCTGTGTGCCGTCCAACAGATCAGACCAAGTTTTGGTGTGGTGGGGTTCCGCTCGGTACCTGGTAATTCTGCTTGGAGGTGAGGTGGTCTGTTTGGGAGCGCTGCTTCACTACGAGTGCTTTCACCGGAATTCGTCAATAAAATGCTGCTTGAGCCCGTTCAGATTTGGATGCTTCTGCTGGTTTCGACCTGAGATGCAGATTAGGTTACAAGTTTAATTTGTGCTGTCAGGGCACGGACCGATTAAAAACATAAGAATCAATTTTCGGAGGGCAGACCGGGGGGAACACGCACGGTGCTGGGTCCGACTGTTTATTATACGGCTCGGGCAGTTTGGCTGCTTCGTGGACAAACTTCGTAGCCGGACGAGCTGGAGCCACGCTGCAGCCGGGTAATAGTGTAATGGCAGAGACCGGAAACTGTGGAAAGCGGATGCAAGCTGCGCGAGGTGTGCAGCTGCAGCACGAACAAGAGGCGGAGCTTTGCCCTGCGTGTACAGAAAAAAACTCACTTACAGGCTCAGGCTCTGCGGCCCTCAACACCCGCCACAGCGGTTCTGTTCGAGACCCAACACAGGCCACCCGGATCCAGACCACCTCATCCGCAAACGGGCGGTGCACTCGTGGCCCTCTGCCAGCCCAAGGGGTGGCCGTTGTCAGGCGGTGAACCCCGTCTGCAGTCCTGAGCCAAGGGAGCGAAGGCATTGGTGGTTTTGGCAGAAGTCAGTGACAGTGACCACAGCCAGAGAGGCCAACACCAACCCTCAACACTTGGTCAACCCCCACCGGTATTGTTGGACCGGTGACGAGTGCAGCTCTCTCTCTGCAACCTCACTGGCTTCTCTTCATGGTCACGATGCTGAAGGCAACCTCGACCATCCCGCATGGTTTTTCTTTTTGCCTTGTTGTCGGCACTCAGGCCTTGAAAGTAGGTTGCGAGGACGTGGGGTTGGGAGCACAAAATATCCGAATGTGTAAGCCGGCACAGCGACGCCAACTACCAGGGAGGCCGCGAGGCGACGGCAGGAGTCAATCTTTTTTGGTTCGCGGCGGGATCGAGCAGGCGGATGTGGAGATGCAAGATCAGACTCCGCGGACAGCGACGCCTTAGATATAAATTTTGCCACCACCATCTCGATTGCCGTTTCTGTGTCTATAGAACTCTGCTAACCCAGTGCAACGATACCTCAGTCTCTACCGCGAGCCTCGTCGTTAGACACGTCAACTTCGGCTCTGCAGAGCCGTCCCAGGCTAGCGCTCAAGCTTGGGAACAGTTCCAGGTATGTACATTGGATGTCTGCGCCGAGTGAGCTCGTCAAACAGCCACTGGGATGCCTGCAACCACACATCGCGAACGGGGTAGGGAGTTGCGCTTGTCCTGCTCGCTGCCGCCCAGCCAAACCCAGATTTTTCGTGAGCTTAACCTGACGATCACCATTTTGTGCCCAAAGAGGGCCCGGAGGCGCATCGGGTGAGCCTCACCAAGCAGCAACCCGATTGATGAATCGTAATCTGGTTGGGCTCCAAAGGCCCGCCCCGTCCGTTCCCCACCGCGCAGCGGACCTCGCCCGCCCCGTTGACTGGAGCCACGTTCGGGCTCCTGCGTTCGCGAACCTTCCTGCCCAAGACCCACACCTCGGCTAATGCAGGAAGCAGTCGGGCACCAATGAGACCTGGTGTTTTGTTGGAAACCGTTCAGACTGCGAGCGCGATCTGGAAGTTCGCGGTGCAAGTCTCTGCATCTGTGCCATAATTGCTCCATCTTGGCCGTCTCCGCCCTGACTCACGCTATTGCGGGCATCGCGAACGCGTCACTTGACCTCTGCGCGGCACCACAGCTCGAGCCAAGGTGCCATCACCTCTCGATTGCAGATGCATCGTCAGCAAGCAACGCCCGAGCTGCAGCAACCTCAGCTTCGCTGTAACCACGCCAGCCCCGGTCACTCGCGGCGCTGTGTCGGACAATCTCGGACAGCCTTGCTGTGGCCAGCTCATTAAGCCGTTCAAGGGTGCTGGTGCCTGGCAGCGCGAACTCGCTGTCATCTGTCTGCCTTGTTGCCTTGGCACCATCGTTGAGCAACCTTTTTGAGACCTACAGAGTGTCAGCAACTATGAGTTCTCCGCCAGTGAGGAGCACCTTACCAGCTTCAAGCCGTAGTATCCCCGGAGATAATCGTCGCACAGCTCGACACTCCGCGCGAAACGCTTGACCGCCTCAGCCATGTACTTTTGGTACAACCCATTGGCCACGCCCGGGGCAGTCGCGGCCATGTATTGTAACTCTCCCAGTCGTGCATGGATCTATGACGGCTGCATTAGCATAGGGCTTAGGTTCGGTGCCTTGGTTGGACTGCATACATTCCATGCATTTGGCGCCAATACCAGGACCTCCTCGATGGCGTAAATGGCTTGTGGGTACAGGCCCTGCGAGAGATAGATATCCGAGAGCTCAGACCACGCTTCGGCATCGGTGGGGGAGAAGTCGAGAAGCTGCACGAGAGCTGACGCTGCGTCGGACAGACGCCCCATGGACCGCAATAGCGCGATCCGCCTCTTTGCAATAGGCTGCATCCTGTGTTAGCCAATGGTTTCTTGATCGGCAGAACAGAGGGTGAAGGGCGGACGAACAATATTGGTATCATTCTCATCCAGTATTTGGTTGTACTCCTTCAGGACTTCCTCCAACGCGCCGTTGCCCTGGGCCTCGGCTTCCTTCACCAGGCCCCTGAGCGCCTGCACCCGCTCGTTGTCGTCTCCGAAACGGGCGACGAGGCGCCGGAGGCATTGGTGTGCGGCCTGGTCATCTCCCGTTCGCAGACACGACACGATCAGATTCTCGTATTGTAGCCATTGTTCTGACTTCTCGGGGCCTGAGAGCAAGGTGCTGAGAGGCGATGATGACACGGTCGAGGACGAGCTTCGCAGGAATGCAGGAGCTTGCTGAGATAAGGCCAGCGCCGCCGCTGGGGACAGCTGAACCGGCGAATGGAGAATCGGGGGAGCCATCAGTGCTACGAGTGAATCGAACGGATCGTAAATCGTCTGGATCGAGAATTGACTTGAACGGAACGGAAGATATCACGATTGTCGCGTCGAGCTTGGTTCCGATGGAGTGGAGTGGACACTGTGCGGACAGAGCAGCTTGAAAGGAGCTGAGACGGAAATGGCAAGCTTGACACGTGCATGGGCAGCTCCTTCAGCTCCAGGAATGGATGCACCGGCGCTGCGGTGTTTGTTTTTTCCGCGCCAACACAGTGTTGTTTGTGAAGCCGCTCCACTGTACAGTGACGTGCTGCGCCCGAGCATTGGAGCGTCTCACCACCAGGCAACGCGATCGTCGTCCACTAACTATCAGCGAGTTTGGTGGAGGGGCAGAACGCACCTAAATTTCAGCACAATAAGCCCGCCGCTAGCGCTTCTCGAAGGCCCACGGCAAGATGCGCCTCATCGCCTCCTCTGTAATTATTTCCAACAGAACATTCCCCCGCTAGACCCCTCCCGACCCGACCCCGAATTCGACAATCCTACCCCTCGACGACAACCATCGAAATATCGATTATCCGGCTTCGGAGGCTACCGGAGTCCACAATTTGGGATTATAGGCGCCGAAACCTACACGTCTCAGACATGTGCGCCGGCCCCCTCTTTCCGGTTATCGACTCGGAATCGCCCTGCTGACGGCAGCTAGGTTCGAGAAATCGCTGTACGACCTCATCCGAGGTCTACGGAACCACAAGGGAAACGAGAATGAATACATACAGAACTGTCTGAAAGAATGCCGCTCCGAAATACGAAGCCAGGATATGGGTTGGTCTACTGTGGCTCCCTCCGACCGACGGCCGGCAAAGCTGACCCCGAAAATGCAGACCTCAAGGCGAGGGCCGTACTCAAGCTTGTATACCTTGAAATGGTTGGGCACGACATGTCCTGGGCTTCCTTCTATGTCCTCGAGGTCATGTCTTCGCAGAAATACCACCAGAAACGAGTCGGATATCTTGCCGCTGTCCAGAGCTTCCGCCCCGACACCGACGTATCCATGCTAGCAACCAACCTCCTAAAGAAGGTGGGCGAATCTGGCTCTCTTCTTTGAAGCCGCCTGCTAATCGGTGTCCAGGATGTGGCCGCCTCGTTACCGACAATCATAGCGCTCCCTATTGCCGCCCTTCCTCACATCGTCACGCCGTCACAAACCATGTCGCTCCTCGGCGATTTGCTACCACGTCTCAGCCACTCCCACGCCGCCATCAGAAAGAAAACCGTCGTTACGCTCTATCGGTTAGCGTTGGTATACCCCGAAGCGCTCCGCGCTTCATGGCCCAAGATCAAGGAGCGCTTGATGGACCCAGACGAGGACTCGAGCGTAACAGCAGCCATCGTAAATGTTGTCTGCGAGCTGGGCTGGCGGAGACCCCATGACTTTCTCCCGCTAGCACCGCGGTTGTTTGAGCTCCTAGTTGACGGCGGTAACAACTGGATGGCAATAAAACTGATCAAGCTTGTAAGAAGCCCTGTCTGTGCTCTGTCACCTTGGGTTTCCTAACCATGTTGTAGTTTGCGACGCTCACGCCCCTTGAACCACGCCTGGTTCGCAAGTTACTGCCGCCACTGACCAACCTGATCCGGACTACTCCGGCAATGTCTCTGTTGTATGAGTGTATCAACGGCATTATCCAGGGCGGCATTCTCGGCGACGGGGAGGATTTCTCGGCCAGGGAAGAGGTAGCTTCACTTTGTGTCACAAAGTTACGCGGCATGGTGTCCACCAACAGCGATCCGAATCGTGAGTCCAGCGTCACTGTCTTTATCACATGGCAGGTACTAACAACCACCTCCAGTCAAATATGTGGCGCTCCTCGCGTTCAACCGGATTGTCGTGACTCATCCGTTTCTCGTTGCGCAGCAGGAAGACGTGATCCTGGAGTGCATTGACAGTGAGGATATTACTATCAGGATAAAGGCACTCGACTTGGTGCAGGGGATGGTTAGCGGCGACAATTTGGTGTCGATTGTCAGTCGTTTGATGAGGCAGCTCAAGGCGTCTTCCGCTGCGCTCAGTCAACAACAACCAGTTCCGAGGGCCAGGATCCCGAGACCGACTCGAGCGATGAAACAAGCGCAGACTCCAGGCGGCGTCGCAAAACATTCGAAGCTGCCCCGCCTCTCCCAGACGATTACGCCGTCGACGTCATCGGTCGCATTCTAAGGATGTGCTCTCATGATAACTACGCCAACATGCTTGACTTTGACTGGTACCTCGATGTTCTAACTCAGCTCGTCCGGATCGCGCCCGCGCCTCGGACAAAGGATCTGGGCGCTGACCCATCAAGTCCAAAGTCAAGCGGCGACGTTTCCGAGAAGATTGGCAACGAGCTCAGGAATGTGGCCGTGAAGGTCAAGGTTATCAGAGCTGCTGCCGTGCGGGCAGCTGAACTTGCCGTGTCCCGAATGAGTACGGAAATCTCACCCACAAGGCCAATCGTCTCAGGAGCAATAAACCCGATCGCTTGGGTTGTTGGGGAGTATGCTTTCCAGTTATTATCGCCTGACGACACGCTACGGAACTTACTGGACCTGGTCCCGCGGGTTGAGTACCCTGAGGGCCTGGCAACATGTTTACAAGCCGTGCTGAAACTATTTTCCTATGTCGCTGGAGATGATCAAGCACTCTGGACGCCGGAAAGGAAGTCGAGCGTCACATTACTGATGGCCCGTGTCATCCACGTATTGGAGCCGTTCGCATTGCACCCCTATCTAGAAGTTCAGGAGCGTGCTGTTGAGTTTATCGAATTACTCAAGCTCACAGCCGAGGCGGCAGCCGGCCAGGGGCCGTCCACGGACGATGTGCACCAGGATCCTCCATTACTGCTCACACAAGCGATCCCGTCGCTTTTCACTGGGTGGGAGCTCAATTCGGTCGCTGCCGGCACACAGCAGAACGTGCCCATACCGGACGACCTTGACCTCGACGAACCGATTCACGGCGATCTCAACAGGTTGTTGTCTCAGGCAGACTCATTGATGTTGCCGACGCAGGGTGACGACGAATTCGAAGTGTACTACAACCATAAACCTGCCGCCACGAGCATGTCCAGCGAACCGGCGATCAATAGGCTCGTGGAAGCACCGGAGGAGGTGGTGACAGGGTCGTACCAACAATCTGAAGAGAGCTATCTCGACCCAGATATCGTCGCTAGGAGGAAGGCTGAGCGCGCTGAGCGTTACCGGGACGACCCCTTCTACATCCCCGACGCCACCGCATCCGGCGGCAGGTCAACGCCAATCCACAACATTCTCCAAAAAGAGAACGGCCCCGGCCTCGACATAGACTCGATCCCTATCATGCAACTGGACCTGAACTCCTCCGGCCGTGCCAGTCCTGCGAATCGGCAACAACAGCCGCCCAAGCCCAAACCTCACCAACGCATCGTCGTAGCAGCCGACGAAACGCTCGGCTTCGGCGCCGGCGGGAGCGGCGTCTCGACCCCGCGCACGTACGACTCCGAGAACAACACCTCGGACACGCTCGCCAAGTCCAAGTCATCCAAAACCGCCGCCGCCAAGAGACTCAAGCAGCAGTCGCTCCTGCAAATAGCCCCGGCCAACCTCGGCGATCTCAGCATCGGAGACGCGAGCCAGTCGGGCGCTGGCAGTGGCGGCGATGGGCTGGCGCACGAGCGGCAGCAGCGCGAGGAGGCCGAGATGGCGCAGGCGCTCAAGGAGGTGCAGCGGCTGCGGCTGGAGATGCAGCGGGCCAACGAGCGGATACAGGTCGCGCAGGGGGTTCCGGTGGAGGGGGTGGTTGTGGCGAAGAAGAAGAAAAAGAAGGTTAAGGATGGGGAGGGGGGCGGTGGAGGGGAGGGAGGGGAGGGGGTGGTGAAGGTGAAGAAGAAGAAGAAGGCGGCTGTTAAGGCGGAGGGTGAAGGCGACCAGGAAGGTGGGGAGGGGGTGGTGAAGGCGAAGAAGAAGAAGGCCGTCAAAGTGGAAGGGAAAGGGGATGGGGAAGGTGGGGAGGGGGCACCGGTTGTGAAGGGAAAGAAGAAGAAGGCCAGGAGGTTGGTACAGTTGGATGAGGGGGAGGGCGGTGCTGCGGAGGGAAGTTAGGAGGCGCACATATGGGTGGATGCCACGGAAAATAGAAGCAGCAGAAAGCAACCAAGCAATGCAATTGTCAAACCACACCCAACTGGACATTCATCCATGAGCCAAGACCTACTTAGGTCGGAGAATCCCCACCCTGTTTAACTCTGGTATATATTCTACTCCCATTATTCTATCTATCCCCTCGTAGTCTATCCCACCCCTCAAACACCCCCATTCACCCCCTCCCCCACCTCTCCTTCCAACTTCCCCCAAGCGGCCTTATTCCTCTTGACCTCCCCACCCCCCACACTCCTATACTGATACCCCCTCGCCCTGGGCCGTTCCGAAACCCCCTCCGGAAAATCCGGCTCGTACGCCAGCGCGAACTGCCTCGCCGCCTCCGCGAACCGCCCCCTCTCCCCGCAACCGCGCGCCAGCGCCGCGCGCACGCCCGCGAAAAAGGACGCCATCACCGCGTGGTTGTGCACCTGCAGCAGCGTCCAGCCCAGCATCTCGCGCGCCGACAGCAGGTGGTGCACGTAGGCGCGGTGGTGGGCCGTGCAGGCGTAGCAGGTGCACCCGGGTGTGAGCGGGGCGAGGGAGGTTGCGTGGGCCGGGTTGGAGAGGTCGATTGCGAGGGGTTGGGGGCCGGGGGTCGGTTCCAAGGATGTGGATGCGGATGTTGGTGTGGGTGTGGATGTGGATGCTGGTGTGAGTGTGGAGGGGGTGGGCGGGAAGGTGAAGGAGAGGGCGAGGCCGGCGTCGGAGATGGTGTTGAGGAAGGGGAGGGTGAAGATGTCGATGCCGAGGGCGATTTGGCGGAGGATGTGGTGCGGCGTGGGCGGGTTGGAGAGGGAGAGCCGCGGGAGGGGGAGCAGCGCCGGGGCGTGCTCCGCGAGGTCGGGGAGTAGATCTGGGTCGTAGACGGCGAGTCCCGAGAGTTGGCCTGTCGGGAGGTAGTCCTCGGCGAGGCGGGAGATGTACTCCCATTGCATGGGGTAGGACACGGGGAGGATGGGGGCGAAGGTGGCGGTTGTTGATGATGCGGTGGTGGTCGACTCGGACAGCGAGGCGAACCACTCGACTACCCACTCGTCTGTGCGCTCGGCCATGCGCAAGGCGCGCTTGGAATTGGGGGCGATACCTTTGTTGGTGAGGTCGGCTAGCGGAATGGCGACGTCGGGGTCGAGGGCCTCAACGGCGGAAAGGTATTCTTTGAGCGTGAGGGCCTGGAAGCCGGTCGAGGTAAAAACGGAGATGGAGTCGTTGGTATTGCCCATAGGGGAGGACACGGCCGGGATGCGGCGAGCACTCAGGACTGTGGTAGTGGACTGCGGCATGCCAGTGAAGCTGTGCAGCCGGGTGTTGTGTTTTGATGTTGTGGGAGTCCCATAAATAGGGGGCGTCCTCTTGGAGTATCGCTGAGGTCGCTCGATGACTGGATCCAGTCAGCTTGACTTTCTGATTTTTTATGAGCAGCAAGACGGTAACTCACAGTCCTCTAGTGCCATATATGCACCAGTAGTCTGCAGGTGCTTTCCCAGGTTGTCGGGAGTGACATGCGGTACGGTACCTCGGGAAGTCATCCCGATGAAGTTGGGTGTGTCAATGGGCAGTCTCCGTGCAAAAGCGAGACGACCAACCCGTGCTGCGACACCATCTTTAAGGGCACCCTTAAGGACCTCAAATCTCATGGCTCTCGAGTCCTCGTTTTGAGTATCAACTGTCATGTTGTGATGTTGCAGATCTGAACTCGCCCCCTTCGTTGTCCTGAACTCCCACACTCCAGGGGCCTCACTGAATCTCTGAGTGCAGAATTTAGACAGGCTTTGTTTCGTTAGGCCCTGCCAGGCTGCCAGTGTCAGCGTCTGGTTTCGGGCAGCCAAGGAAGACTCCACCTGTTCCCCCAGGAGCTGGCTGTGGCAAAATACCTGAAACAAAAGTGACGGTTAAGGATTTGAATTTTTCCCGGGAAAGTCGGTAAGTGGAATTTACTTCTTTTTTGACAGCCGTTTTCTTTCATGAGGTTGAATCTCAGTTTCGACTTTCAATTTTGGGCGCAGTCGGTTGCCAAGAACTGTGGTGCCGTGCAACATGTGCTTGAGTAGACCCATAATAATTGGCTGTATCGGGGGGTTGCCCAGAAGCTGGATTCCCCTGCCTTGCCCGTTCCGGTTGCATCCCACCATTCCGGTACCCCGCTGCGGAACCCGCCCTGCAGGGCTGTGAATCAGCCCCTCAGGCACGAGCTTTTGACAGGGACAACCGTTGGATTGAATGGATGCTGCCCGCCGCGTCCTCGCGTCTTGGCTGCTGGCTTAATGCATCAAGTTCTCCCGGCCAATTCAATGCACCTTTCTACTCCCCAATGTGATATTATCTTTCCATTCTCTCCCCAGAGGAGAGCGACTCCTTTACTGGTTTCCCTTCCGCATGATATAATTAACCATTGCCCTGTTTGATGCGCCAATCCCTCCTCAAGTGCCGACAGCGCAGAGCCGAGCTATCCGAGACCTCAAACCAATTCGATCCAACCCACCTCGTTTGCGTCCCTTCAGCCCATCATGGGCGATAATTCCGCCTCAACCCATGGCCAAACTCGCGATGAGGAGCGCCAGGATGTCACTACTGACTCTGATACATCGGTGACCGTGGTCAGCAACGACCATCCCGATGCCCCGATTCGAAGCTCCCCGCTGGTCGAGGACCTCGAGCAGGAAAGCAGGCCGCCAACTCCCCGCTTCATCCAGGATGAAGGGGCGTGGAAGCGCTTCAAATGGGTGCCATACCCCGTTCGCCGTGTCATCAAGGCCACCGCAAAGTGGGCTCGCGGTCCGCCCAATCCCCATCGCTACCACATCGAACCGCTCCTCCCCCAAGTGCAGCACGCTCCTATCGTAGTCCTCGACAAGTACCTACCCCGGAAGCTTCACAGGGGACTTGCCGTGTTTGTTTTCTTCGGGATATGGCTCCTTACCTTCGCCCTGGTCATGCGCGAAGGCCTGATGGCGGCCGAGATCCCGGAGTGGGGAACGCCCACCCAGATCGGTTGTGGATCTACGTACTGGACGTCCGGGAACGGCTGCGGCGTGGACGGCATGGACTGTCGGCCGTTCAACGACGGCGGATACCCGTTCCGGTGTCCGGCGAACTGCGCGAGCTATCAGGTATTGAACCCGCGCGCTGTCGGGGACCAGGAGATCATCTACCAACCGCTCGTCATCGGCGGCCCGCCGGCACCTAGCAATACGACGGCAGTGTACCGCGGCGACTCGTATATATGCGGCTCCGCGATACACGCAGGGGTCATCTCCAACACTGACGGTGGATGCGGTGTGGTTAAGCTAATAGGACGGAACACCGGGTTCAACAGCTCGACGAGGAACGGCATCACGAGCATCGGGTTTGACTCGTACTTTCCATTGTCGTTCACCTTCGAGCAGGACATCAAGTGTGATGCCCGCGATGTGGTCTGGTCACTTCTCACCATCTCGGTCGTCTTTACGGCCGTCTTTTCGCTGTTCGTTACCTCGCCGGCGCTGTTATTTTTCCCCATTTTCACCGTCTTGTACTGGACCGTCGGCATGGCTACGGACACCCCCAACCACCGCGACGTACCCTCGCTTTTCTCGATCGAAATTGGAAGATTCCTGCCGGCCATGTTCGTTGCATGGGTCATGTATGACAAGATGGGCGTCAGACGGACGCTCAAGGGCCTCACGGCGCAGGTGGAGAAAACGGTCGTCTGGCTCGGCGCCGCGTGGGTGGGCGCCCTGACCAACTACACCCTGGACTTCATCCCCATCCAGCGACTCACAGCCCGCGACCTCCAGCGACAGCCCGGCGCACAGGCCGCGCTCGCCATCATCATCATCGTCCTCGTGACCGTGGCGGCCGCACAGGTCTGGTTCTTCCGGCAAGAAGGCCGCCTGCTCCGCAACCTCCGGCTCTACGCGCTCTTCATCCTGGCCATCATCATCTGCCTCGTCATCCCCGACTTCAACCTGCGCATCCACCACTACATCCTCGCCCTGCTCCTGCTCCCGGGCACCGCTATCCAGATCCGCCCCTCCCTCCTCTACCAGGGCCTGCTCATCGGCCTCTTCATCAACGGCATCGCCCGCTGGGGCTTCGACCCCGTCCTGCAGACCGACTACGCCCTCCGCGCCGACGCCCCGATGGAATCGCCGCTGCCGTCCATCCACAATCCCGTGATTGACGGGAACAGCAGCATCACTTTCTCTTGGGACCCGCCCCCGGGATCGTATGATGGCCTCAGCGTGCTGGTGAATGACGTGGAACGGTTCAGGAAGTATTTTTACGAGGGTGTTAACGAGGTGTCGAATGTCACGTGGGTGAGGGATGAAGATTTGGTGGTGAATGAGTACTTTCGGTTTGCGTGGATGCAGGGCAGTCAGAGGGGCGATTATACGCGGGCGGGGAAATGGAATGAGAGGGGGGAGTGGTCCGAGATGGCGCCTGGGCCGTCACGTCTGAGGGCGAGGAATGAGGGTGGCGATTTGAGGGGATGAAGGGAAGCGGGTTTTTTGTGTTTGCAGCAGGGCGTTGGGTCGATTCAGTTAGGTCAATTTACCTAGTCACCTTAGGTGGCTATCTAGATTTCTATGGTGTTGCCCCGGCGTGGCGGGTAGATTACTACCGTTATGGGCCAAACCCATCAGGGGACCTCATAACCAAATCGACACGTTATGGGTTATATCCCATGAGGAGACCTCACAACCAGATTGGCACGCCATTCAACTTCTTCATCATCATCATATGTCGTGCGGATTTGACCTCTTCCTTTGAATATCTAGTCAGCATGGGAGAACGCGTTAGACCCGAGGACACGATCGCTCACCAAGGTGACCACGGTATGACCTTGGCGAATTGTCAGCTTGGCCGCGTCGTTCATCATGCAGATGATGTTGGCTTCGGGCGCTCCGAGAATCGCGAGAAGCACGAAGATTGAGGCGTCCTCCAAGTACAGGGCGGGATGGAGGCGCTGGAACAGGTTGCGGATCTAGATGACAGTGAGGAAATAGAGGGCAGAGGTCGTTGGAACGTTGGGGAAGGGAGGGAGACTGACATGCAGATTGTAGTTCTGCTGTACCTGGGCACTCTCTGCAGCCCTGTTGTTCGCCGGCTGTTGCTGGCTTGCAGACGCGGATGACTTCTCGGTGGTCATGGTGCGTCGTCGTCGTTGATGCAAGCTTGTGTCTGCATTTTTGGAGTGCCGGGACGAACTGCCCTAAAGTAGTCAGCGGGCACAGACGCAATCAGCCAGACACGCAATCAGCTAGGCACGTCATCATTCAAGTCTCGTCCCCGGAACGGAACTTCAGTGCCGGGCCGCACCGGCCCACGGGTGGCCCCACCCGGACCACAGACCGCCAAGGCAGAGCACCGGCCGCCGAGACGGAGAACCAACCACCAAGACGGAGCACCGACCGCCAAGACGGAGCCCACACCCCACATCGCATCACGTAACCTCTCGGTCCTCTTACCGAGCATTACCCTGATCGAAACCTGCGCATTACATTCCACAACCAAACAGAAAAGTCTAGCAAAAATAAAACAGACACACCCAAAATGCCACCCACCCGCATCCCCACCGAGGAAGACTTCGCCTCCATCTTCCCTTCCCACCCCACCTTCCCCGCAACACAGACCAGTCCCATCTCCCTCGTCTACCCCAACCCACGGGAGTCGACAACTTCAATACTGTTGCTGCTACACGGGCTGGGTGACTCTGAGGGTATGTCTCCATAACCCCTCCCTCCATTCCCTTCTCACCACACCACCCCTCACCACCTCCCCACCCCCTCCTCCCCCCTCCATCCCTCCCCCCCTCAACCTAACAACCAACCAACCCAAAAAAATAAACTAACACCCCGCCCCCAAACAGCCCCATTCACAACCTTCGCCCGCAACCTCTCCCTCCCCGGCGTCCTCTCCATCTCCATCCGCGGCACCGCCCCCCTCCCCGCCCTCCTCACCAGCACCAACAACCCCAACAATCAACAGCAACAAGGCTACCACTGGGGCGACGACATCACCTTCTCCTCCAGCAGCGGACAACTCGATCCCGACCCCGGCTTCGCCACCGCCCGGCGCTGGATCACGGAGCGCCTGATCGGGGAGGTGCTTTTGCGGCGGTGTGGGTGGGAGGTGGGGGATGTGATGGTGTTTGGGTTTGGGCAGGGGGGGAGTGTGGCGTTGGGGTTGGGGAGTTGGTTAAGGCGGGGGGGTTTTGAGGGGAGTTCTGAGGGGGCTTCTGAGGGGGGTGGGGATGGGAATGGGGATGGGTTGGGGGGGAGGGCGTTGAAGGGGGTTGTTTCGGTGGGTGGGGGGTTGCCGTTGTCGATGGTGCCGCCGCCGGTTAGGGGTGGTGGTGGTGTGGTGGGGAAGGCGAAGACGCCGGTGTTGGTTTGCTGTGGGCGGGAGAGTGAGGCGGTGGATGCGGATGCGGAGGAGGTTTTAGAGAGGGAGTTTGAGACGGTGAAAGTGGTGAGGTGGAATAGGAGCGATGACGGGATGCCGAGGAGTCGGGGGGAGGTGTTGCCCATGATGCAATTCTTTGCGGAGAGGTTGAGGAGTGGGTGGCTTTAGGGTGTGGGATGGGACGGTATTTCTACATTTATGGAACCGAAAATTGGCGAGGAAACGATCTAGACTTTATTGTAAATGCAATCATTGCTTTTCATTCAAAGGAGTAATGTGAACGCAAGAGGCGGAGAAGAGATGGTAATGAAAATACCTAGTTAAATCTAACTTGCAGAGACCACTTGAAGATGGCAACGCAATACCATTGCTTGAATAAGGGAGCAAAAAGGGGGGAATAAGAGGGGGGGTTCCTCTCGTGAATCAGCGATGAGCAAATAAATGCGCGAACTCGCGCTCTACCTTCTTCCCGATCGCCATTTTTGGTGAAATGAAGAGCCATTGCCATGTCGAATGCTCCTCCTGCTCGTAACCGATTTATTTCCCCGTAACTGCCAAAATCATCGCCGATAAGGTGCTAACCATGCAGCATCGCAGATTCCCGTTGCTGTCCCGAGATTGTAGACGGCCCGGAAACCAACTGCCTCCCGAGTTGTCTAAGCCTTGAGCTTGAGCCACGCCCGGCATGGGTTAGGGCCGTCATTGATCTTGCCGCCTACGCCGCTAGTACTAGCCTGCTAGGAAGAAGAAATACCCGCGATGGCGAGCTCGAGATCTCTCGTCAGCTTCAAAGTGAGCCCGAGACGTGCCTGCCACGCCGAAACATCCCGAGTTATGTCTTCGACCATCTCGTCGATGATGGCGGCAGTGGGGACACCGGGTACACCCTCGGCCAGATGTCTGAGGCGGCAAACATTCCATTCCATGCTCTGTAGCTGATTCCACCTCCTTAGGCTAGTCGAGCCGGTGTCAAGGATATCCTGCTTCACAGCGTTGACCAGCGTGATGGTTTTGTCAAGCGTCACCGCTACCTTCTCGCACTCAGCCGCAACCGTTTCAAGCGTGGCAAGCCCAATGTCCTTCTCCTGCAGAACAGTCTCAATGAGAGAGGCCAAGTTCGCAGTCTCTTGATGGGTGCATTCGCTGAAGTAGTCTGTGTCTCTGGCAGTTATGTATGTTTGCATGTGCTCCCTGATCTCTTTGTATCTCGAGCTCTCCTCGAGTTTCGAAACCATGTCGGAAAAGCCAACCCGGTGGTTGCGGCGATATCTGCTTGAGTCGATCAGAAACAGGCGGCCCTCAGGGTCGATCCCTATCTCATCGGGATACAGCTCGGGCTGGCCAACCTCCTTGACCTCCTTGAGGAACCGGACCGAGGCCAACGCGTTCACGACGACGTCTCTGGCAGTTGACGTAGGGAGGACACCCTTGGCCGTGTTTTTGTCCAGCCCCGAACACTCGGTCAAGCGGGCAATATTCCTTTCGGACGGTTTGTCATACCATCTGGATCCGGCTTCCAACGGTCCCTCATCAAGCTGCTCTTCATCGGATTCCTCCCCACCGGAAGGCTCCGAGTAAGTCAGTTCGCTCTCGGTCGGACCATGATCCACAGCAGGCAAATCTTTCATCATATAGTCGTCCTCCTCGTCATCTTCCATCGTATCGTCCTCTGTGTCGCGATCCTCGGTGCGTACTCCATCCATGCTCTCATAATCGGAGCCATTATCCGATCCATCAAATAGCTGCAACGTCGAGACGGGGATTCTATCCGAGACTTCAGAACAGGATGAGTCGTAACGGTAGTGCGGAGGCTCACTAGCCTGGCTAGGGGAGTAGGCACGAACTCCACGGCCGGCACTCCCTGTCGGGTCTGCCTGGGAGTGGGTGGTCGAGGAATGGCCTGGCGTGCCCATTGTAGCGGTCGTTCTTTTGACCTGCTTTCTTTTGGAGAGTGAGTCGGTCAATGTTGTCTGGCCTATCGTCCCGTCAAGAGCTTGCGAGTGGCGGGATTCGGACTAGCTAAGCTCGAGTAGTCTATCGAGGTTAGGATCAAGTGGTGCAAGGAGCAATTCGGAAAGAAAAGCTTACTTGGATGTTTTCCACTCTTTTGGTGTTTAGCGGGAGCAGGTAGGATGTTGCGATAATCGCCTGCCTTGACCAGTTATTTTGTGCTTCCGTAAACCCTAGTAGAGCTAATGGGAGCGAAGTGACCTTTTCTTCGCCCGGAAGGGGTGAGTGGTGACGTGACTAGCAACGAAGAAAAGGAGAAGGGATTTGAGGAGGATGAATTGTAGAAGAAGTAATACCCAGAAAGTAGTTGTTTCTTCGCCAAAGCATTGGGGAGTAGGCGGCTGAGAGGAGGATGCTGAGAGTGAAGGTTTAAATAGACCGAGACTTCCCTTGTTTATGATTCACTTGAGAGAAGCGGTTGAGAACAACCGTGTTATTGCTATTACCCTAATCATGTCTTCACGGGTCACATTATCCCAAAAAGGCCGTGGAACCCTGAGAAAACAACACCGTCGCCAAAAAACGAGATTGTCCCAAGAACAACACCACTCCTAGAAAGCAGCACCACCCCAAGAAAACAACAACATCATTCCAAAAACAACACAAATCCAATTTACCAAGAACAGAGTCCCTCCAATCATCATCATAATTATCATCATCAACCGCCTTCCTTCCCGACCACAACCCCCTCCCTCCCTGTCGCGTTCTTCTTGACGCCATTCCCAGACAGCCAGTCCCAGACAGCCAGTCCCAGACAGCGAGTCCCGGCCTGTTCATTCATTGCCACATCAAGTACTGGCAGCACCTTTTGTTGGCTCCTCGTCGCTTAGATCGCACCAAGGGCTGAAAACCTGCGGATGGCGAGTCTTAGGCGGTACTCTAGGACTTTAATCTGATCGGACCATAATTCGGACAGCCCCAAGTCGTTCCAAATCAGGTCGATGACCTTTTTGGCAGGTGTATTCACCTGTCCTGCCCTTTCCATCCCATCAACAGTGCCTTGAAAATTCAGCCCCACAGACCGCCGCATCTCGAGCAGTTCATCCCATCTTCTGGGCGGTCGTTCTTTCAACAGGTCTTTGCGCACTTCCCTGGCCAGGGTTCTGAAATTCGCCAACTCGGCAGCCGCCGGCTTGCATAGTAGAAGAACCACGTAGACGTCCTGGGCCTCGAAGTCGAGCTCGTAGAGCTTCTTGATCCGGACCGCATTGCGCAGCGTCTTCACTTTGCTTAGCTGCTGGCCTTCGATCCTATCCTCGGGCAGGTACTGCGGGCAGCAGTTCCCCGTGAATGAACCGATATCCAGCCTGACATCATTCTTCGTAGCCCACAGTCCCGTGTCTGGTTCCAACCTCGGCCGAATTTTCGCGACCAGATCGCGAAACCTGTCGCTGTAGTCCTTGTCGCCCGGGCCGAGGTGGCGGAGACGGCCGACGTAGTCGATTCCAAGGCCTTTGGTGCGGACGATGTCATCCCCGAGCGTCTCGAGAAGCGGGACCGAAGCCATTGCGTTGTGGAGGACGACATCGTAAGTGGCGTTGGATAGGTCGGAATCTAGTTCGAGCCATCGCAAGTCGCCCATGGCCTTGAGGAACAAAAACCCGGGGAAGTGGCGGGGCCACATCTTCTCCCATATTGAGTCGTCTTCGCTGAAGTCGCTTTCGCTTGAACTGTCGCTGTCCCAGACGCGGCCAGATGAGGAACAGACTGATGGAGAGCGTGATGTAGTCATTGTCGGGCACCTGAATGCTGAGTGATGTGGGTGAAGAGAAAGATGAAACTTGCTAGAGACGGCAGTGTGACAACCGGACTTTATACACCATTAGAAGAAAGCATGAGGGTAACACTAAGAAGGACAGGGAGCTACAAACCACCAAGCTGCCTCCTTCACAGGAGTCACGGCAAACAATGAGGTTCCTTACTCACCACCACTGAAATGACTCGCTGGTAAACACGAACGGTTTGACTATAAAAGCGCTTGCTTGATGCACACAAATATCCTTTCTAGTCCTAGCAGTCAGTATATTCAGTGACAGGTCGATAGATTGGATTGGAGTTTGCTTACCACATGTGGACAAAAGCAAACTAAGTCGACAAACGATTGCTGCAAGTGTAAGCAAAGCCGGCAAAGAGGACGCAATGAGATGGTATTCTTTCTAAGAGCACAGTCACCTCTAACCACCAACGCCCACCCTAACAGGCACTCAAACCTCAAAGATCTCTCCAATCCCTTCTCCCCCGCCCCTCCGGTTCTCCACCAAATCCAGCCGCCACCCCTCCCAGTTCTTCAACGACCGCTTGATCTCTTTGATCCTCTCAATCCTCTTCTTTTGTTCCTCCTCCTGCGCCCGCCGGAACGCCTCCTCGTCAAACTCCATATCGTCATCTTCCAACAACCCCTCATCATGCCCATGTCCGTGTCCATAACCATGTCCTTGTCCATGTGCACCCCCAGGCCCGCCGGCGCCGGCGCCGGCGCCAGTCAGCGCATTCAGCCCACTGGTAAAGAAATCCCCCAACCCAGCCGCCCCGCCCTTCCTCGGCGGCGACCCCATGCCACCACCACCACCACCACCACCCAGATCAACCGTCTCAAACCTCCCTCCCACCCCACCACCCGCGGCGGCGGCGGCCATAGCCTCATCAGGCCCGACCTGCATCTCGCGCCTCTTCTCCCGCCAAATCCCGCCCCTCAGCTCCGTATTCTCCGCCTCCAGCTCCCGCACCCTCCGCTCCAGCCTCAGCCGGCCCTCATCCTCGAGCTCATCCACACCCTCATCATCCCCGCCACCCTCGGCCGCATCCTTCTTCCGCAGCCTCACATTCTCCGCCTCCACCCTCTCCAACTTCGCACGCACCTCGACAACCTCCTTCTCGGCGCGCTCCTTCTCCCGGCGCAGGGCCTGGACGCGGCCGTCCTGCTCGCGGTGCAGCGTGGTCAGGGTGGCGGCCTTCTTCTCGAGCGCCTCGGCCTTGCGGGCGAGGTCGTCGCGGGCGGCGGACGCGTCGGCCGCGGCCTGCTCGAGCGCCCGCAGCTGCGTCTCGGCCGACGCCCGCGACGAGCCCTCCTTGACCGCCCTCTTCGACGCCTGCTCCAGCTCCGCCTTGACGTCGTGCAGCTCGCGCTGCGCGAAGCCGGCCGCCTGCTCCGCGCGCGCGAGCTTTTCTTCCAGGGCGGTGATTTGCTCCGATGGGGTGGATGCTGAGACGGAGAGCCGCTCGACTTGGGCACGTAGCCGTGACATCTCGAGTTCCATGGTTTCGATGGTGGCGGACTTGCTGCGGAGTTGGGCTTCGAGCTCGGTGGTGGCGGGCGGGGCGGTCATGGAGAGGGAGGGGGAGGCGCCGTGGCGGCGGGTGACCTGGGCTTGGAGCTGGGCGTTTTGGCGTTGGAGGGCGGCGAGATCGCTTTTCTGTTGTGCGGTGTTAGTCGGTCACCGGGTTTTTGACTTGCTTCTAAAACAACGTGTACTTACCAACTTTCCCACCTCGCCTCCCCCTTCCGCAGCAGCGGTACCCTCGCCCTCGCCCTCCCTCAGATCTGCCAACTCCCCCTCGGCCTTCTGCCATCGCTTCTCCGCATCCTTCGCGTCCTTCGCCAGCGTCCTGTTCTCCTTCTCAAGCTCCTCGATGCGCAACACATGTTTCCGGTAAATGTCCGGCGCCGTCTCGCCTTCAGGGCTGAACAATCCCAGTCCTGTGCCGGCGCCGGGCGATAACGGCGCGCCGCTAGAGAGGGAGACAGACCCCTGCCTAAACGAGGTTGATCGCGCCTTTGATTGTTGCGAGAGCGAGGGTGTAGTAGACGTGGAAACCGCTTCGGCGGTGGTGTCTTCCGGGACGGAGGGGAACGCCTCGGTCGGCTTTTCCTGCTCCTGTTGTCCCTCCTTGTCGTCCTTCTCGGGCGCATCCGTGGCAGTCGGGGTTGCTGGCGACGAGGGGGTCTCTTCGGTGGCGGGGGCGGGGTTCGCAGCTTCACCCCCTTTCTTGCTGCCGCCTCCGGCCTTTTTGGCCTTTGCTTTTCGCATTTGATCGAACTAGCCATTGTCACATCTGTTAAGTACGCGACCACATCGATCCAACAGATGGTGAGGAAATACCTTCTTCTTGGCCGCAGCCATCTTCTCGGCCTTGGCCTTGTCTTCGTCCATGGTGGGGGTTGTGTTGTTTACTAAATTGGGTGGTTTTGATCGCAAACGAATCGCAAGACAAGTCTATGTAGTACGGCCTTCTATGTTAAGTTGAGGACTTGCTTGTGCCAATGTCGTTGTTCCGGGAATGCAACTTGTCTTGTCGCACATGCGAGGTGGCAGCTCCAACTTAAGCCCGCCGCAGGAACGACAGGGATACCCAACACCCCCACACCAGCTGCTCGGTTGCCCTGTGCGTTTCCGGAACCCCTGTCTAAGCAGCCACAGGGGTGTTCACACCACGGCACAGCATTTTTACGGGAACTGAAGCAAGACAGAAGCAAGACATTGGTAACACAGAAGTCTATTTGCTTCCAAGATCATAAAATGGGCGTTCATAACCGCATATTTCGACAGCACAAGACATAGCTCTTTTCATGGCTCCGTGTATCGGGCATCCTCCTTCCTCAGCTCCTTCCTAAGGCAGTGGTCTATCGCTAGTTATCTCCCCGACTTGTTTTCCGCCGTTCATTACCTCGCCCTTATCATTATCACGCTCCGTTTAGAGGATCTGCTGGAACGCACGGTTGATGGGCGAGCGGATGTTGGGCACATCCTTCCAGAAGTTGACGGTAGCGACCGCCCGCTTGGCAATGCCCTCAGGGGTGAACTCGAACTTCTGTTGGACGCAGAGACGTTAGCATGGAGCGATAGAACAAAAGGGCCGGAACAACTTGCCTTGTACACATCCTTGTAGGCGCCCGAGGCACCGAAACGGTTGAGGCCAAACTGCTCGTGAGTGTACCTCTCCCAGCCCATGGTGCTCATGACCTCAACGGACAGCGACGGGATGCCGTCAGGGAGAACGCTGAGGCGGTACTCCTTGGACTGGGTGTCGAACACCTCGAAGCAGGGCATCGAGACAACACGGGCCTTGATGTTGTGCTTCTCGGCCAGCTCCTTGACGGCGTCAATGCAGATGCACACCTCGGAACCAGTCGACACCAGGGTGACGTCAGCACCCTCCTGCTCATGGAGGACGTAGCCGCCCTTGATAGCCTTGTCAATGACAGAGCCCTCGAGCTGCGGCAGGTTCTGGCGCGAGAACGCCATAACGCTGGGAGTGTGCTTGGAAACGAGAGAGACGTAGTAAGCAGCGCTGGTCTCGTTGCCGTCCGCCGGGCGCCAGACCATGCAGTTGGGCAGGGCACGGAAGTGGGCAAGGGTCTCAATAGGCTGGTGAGTAGGGCCGTCCTCGCCGAGACCGATCGAGTCGTGTGTCGCAATCCACATGACGCGCACCCGGGAGAGAGAAGAAAGACGGACAGCACCGGCAGCGTATGAGACGAAGTTGAGGAAAGTACCGCCATAGGGGATGATGGTACCGTAGGCGGCCATACCATTCATGATGGCGCCCATGCCGTGCTCGCGCACACCGAAGCGGATATACCGGCCGGCGTAGGTGCCGAGGCCAGTCGAGGGGGGCTGGTAGTCAATGGCTCCCTTCCACCGGGTCAGGTTGGAGCCAGTCAAGTCAGCGGAACCGCCGACAAGCTCGGGGATGGCGTCAAAGATCTTGTTGATGACAGTCTCGGAGAGCTTCCTGGACGCAACAGCAGCGTCGGCAGGGGTGTAGGTGGGGAGGTGCTTCTCCCAGCCCTCCGGAAGTTCGCCCTTCAGACGGCGGGCCAGGTCGGCGTGCTCAGCCTTGTACTGCTCGGCGTACTTGGCGAACAGCTTGTTCCACTCCTCCTCGTGGGCGGCACCGGAGGTGACCGCCTTGTTGCAGTGGTCGTAAACCTCCTGGGGCACGACGAAGCTCTGCTCGGGGTTGAAGCCGAACTTCTCCTTCAGCTGCTTGATGTCGTCGGCCTTGAGGGGAGAGCCGTGGACGCCGTGGGTGCCCTGGTTCTTCGAACCAAAACCAATGATGGTCTTGAGCTGGATGAGGGTGGGCTTGTCCTTGACCTCCTGGGCCTTCTTGAGGGCGGCCTCCATGCCGGCGAGATCGCTGTCGCCGTTCTCGACCGTCAGGACCTGCCAGCCGTACGACTCGTACCGCTTCACAACGTCCTCGGTGAAAGCCTGGTTGGTGTCACCATCGATGGTGATCTTGTTGTCGTCCCAGACGGCAATCAGGTTGCCAAGCTGGAGATGGCCGGCCAGCGAGCAGGCCTCGGACGAGACACCCTCCATCAAGCAGCCGTCACCGAGGAAGCAGTACGTGTAGTTGTCAACCAGGTCAAAACCCGGCTTGTTGAAGACGGCAGCGGTGTGCGCCTGGGCCATAGCAAGACCAACGGCATTGCTGATACCCTGGCCGAGCGGGCCGGTGGTGACTTCCACGCCGGGGGTGTCGTGCGCCTCAGGGTGGCCGGGGGTGATGCTGTCGACAGTCTTGTGGTCATGTTAGAGAACATGGCGCGCCTGAATGCAGGTAACTGCGAGAACTTACCCGGAAAGCCTTCAGGTCATCCATAGAGACGGCATAGCCGTAGAGGTGGAGGAGAGCATACTGGAGCATGCAGCCGTGCCCGTTGCTAAGAGGGTAGTTGTGTGAGCCAATCCCATCCCCGAAGACAGCCGAACCTATGCGACTTACGAGAGGACAAAGCGATCCCGGTTGAGCCACTCGGGGTTCTTGGGGTTGAACCGCATGAAACGGTTGAAGAGGACGTGGGCAATGGGCGCCATGCCCCTGGTTTTGCGTTAGCGGTTTCTGGTCCGGAATCGGCGGCCAGGCCAATTACTGCTGTCGAGGAGCTTACATTGGGGCACCCGGGTGACCCGAGTTGGCGTGGGCGGTCGCATCGGCCTGGAGAGAAAATAACTTGTGAGTGACTGCTCATTTTAACAATATTATCACCGTACGACACGTCGTGAACCCGAGAAAACAGCCCTCATCTTCGCTCAATGGTGGGGCAGCGAGACGCGCCGTTTGGCGGGGGCGGGGTTCTTTTTTTGTTGGGAGGGGCAGTAACTTACCGCCAACACGCGGATCGTGTTGATCGCGAGGTTGTCGACGTCGGAGTAACCCATCTTCGCGGATTCTAGATTAATCAAGCGTACGAAAGGGTCAAATTCACTGCTGTGGCAGAGTCTTTGGAGAGGATGCGAAGGGGAGAAGGTGGGAGACGGAGGAAGGTGGGGTGTTAGTTTTATGTATGTGGTGTCCCAGGAACCCGCCCTGCCGCCGTGTTTGGGGGTATCGACACCCTCATGGATCAGGCAGGTGGGGTAAGCCCACGCCCAGCGCTGGGAAGCAACGAGCTGCCGTGAGGCTTCTGGTTCGCCCGGATGAATGCCACGGTGGAGTTATCGAGACTCGGGCTGAGCTTGACCGGTTCATGCCCACCCCGTATGGCCAGTGCTCTCGCTCTGTTTTGCCCCTGCCTCCAATGATGGTAATCTGTTTTCCTATCACCGGAGTACAGCGGGGCATCCTGACGTCGAAGACTGAGTGACGTTGCCCAAGAGCCGATCCCCGGATGCGATGCTTGCTCCATCACTGTGCCACAAAGAGCGGGTTTATTAAGGCTTGTAAAATTCTTACATATCTGCAGGGACCGCAGGAATGGGGAGGCCTGGAGGTGAAACAGTTGGCGAACGGCACATCCGGGAAGTATGTTGCCACGGCCCATGACAACGAACAGCACCAATCAATACGTGAGAGTTGACCAAGCATCATGTCAACGGAGATTCGCTCACTCAGCGCCCCATCTCCGCGGTGAAGCTATCAACTTGGGGTCACCTATCAGTGCGGGCTTTTCCTCGGTTGCCAAGCCGTAGCATGAGGGGTTGGGGGTTCCCGATGAAGTTCGACACGCCGCTCTCGAGATCTTTGCAGCCCAACGGCAAAGCGAGGTTTGATGCGAACCTTTGCCTGCCGCTGACGGAACGAGTTTCATGGATGGCGGGGGCACAGAGGCACTCCCGCGCCATATGTTGGAGACAGGGAGCGCCATTGGCTACAAGCTTTTGCCTCCAGGATGGCCTTGTGTCATGGAAGACTGGCATGGCCGGTTACGGCGCTGAAATTCCCGCTTTGCTCAATAATAATGTTTTGGGACGGGCCTGGCTGGCAAAGAAGTGTTGTTTGTTCGTGAACTTGAGATGAACGCTGCTGAATATGGCAAGGGTTAGGGTCATTTCTGAGAGAATTCTCGAAGCGAAACTCGAGACACCAAATTTTCGATGAGGGTGGGGTTTGCAGCTCAACATCGGCCTCGTTCCACCACACGAACTTGAATTCAGCCTAATTCCAGATTTACGATTTTTTGAACCTCCACCTTGAGATGAGGCTGAAGAGCTCAGAACCGAAACAAGCAATATCCAAACAAAACAAACACAAAAATGGTTGGCAAAAAGAAGGCCTCCTTTCGGCCAAAACCCAAGGTTAACGACTACGCTACAATCAAGAAAAACCAGCAAAAAAGGAAGCAAGCTGCTTCTGCCTTGGCCAAGGATAATGAGGCGCAGGATGAGCTAGACAACAAGCCGGCCTTGTCGGACAATGACCAAAAACAACAGCAGCGTGTTCTAGACATCTTCCGCCATGCGTTTAGCGAGGCTCTCACATCATCAACCCTCACCACCACCTTGCAATCAGTGAAACAAGCCCTCTATGATCGAGATTTTGCGAGGGCCTTTGGTGATCCAGAGCACTTGGAAGTGTATGCGGCACGATGGAGCCCGACTAGAGCTTTGTGTTATGCCTCTGTGTTGGAAAGGATAAAGGAGCATCTTGAACCGCTATCAGATGGTGATGAGACAGAGACGGAATCGACGACCGACACACAAAAACCACAAAATCTCAGGATTCTCTCCGTCGGTGGCGGCGCGGCCGAACTCGTCGCCCTCGGAGCATTCGTCAACCAGAACCCTTCACCACTATCAGGCTCCATAACCCTCCTCGACTCTGGCCCCTGGGAAACCATCGTCGCCAAACTCACCACAGCCCTTACCACCCCTCCCCCGGTTTCCAAATACGCCAGTGAAGCGGTCAAACTCTCCAACGCCGCCATGGTCCCCCCCTCGCGCCTCACGACAACCTTCCGCCAACAAGATGTCCTCACATTCGACAAAGATAGCTTTCCTTCCCTCCTTGGCACCACTCCTCTCCTCGTTACGATCCTCTTCACCCTCAACGAGCTCTTCACAACAAGCGGCATCGGCAAGCCCACTACCTTCCTACTCAACCTCACCACTACAATCCCGCTCGGCTCTCTGCTACTGGTCGTCGACAGTCCCGGCAGCTACTCCGAGACCACCGTTGGCAAGGAAGCGAAACGATACCCGATGCACTGGCTGCTGGACGAGATTCTGCTTCGCACCAAGCCCGAGAACGTCAACGGGCGCCGGTGGGTCAAGATTGAGTCCCATGAATCAGTTTGGTTCCGCCTAGCGAGTGAAGGGTTGGATTACCCAGTCGCGCTCGAGAACATGCGGTATCAGATGCACCTTTACAGGGCAGAGGATGCGTCCCAGCAGCAGGAGGATGACCAAGAGTCTGTTATCTCGGTTTGAGGGAGAGACCGGTATATACAACAAGCGAGCTATCACTTCAGCCAACCCCCCAATGAACCGACTCGTGGCTATGCCCACACCAACTTCTTGATCGAATGTCCCAGCTGTTCCAGAAGGGTGGTATTTTTCTTCGCTTCCGCCAAGGAGATGATATCACCCTTCTCGATGAGGCTGGTCTCCTCAGTATTCTTGCTCGCCAACCGCGGCTGGTTTTGGATTGCAAGCCTCTCGATTTCGGCCGCAATTAGCACCACCTGTTGGATCTCCGTCAGTCGGGTGATGGCCCCTGGATCGGCCTGCTTGTTTTTCGCCATGGGATCAGCGGCAGATGTCTGGCTATGCAGTGCCTTCAGAGCAATCTTCCGTGGTGCTGCCGTCTGCGGGCGGCGGGTGAGAAACCCGGCAATGCCTAAGGCTGGGGGCGCGGATTCAGCGTCTTGCTTGTCAGTTTCCTCGGGTCCCTGGGTTTTGGGCGCGCCAGAGACAGAGGACAACGAGCGTGTGTTGACGCGGGTGATGTCGGTTAGCCCAGGCTTGTACTCAACCACCAAACCAACGTTGCGCATATCGTCGAGCTGGGCGGGGGAAATGGTTGACGTGATGTAGGTGCCGAACTTGATTTTCTGGATGTGGGCCAGATCAACACGCTCGAAGGAGGATACCTTGTCCAGAGTCCAGTCGAACCGGCAGAGATAGAGCGCCACATCGGTTAGGAGAAGGACGGCCTCCTCCAAGGAAGCACTCCGCACCGTGTCGGACACGTTCGGTGTGAGCATCGCCCAGCCGCCAACGAACTCCTCATCCTCGTCAGCAACGACCCGCTTTTGGCAGAGCTCGATGGCTTGCTGGCGCATGTTCTGCATTGATACAGCCGGGTCCTTGGTCATCATGGTGGCTTCGAACTCCTCGAACACGAGGGAGGTGACGTTGCCGAGGAGGAAGTCGATGCTAGCTTGGAGGAAGAAATCGTTAAACATGCTGGCAGCCGTTAGCAAAAGTTCAATTTTCAAGAATCATCCAGCAACAGCGTACCCATTGAACAACCGAGTCAAGGACAACCCGGCGTCAGTTAGCGCGCCGCGGTAATCCCTCTTTCTCGTCCGCGTGTAGTCACCCTTCATCGCGCCCGTGGAAGCGTACTGCTTGGAGATGGCATCGCCGTTATCAGCCCAGAGGGTATTGAACCAGGCATTCTCCTGGTCTGCCTGCACACCCATGTCAAAGCCCTGTTCCCTGAGTTGCAAGTCGAGCATGTGCTTGGCAAACGAGCTCTGGCAAACGTTGGTCCGGTCGAGACAGTCCATGCAGTTTGTCCGCAGCACGCCTTTCTGCCGAGCCTCTAAGCGGTCGTTCACAGAGACAGAGCTCCCGAAATTCTCCAACTGGCCGCCGAGGATCTGCAAGAGAAAGGAGACATTCTCAAACTTCATGCCGCGGCAGACGGCATGGAAATCGAACCACTCAAATTTGACCTTGTCCGCCTCCGTTTGAGCCTCATCGTTGAACCGCTGTATGCTCTTCTCGTACAACTCAGCCAACGGCGCCTCAACGCCGCGCTTCTCGACTAGGTTGACGGCCTGCACCGAACCATACCGCTTACCCAGGCCCGTGAAATGCTTCTTTAGTGCCGCAAAGTTGGAGTCCACCGAATGCTGCATGACTGGCACTGGCTTGAGCGAATACGGCGACTGTGTAAAGAACAACGGAATGCTCCCTCTTGTCTGTACGAACGAGAACACCTTGGCCTTAGGATCCCACGCCGCATCCGCCGGCGCGAGAAGCTGCTCCGACTCGACCGAGTTGGCGACGTTACCCTCCTCGTCGATCCCGCGGCGGAGATACCGAAGCCCGGCGCGTTTGACGGAACGGCGCGAGATGACCGTGATATCGAATTCCTTCTCCGTCGGCCTCCTATCAGCTGTAGCCTTTTCTGGTGGTGTTGGCGACGCAGCTCTGGACGAAGCGAAGTCGCTAAGCTCGACAGAATCCTTATGAGCGCCATCGTCTTGCGGAGGGTGACTATCCACGAGAAACGTCCTCTGCCCCACGAAGCCCTGCATCAGGGGCAGAGCGAGGCTGTCTACCCCGGCATCGATGAACGGCTGCATGATGTTCTGATTCCAAAAATAGGCAGGCTCGACATGCTCATGCAACGGCACCAGCGGCGTCTCGGGCACCTTCGGGTTCGCCATACTCCGCGTGATATCCTGGTCGTAGGCGAAGTAGAACGTCTTGCTCGATCCAAACAAGATTTGACTCGTCCTCAACAGCTTCGGCAGCAGGCTAATCGCAGCCGCGGTACCGTCGGCGTCGGCGTCGGCAGTAACGCCGAACTTGGTCGGCACCGCCCCTTTACCCTCCCTCCCATTATTCCCACCACCACCACCACCACCACGACCAGCCGGCCCATCATCCGCGCTCAGCCCCATCGACCGCTTCTGACCCGCCGCCCACCCAGACCGACTGAACCACCGCTGGGCAAACCGCCCATAACTCCCCTTCCGCCCAATGACATCCTGCGCAACGCTGCTCCGCCTCCCCGAAGCAACCGCCGCCGCCGTCGCCGCCTCCGACTCACTCAACACCTCCCCATCATCCCCAACCTCATCACTCCCCCGACCACTCACTCCCCCCCCCACCACCACCACCACCCCCCGTTTCCGGCCCGGTCTCATCCCCGCTCGCACCAGCAGTTGACAGCTCCTCCTCACTACCACCACCACCACCACCACCACTCTTATTATCCTCCTCCCTCCTCCCTCGCACCTGGGCGGCCGCAGTCGCGGCGATGGCCTGGGCGGCGTCCTGCTGCGACGTGCAGGGGGTGAGGGCGACCTCGGTGACGACGTAGACGGGCAGGCCGCGCACGGAAGCGACCTGCTGGCGGCGGGTGATGGAGATGAGGTAGCTGTAGTGGAAGACGGTTACGAGGCCTGCGGTTGGCGGAGGAGAGGGGGTGGTTAGTGGATGGTTTTGTTTTCGGGGAAGGGGTTGTTTGTTTGTTACTGGGGAGGGAGCTCGAGGGTTCGAGTGGGTGGTGGCTTACCGACGATCCCGAAGGCCTCGAAGGAGGAGTTTGGCGGGAGCGAGGCTGGATCGGGCGCCGAGTCCCGCGGGGCGGGGGAGATGGAGGCGTCGCCGTACTTGATGCGGATTGGGGGGAGGGCGGCGGATCGCTGCTGCTGTTGGTCTTTGCTGCGCGAGTTGAGCGGGTGCAGCACCAGCCCGTCGACCGCGGCGCAGATGATTACTTTGCGCGCCAGGCCCGGCATGGCGAATGGTTTGTGTAAGTGGTCTAAACCATGCCCAAAAGTCACTATTGAGCAGGAATGGTAATGTGCTTGGTTTGTTCTGTGGGTTGAGGGGTCTAACTATTTGACGTAGAATAAGATAAAATAAGCGTGTATAAACCAAGGAAAGTCTGTCTTGGGAGAAAGCGCCGGTTATTAATAAGACCTCGAGCGGGCTACATTGCCGGGTCTACCTGGCCCTCGACTTGGGACCTGACCTGGCACCGATGATGTCTGGGGATGTGGGGTTTTCGACCCATCCTGCAGGCCCCCACGTCAGATTGCCAAGCAAATGGAAATCGAGGAAAGAAAGGCGTGTTGCAAATTGCAACCCCAACCCTGAATCGAGAATGGAGAGGTCGGGAGAACTCGAGGTGTATTTTCCCTAAACGAACTTGCTAGACTACAGCGGGTTGGTGCCGATCCAAATCCTGCTCTGTGCAGCCAGCCGAGTACCAGACATGCTCAAGCGTTTCACCGTCCCGGCATGTCGGCCATCTAGTCCAATCCAACCTCCACAACGGCCTTCTCTCAACCCAAAAATTCTTTACATAGCCAGGCGCTCGACCTTGTCGCGCAGGGCGCGGATCTTCGAGTTGAGGTCCGAGGCCTCGTTCGACGTGAGGGAGACCGCGATGACGGCACGCGAAACACCACAGGCGCGGCCGAGGGCGACCTTGCTAGGGACGTACTGCGGGCATGTTAGCTTCTCACAACTCGTTACGTGCAGCGAGGTTACGTACCACATAGGGAACGTTCTTCTCCTCGCCGATGAGCGGGATGTGGAGCACAATGCTCAGCGGCTGGGTATCAGCGGCGAGAATAACGAGCTCGCTCGTGCCGCGGTTAATCCTGAATACCCGTCAGTCAATCAATATCGCATCGTACTCGAGGAAAGGGTGGACATACGACTTGGTCGCTTCGTTCTGGAACCGAGTTAGTGATTATCCTAGCTAAAATTGATTGGTGGGCTTTTCTTACAGCGCCCTTCTTGAGCTGGCGGTAGTGGCTAGCCTGCTGAACACAGTCGAGCAGTTCCTGGACCAGCGCGGGGTCCTCGGCCTTGGGCCAGGCGGCAGACTCGTTTTGAGCAGCAGACATCTTGACGTCGATCAGAATTGAAAGGTTGAGAGTTCGGTAGGAATTATCTTGTCACCAGGGTTCACTGCGTTTGCTCGCCCTGGGGTGGAGTGGGATGCCGTGAGAAATTGCGATCGCGAGGTACGACGAAAAAAGATGGATTGCCAGCGCTGGCAGCAAAAACAGGCCCCAGCTTGACGGAAACTTTGGGCGGTCATGTGCGGCAGAATGGACTTTGGTTCAACCGGCATCCGGATTACCTAATTGAAGGTGGCTGAGGTGGATGCTGGATGCCGCCGAGCAAAGCTCCTGAGGCACAGCCAACCAACAACCTGCACCAACCTGCGCCAACCTGCAACCTGCAACCTGGAAACACCGACCTCCAACCTCGAACTGTCAACCATCTTCCCGACATCCACCCAACAGAGCTTCGACTCCCAACGCACAACACATCGCGCAATTGCCCTCATCGCCCTCGAGCCCCCAATTACTTACCTTTAGTTCCCCCGCTACAGCGCGCGCTCAAACTTTCACAATGTCGGACCTCTGGTAAGCCGCTCCCCAAGCCGGCGTCTTCCCCTCAAAACAAGCCGAGCTCTTCCTACTCCCAACAGCCAACAACCGAGCCTGCATTTCTGCAGTATCACGCTACAATGGCGCCTACGCGCGCTTCAATGGCTCAATGGATCTATCGCTAACAATGCCTTTTCCGCAGCCCTGTTTACGCGGTTAGTGCACCCTCCGCGTTGGACCGTCAGCTTGCCGGCGGTGACAACTTCGGCTGCCTCCAACCAACGGCGATCCGATCGCTCGGAATCCGACCCACAATACACCCACAAACGTTCTCGTACTGACATGACAACAGCCCTTTTTCGGTGCCATGGGCTGCACCGCAGCTATCGTCTTCACCTGCCTGGGTGCCTCGTACGGCACAGCCAAGTCGGGTGTCGGCATCGCCGCCATGGGTGTTCTGCGCCCTGATCTCATCGTCAAGAGTGCGTTTACCGCGGCGCAATGGCGCGAAGAGCATCCGGGAACAAAGATTGCTAACACGCCGCTCCAGACATTGTCCCCGTCATTATGGCGGGTATTATCGGTATCTACGGTCTGGTCGTCTCGGTCCTGATTTCCGACGCCCTCACACAAGACAACTATGCGCTCTACACCGGCTTCATCCAGCTCGGCGCCGGTCTCGCCGTCGGTCTTGCGGGTATGGCTGCCGGTTTCGCGATCGGCATTGTTGGTGATGCTGGTGTGCGCGGCACGGCGCAGCAGCCTAGGCTGTTCGTCGGCATGATTCTGATTCTCATTTTCGCCGAAGTTTTGGGTAAGTTGTCATGATTTTAGGGTGTCGGACTCCGCTAACACAGCCTAGGTCTCTACGGCCTGATTGTCGCGCTGCTCATGAACTCCAAGGCTACGCTTAACATCTCGTGTTAATAAGCGCGCTCATATAGACGCGGATGGAGGATGGGCGGACAAGCTGTAACTATCCACAGCCCAGACTCCCACGTGGACTATCACAACACAATCGCGATCCTATCTGCATAGGGCCAGGCGCGAAAGGGGGGGTTCGACGTTGGGGTTGGTATAGGGTCGGGGTGAGGGGGCAGTTATGGGGTTGAGCAAGCGGCGCATCTCGGGCAGGGTTGGTTAATGGCTTCGCGGGACGTACCTGTACTATTGTCACTTTCGGCTTGCGCATCGCTCTGGGTTTCGGTTTCTCATCATAGACGGATGATGGGCGAGATTGTAGTCTAGTTTGTCAATAGTTGCTGCATTTCGCGTCTTTTCATCTGAACTTTGGGCATAACCGGCTATGGTCGCGATGGTGGTACGTGGTCTTGTTGCTTGGCTATTACCAGTTCTTGTCTGAGGAAGCCCTTGCCGTGGCTCACTCAACCGACTGTGACCATCATGTGACGTTAGGAGCATAGCAGCGGATCGGGCTTCATTGCGATCCTCAGCGCTGCTGCCAGCGTGGCGTGGCTGTTCATGGAGGGGAGAACATGGGTGTAAACAAAAAGCAATGATGGGAGCGATGATGGCCTGACAACATCGGAAAAAGGAAACTATCGCATCATCTAACTAAGGCTGGTCCGGTGTCAGTTCAGGAGCAGGAGCAAGAACATGTCTTATCCTTCTACCCTCTGGCCAAAAAAAGCCGAACTCGAAAGGAAAGCAAGAAATCAAGCAAAAAGAACAAATGAAAAGAGATCGAAAAAAACTAAGTCAAATAAAAAGAAGAGGGTAAAAGAAAAGGAAATGGAGAAAAGAAAAGGAAATAGAGAAAAGAAAAGGAAATAGAGAAAAGAAAAGGAAATAGAGAAAAGAAAAGGAAATAGAGAAAAGAAAAGGAAATAGAGAAAAGAAAAGGAAATACGAAGTAGAGAAAAGGAAATAGAGAAAAGAAAAGGAAACAGAGTAAAAGAAAAGGAAATGGAGTAAATAGAGTTTCTTTAGGTCAGGATGACTTTCGTTATATTCCTCTAGCCGAGGACTCGAAGTTTCCATTGCCGACATCTGCACTTGGAGTTCGGCTTTTTTTGTCCATGAGGTGCCTTCCCAACTCCATATCCTACCTTGTCCCATGTCCTCCATTCGTAGTCATATCACAGGCATACCCGCTCATCACTGCCTGTCTAGTTATTCCTTCCTCAGACTCCCGTCCATCGTTAGAGTACCACTGCTTCCTTAGTCAAGCAGATGCTCCGTCGAACCAGAAAACCCACCCCCGGCAACGCCCTTCTCACCCAACTCCCTTTCCCGCATGGCGGCCAGGAAATCAGCAAACGCACACCCAAGCTTCTCGTCCCCATCATACCGCCGGCGCAAAACCTCCTCCAACCCCCCCTCCCCCTTATAATACCCCATACCACCACACCCCTCCAACCGTACCCGACCCGCCCCCAGCCCCAACAACCCCAACGTCTCACAATCCGCATACCGCGCCGCCGCATCCAACAAACCCGGCGCCCGCAAGCACCCTCCCTGCACCCCCTCCTCCCGCAACAACAACAACACGCGAAGAACACCATGACTATTCGCAACCACCGCCGCCGTGAGCGGCGTGTGTCCCGCGGCCGACACGGCGTCGGCATCAGCGCCATGGGCAAGCAATAACCGCGCGAAGGACGCGTTGTCGGCGTGCGCGGCGTGGTGCAGCGGCGTGCGGCCGTCGATGCCGGCGGCGTCGACGGACGCTCCGGAGGCGAGGAGTGCTTCGACGAGGGCTGGGTCGGAGGCGTTGCGCGCCGCGCAGTTGAGGGGCGTGCCGACGGGGTGGTGGCCCGGGATGGGCGGGTCGGTGTGCGCGCCGGCTGTGAGGAGGGTAAGGACGCAGGTGGTGTGGTTCTTTTCGGCGGCGTAGGAGAGGGAGCCCGAGTGTTGGCGGTCGAGGATGTTGGGGTCGGCGGCGTGGTGGAGGAGGGTGGTTATGCTGGGGTTGTCGCCCCGGGCGGCGGCCCAGTTTAGCGCGGTGCGGCCCATGGCGTCCGTGTGGTTTACGGCAGTGGGATCCTCGGCGAGTGCCTGTTCCAGGTCTTTTCCGTGTAAGCCGAGGACGATACGGTGCAGCAGCGGGAAGTCCTGCTCGTCGGCCCAGTCTTTGTTGGCGATGCATGAAAGGTCTTCGACAACGTCGCTGGTAAGGCCGCCCATCATCAAGGCATCGGCCGCCTTGTTGCTGGGGCTGTTGTCGTGGAGGGCCTTTGGCCTTGATGCCGTAAGAGTTAGCACCTCGATAATGGTGCTGGCAGACGAAAAGAAAGGGGGAGGGTTACGTACCGGTAATCCGCGTCCGCGCCGGCCCCATGGAGGAAACGGAGTGTTTTATACTGCCGCGAATAAAGTGCCCACTAGGTAACAAAATATACCGTCAATACAGATTACACAAGCCATGTGCCACCTTCCGAGGGGAAGAAAACTAACACGTAGGAGGGAGTAGCCACGGGTGTCGCTGACGTCCTGAGGCGAGGCTTCACCACGGTTAAACAGGTCCTGTAGGCCCTGGATATTCCCATTCATGGCAAAGCTAACGGCGGGTGCCGAGTCGGGCACACGGCGTAGGGTGCGTAGTTGGAACGACGGGCCCGAGTTGGTGTGGTAAGCGGCGCAGAAGCGGACTATTTGCGAACGCAAGGCACCGGATGGAAGCCAGTATTCAGCGTATAACTGCGAGCCCTGCGGATTGATGCATCCGGTTGTATTGCATTTGGTGTTAAGGGTCGGAATGCCGGCATGTTCGACAAAGAGCTGGCCCAGGATCCCGCTCAGAAATGAGGGTGTAGACGACCTCTGGATCTTGTGACATGCGCACTTGCAGTTGGCCCGGCATGTAGTCGTGCGGTCAGCGTAAGATTGTTGATCAACGGAGGTCAAAGTGAGAGAGCGGTTATCATGTAACGGAAGGGGTGTTCTCAACGGGAGGACTAGGTGAGGGTCAGAGACTTGATGTAGAGGAGCCGCATAGGTCTGGTCCCGTTTTTGAGCTTTCTCTTCTGCCATGACCGTGATGCTCTCCATTTGGTCATGAAGAGCGTGTGCGGGCTTGCCGGCTCGATCCAGCACGAAGGTTGGAAGTGGCTCTTGTTCGCTATTTTAATCACGGAATAAAGGTCACATAGTTCTTTGAGGGAGACCCTCTACGCAGCGCACTGTGCCCTGAATGGAGGTGGGCTGTAACCTCTAGTCGTCCCAGGTGTTGGCCGCGCGGGGCCATGAGACTGATGATCCACCGTTAGAGTACCTAGGGAATACTTTGACGGCGTTATCAGCAAGGCTCCCCATGGTCTGCGTGCCAACACCATAGGCATTGAAAGACCTGCCTCTCCCTCCCCGGCATCGGCTGGTTTGTGGGAAAGGACAGGTTCATCGACAATGATACTATTCCCCTGGGTTTGTATCCCACATATCAAGTAACAGGTTAAACAATGTTTGATCATTGACCCGGCGGGCTGCCTCGAGGCTTCCTTGGCCAACATCTTGTTCTGGGTCCGTCTCATGTTGTCAAACGACCAACAAACAAGACCCCGGTCACCCAGCAGCCCGGACAGGCGGCCCACACCACAGCGCGCTAACATGCTTGATATTACCCTACCGAAACACCAAAAAACTCCGCACAGAAAAACTCTTCCAAACTACCTCGGCCTCAACAACCAAACAAGCCGCGCCCGGCTAGCTCAATCGGTAGAGCGTGAGACTCTTAAGGATCACGCATGATCAGAATCAATCTCAAGGTTGTGGGTTCGACCCCCACGTCGGGCTCAATTCCCGTCCTCGATTGGCGCGCGCATCTTTTTGCTCCTTTTTCTTTCTTTCCCCCTTTTTGCCTTGCTGTCTGGTCTTTGGGTTATGGTTGGATAACACGGACCAAGGCCACTCCTCGTCCCTCTCCTACCTATCTTCCCCCCTCCCAACAACAACACCAGCAATTCCGTGTCAAACGTACTTGGTGACTGCCTCAGGCACGGGCAACAGCTTGGTCAAACATTATATTATTATGCTCGCTTGAAGACAAGTTTAAAGCATTACCATTAATTTTAGTTCCAGTCAAGGGTAGTTGGTAGAAAATAGGAAAGCCAACCCGCACGCGCCCCAGCTTGGCCACACCGTTCGTTGCCGGCTCAAGCAAACCAAGTCCATGTGCCTGCCCCTTTGGAACCTTCCCCCATATGTCCTGTCCATCAATCATCGCATCCATCAGGTCACAATGCCCCCAAATCCCTAGCGCACTCTATGCAAAATTCACCATGCACCCACCACACCTCCCCTCTCTCGCACCAACACCTATGCTGTGATATGCTAATAGAAGTTTGAAAAGAGCATCGAAATCAGATGACGTACTGCGACATATTAGCAACCATACCTTACATCAAAAAAGAGGCAGAAAAGAAAAACATACCGGAATGAACAGATACGGCACCTGCTTCTCATACTCGGTCCAGGCCGCGCCATACTTCTCCCGGCAGCGGGTGATGTCCCGCCAGGCGCGGTGGGTGATCATGGCGACGAAGAAGACGGGGTAGAACCAGGGGAAGGGGCTGTTGAAGCCGGTGATGAGGGCCCAGGTGGTGGCAAAGTAGATGTCGCACGTGTAGTGGACCTTGCGGGCGAGGCCGTACCAGCCGTCGGCGAGGATCTTGTCGCCGAGGCCGGTCTCGATGGTCTTGGGGTTGTAGAGCGTCTGCCAGGGCACCTGCGGGAACGTGTTGCGCTTGACGAGGGTGCCGCGCTCCATGGAGCGGAACCGGTTCTTCTGGCTGTTGGCGCTGTCCCAGACCCAGTAGACGAACACGTAGCTGACGTACAGCGCGGCGAGCGCCCAGGGGTTCCACCGGTACGTCTCGGGCGCGTGGTTGGCCAGGTAGATGGTGCAGTGGCAGTACGACAGCGGCACGCCCGAGAGGTTCCAGAAGATGAGCATGAAGCCCCACTTCTCGTAGTACATGTCCCACGTGGTCACGATGAGCTCCTCGCCCTTGGCCGTGGCGTTGCCGTAGAGGAAGTGGGCGAGGATCAGGAAGCCGACCTCACCCGAGACGTAGCCGTAGCGGTCCCACTGGCGCGCCGCCGCGCCGCACGACAGCAGGAACAGGATGTACCACGGCATGCGCACCTCGAAGAACATCTTGAAGTCGAGGATGCCGAACATGCGCGGGTTCAGCTCGGCGCCCATGAAGAAGTCGTAGACGTGGTTGCCCGACATGCGGTGCTGCGCGCCGCGCGCGAGGGCCGACGCGTACGCCACGATGGCCACCAGCCAGCCCGACAATATCGAGACGGATAGTAGCGGGCCGAACTCGTCGATGATGGTGTAGAGCGGGAACACGCCCGAGAAGTGGAGGCCGGCGACGATGGTGAGCGTGGCGTACCACGACGTGTAAGCGGAGCAGTAGTACTTGAGCTGCTTGCCACCCTCGTGCTCCAGCGGCTTGCCATAGGCCCAGATGCCAGGCATCAGGCAGTAGAAGGCACCCTCGACGACGAAGAACACCCAGTAGATCAACCATGCCTTGGTGTGCGGGAAGGCGCCCGTGTAGACGAGGTCAACGAGGTGGCTGCCGAATTCGCCCCAGCTCTGGCCGGCGGCGCGGACGGGGAAGCCACCGTCGTAGTACGTGGCGCCAATCCACATGTACCACATGAGGACGGGGAAGCCGACCATCATGAGCGAGACGAACCAAGGGCCGCCGAACTCGTACTCGCCCGAGAAATGCTCGTCCCCGAGCTTTTGTTGAGTCTTCACCGCCGTGCCGTTAGCCTCCTTGCCGTCAGTCTCCTTGGCGCTGGCCTCATTGCCATGGATTTTGGAGAAGGACGTCTCGGCGCTGTCGCTGTCGACGGGCGTTTCTGGCGGTGTCAGTTCGTCGATGTGCTCGGTGAACTTGGGCGCGACGCGCCGGCGCAACTGCTTGTTATCCATGACTTCGGGGGGCGGTGTGGACTCGGCTTCGTCCTCGGTCGGGGACGGGGTCTTTCGGCGGGTGTTGCGTCGGGCCGGAGTCTCGATCATGCCGTCAAAGAGCTCCTTTTTCCTGCGCCGGTGGTTAGCGTCTGGAGGAGCTTCGCGGCCAAGGAAGTCGCGTGATGCGAGGTGAAGACAAGCAACTTACCTCGGCGTCTGCCTGAGAGAATATCTCGCAGACATCTTGACTGATACGCGACGTCGGCGCAACCTTATACTCTGGGGTTTTCAGGGGCTGGTCACGGAGGTGAAAATGGAAGAAAAGTCCGAAACAGTTGGATACTAGTATCGAGAAAAGAACGACAAGGCGGTTGCCCAGGGGAGCCTTGACGACCGAGTGGCCTGGCAGTTTTCTGGGCGGTCAAGCCAAAAAGAATGTGCAACCGTGTACAGATTGGGCGAAGAAAGCAAGGAGAAGGCAAGAAGAGAGAAAAAGATGCGTGGTCCCAAGACCGCGGCACCCTCCTGCTCGGGCGATCGCGCGCTGCAGCTGCAGATGCAAGGACCAATGGTTGCTGCCAATCCCGTTTGTTTTCCAAAATTTGACCGGGCAATTCACCCCCTGTCGGGGTAGCATCTCCCCACATCGGTGGGTGCCACAGCAGCTCCGTGGTGGCTTCCGAGTGCAAGCGGTGCGAGTGGCTTCAAGACACTAGTATTAGCTAAGCTGAATTCCAAGGATTCGAGATGGAATGCATCGTCCCCGACCAACCGATCCCTTCCTCATTTCCCAGATCCAGCTTCTCCACACCATTCCTTGGTATGAGTCTCTTTCACGAGTATCCGGTCACTATACTAGTATTCCGTATTTGCGTGGGCTAAAGTGGGAGCCGAGTATTTCCCCATCTCGTCTCTTTCTGAGTGTGTTTGAGTTACTCGTATTACCTAACTAGCCGATGGGGATGCTTGCTGCTCGGGCTTCAAACCAAACAAATTCGTCGTGTCTGAAAATGAAAGAACTGAAAGCGTCAAAACCTAAACAACGCCCGCGAAAGCCAACCCATTAAGCATAGAGTTCATACCATACCATCAGATCACCGTCATCAAATCGCCCAATTCATGTGACTATCGACATCTACACGCCGTTGGAGTCGTTCAGCAACTGCGCGTACCCATCCTCGGGCGGCAGCACAAGCGCCGAGATGGCCAGCCCAACACCAGCCAGCAGCGCAGCACTCGCGCTGATCGTGCACAAGTACCACGATGAGTCCAGCCTGTATCCGGGGACCAGGAACAAGTCATCATAATCGAACAAGTATGCCTAGTCACCGTCGCCATCGTCAACATTGCTACATCAAAAACAGGTAGGACAAGGAACAAAAAAAAACACGACTCACCACCACCGCCATACCCACGAACTGCGCCGCCGCCACCACAGTCAGCAGTCCGCCCAGGACCTTCCAGCCGCCCTCCCTCTTGATGCGGCCGCCGGCCAGGATGACGAGGAAGCCGACGAGGGTGGCGAGCTCGGCGACGACGGCGAAGCTCATCAGGAAGCCCGTGGTGCGCCACATGGAGCAGAAGGACCGGTCGTCGTCGCAGCGCGACTCCTCCGGGAAGGGGGTGCACGACCCCGTCGACGACGCGCACCGCCGGTGCAGCCCGATCGTGTCGGTGACCGTCCCGCCCGACGGCGAGGGGACCGTGAGCGAGACCCATTTGGGGGAGACGATCGAGGTTAGGGTCAGGGCCGTTGCTGTGGGGTGTGCAGTTGTCAGTATGGGTTGGTTTGTCTTGATGGGGGTGGGTTTAGAGGTGAAGATCATAGAGGTAGTAGGTCTGCGATGACCTGAAGATGCCTTCGGCATGCCTGCGAGAGACGGTGCCATAGACGGCTTCAGTCATCGCGAGGGAGCCACGCGATGACGCCTCTGCTCAGGTCTATCTGGCGCATAAAGCGACGCAGAACAACACTCCAGCTTGATATGCGAGCGCATGTAAGCAAGAGGCAATCGGTACTCACCCGCAACCAAAGCAACCAACGCCGTGCGGTAAACAACGGTGCGCGTCATGGTGGCAGCAAGACTCGAGCCTTCAATTTAACAAAGCAAAACATGCGACGAACGGCCGAGCCAGTAGAGCAAACAAAATCCGCCAGACGAAAAGGCGGATGAATCAAATCGCACAGAAAGACAGACAGTTGCACAATGAGATGAAGTTGAGATGCCAGGTTGGCTGGTGCCTTGGGCTGATGACGTCCCCGTGGAGGTCGCACATGTGCCGCGCAAGCCGGGCCGGGAGGGGTACAGCCACCTCCGCGCCGGCGATCCGACCGGGTCGTTGTGTTGGCCTGACGTGCTGTGATTGGCGGGTTCATCACATGCTTCGGCCCTCGTGAGCGTCGGTCGGAGACACCAGTGACACCCACCATCAACGGGAAACGGACTTTCAGTTTTGGCGAGTTACATGGCGATGGATTACAGAGGGGGAAAAAAAGAAAGATAGAAGGACCACAGAATCTGCGGTATGCATAGTAATCCATTCGCGTCTATCCGAGGGGATCCAAGCCCTGCTCGGCCTCCCTCCGCTTTCCCAGTCAGAGGCACTTCCATGTTAATCCTGCCTGTCCTTTCAAACCATACCAAAACCCCAAACCAGAAGAGAGAATAAATAACCGCCCCGCTCTAAGATGCATAAGAATAGCACAGGCCGGCAAGGAACCACCTAACCGGCAGTGGTAACAAACCTAATATATAAACCCAGAACCAATTAACACCGTCTCCGACCCAACCCACCCCTTCCCCTTCCCTTCAGAGCCCCAATAGCGCCACCAGGAGAACCTCGTCCTGCAACCGCGGGACTCCCCGTGATATTCGCACCGACGCCGACACCGAGCCCGACACCAACCGCCGCTCCCCTCCCCCCACGCTGACCAGAACCAGAACCAGAACCAGGCCCAGAACCAGGACGTGCACCAGAAACAAGCCGCTGCGCGCGGTGGCCCTCCTAAGACCACCGCGCCTCCGACCCAGCATTCGAGCCCGCATCCGACCGCGCACTCGGCGCCCTGCTCCTCCTCTTCCCACCGGTCCCAGCCCCTGACCCCGTCCCCGACCCCGTACTCCCACCACTAACCTCCCTCCTACCACTACTAACCTCCCTCATACCACCAACCTCTCTCCCACCACCACCACCACCACCGCCAATCGCACCCCCCATCACAACCCCATACCCCGAAACAGGCGGCATCAGACCACCACCACCACCACCAGCAGACACCACACTCCCCGTCGGCGAACCAGAGTACTGCGTCCCCGCACCACCGCCGCCGCCGCCGGCACTAGAGACGCTCGCGACCGTGACCGACGAGCCCGAGCGGATCCTACCCGCCTGGCTCTGCTGGAGGTAGGTCTGGTAGTTCTCCTTGTAGCTGCCGCCAACGCCACCACCGCCGCCGACACCGCCGCCGCCGCCGCCCACGCCGTGGCTGAAGGACTCGCTACGCCCTCCGCTGCCCGCGCGGCGGCTCGAGAGCGGGCGGGGCCCGGCGCCCGGGGAGAGGGTGGATAGCGGGGCCGTGGCTGCCGTGGTTAGGGTCGGGCGCACCGAGGTGTATTGTGTGATGGAGGTGCGCGGGAGGCGGGATCGGGAGGCTGGGGTGGAGCCTGAGTTGGTGGGGGTGCTGTTTCCTGGCGGCGGGACGGGAGGGGTGTCGGAGACGCGGCGCGGGATGCCGGTCGTTGGTATTGGGATGCTGTCGCGGCTTCGGGGGCGGTAGAAGGATGGGTCGCGTTCGTGAGTGAGGCCGATGGCTGAGCGTTTCGGGGTGGCGGCGATTTCGATGTATGCGGCCGAGGAAGACTGCGTCATTCGGTGGCCGTGGGTTGGCGTGGGAGGCATGGACATGCTGAGGTGTAGCCCTGGTGGTGTGTAACTTGTATTGCGCCGCGGCCCGGAGCGCGAGCGTGGCCCCGAGCCTGTGCTAGAGGCGGTGCTGGTAGAGGCGCCCAGTCCCATGTTGCCGAGGGCCATTGCATCGTGTTGTAGTTCGACGTCGATGTGACTCCGGATGAGCTCCGACGCCAAATTCCTCACCAGCACTGCCGGGTCCTTATCCGCCAGTGTCTGGATGTCGTCAAGTAGAACGCGCAGCTGCCGGCCGGTCTCGGATGTGCTGAGCGCCGACATAGATAGGTTGTTTGCTTCACACCCGTCCATGATGTTACGCACGAGGCGCAACAAGTTGAGGCGGACGACGGCCTTCTTGTGGCTGAGCTTCTGAGCAGTGCCGGCGTACATCTCTGCCTTGGCCAGGGACGCCGCTACCGCCGGACTCAACCGCAGAACCTTGAGCAATGGTTCTAGTAGGTTGGGGTCGAAGGCATTCGCCTTAGTAGGGTTAAAGCAGGACACGATGGCCGTGGTGAAGTTGCCATCAAGGAGGTGGCTCTCCACCTTCGCTGTCTCCTCCTGCAGCCACACAAAGATGGCATCCAATGCCGTAACCTGCCAGTACTGGTCCGCGAGGAGCGATACGTAAAAGTCCAGTCCTCCGTTCTGCCACAAGTACCGCCTCCCTTTGCTCCCGGAATGTGCCATGTCGCAGAGGATGGGCAGCACAAACTCTTTTGGCGGTCGGTCCGTCCTCATGATCTTGAGCAGAAGCGGGATGATTCCGTTGCTGGCTGCATATTCCTGCCGCTCTTTGCTGAGACGGCAGAGATTGAACATGGTGTTGAGCACCTGGTTGGAGATCTCTCGGAAGTTGGTTTGCCCCTTCTTCATCGAGAGACTCAGGACATCAATCAAGAAGTCAATCGCATCCGCAGAATGCAGAGAGTCGAGCACCGTCGAACACATGGAGATGTTCTTGATGAACTTGAGCATCGTGATCTGATGCGAGGGCGTCATCCGTCGGAGGTCCTTGAGTACGGCTGCCAACTGTTAGTTCATTCGGCTATACAAGGAGGAAAACTTACTCTTCAGGACTTGCCGCTCCGCAACCGCCTCCTTGACATACGGCTCAGCCTGAGAGAACAGGTAGAAGATGTTGACGATGCGGCCTTCCACCAACTCCGAGAGTTCATCCCTGTCCTCATCCAAGACCTTGTGCAAAATTGCCGCCAGCGGATCCAAGATCTTGCTTCGCGAGAATATCCTGCAGAAATCGTTCTTGGGTGTTGGCCCCTGGAGCTCAAAGACATTCCAGATGCCGTTTACCCCTATTAAAACAAGATCTTGGGACATCTCGTAATCTTCATCGAGGAACTCCACCAAGACATTGAGACCGCCAGCGCTGACGAACATCTGCAATGTCAGGGTGGAAGTCTGGTACACCTGCCGGACAAATGCTGCAGCCTCGAGGCGAATCTCGTTGGAATATTGGCGGGCAGCGAACTTGGTGACAATGGGAATGCCGCCGACGAAGCACAAGTTTTCTTGCAGTTCGACATCGTCTAGCATAATCTGTGCCTGTCAGCGTCTGTCTAGAATAAGGGGCAAGTGAGCCAAAACCTACCGCATTGACGATCTTGAGCAGTTGCAAGATCATGTGCTGCCGGCTCTTGAGCGTACAAGGCTCTAGAATCTCCAATATTGGCAACAACCCATGCGCGCCAATAATCAATGCCTTAACCTCGTCATTTTCCCACAGAAGTGCCAACTGCAAGCACGGTTAGCTCAGGACTCCCTGGCCCTCCACACGATGGGTGAACTTACCAAATCCTCCGCTAACTCCCCAACCACCTCCTCCCCCTCGGTGATCTTCATGCTCCTCACCAGCTCCTCCACCCTCTCGGCCAACCTCGCATGCCTATCCCTCGCGATGTTTGCCTCGAGATCCATCTCATCCCAACCAGGATCCATCATGGCAAACGGATCGTCCTCGTCCTCATCGTCCCCAAGCCACGAGTTGTTGGACAGGCGTGAGAGGATGAGCTGGCCGCCCTGGCCGTCCGTTTCCGAGCCGCGGTCACTTTCCTCCGGCTCGGTTATGGCATCACCAGCAACGCCAAAAATGTCGGAGAAATCTTCGTCGCCTTCGTCCTCGGCAAACTTGGTGATTTCGACGGTGGAGCGGGCGCGGGGCCGGCGGACAGGCTGCTCTGGGGAAAGCAGGGCAGGCGTGGGGGTGGTCTTTGAGCGGCGCGTGCTGCCGCCGGCAGAGGACCCGTGAGAGGATTTCGGGACGCTGGTTGTGAGATCTGATGGGTGGAAAAGCTGGGGGGCGTCCTGCACGCCGTTAGCATGATGATACCTAATGTTTGGCTGAGTTTGGGATAGGCTCACCTTGCCGGTAAGACTCAGCCTCCTGTCAAAGACATGGTCGTTATCAGCAAAAAGGTCAGAGTAGTCCTCGGTAGACTGCTCGCGGTAGATGACGTCTGGGCGTGGAGGTAATTCGAATTTCGTGCCGAGTGGCTTCACGGGAGATTTGGGATGAGAGTTGTTGGGTGCTCCCCGGGCACTCCTCTGGCGCCTGTGCCCCTGATGCTCTGGGACCCTCATCCTGGACTCTCGTGTCCTCTCTGGCTTTTTGGGCAGCGGCCGGATGGTCTCCTCCTGAGGATCAATCTCGGACCAGTGGCCCAAGCCCTTGATCGTCATCAGCTCACCCTCAAAGGTTGAGTCCCAGTTTTCAGAATCCTCTCGCTGGGCGTCAATAGACGCAAACGCCTTCAGCCGATCTCCGGAGAGCAACCCGCCAAAATTATCCTGCCCCTTGATCTGTGGAAGATGAAGGGCAGATGGTGAGATGGTTGTCGCAAAATCGTTGTCCCAGTTATCGTCATCTGGAGGAGTTAGCGCAACCGCTCGACAGACATTGGGCTCAAGACTTACCAGCAACCTCCGGAGACCTAAATGCGTCGGCCGATGGCCTTTGCTTCGTTGCCAACGACAAAGGCATCCTGGCCAAGTTTCCACGATGTCCCAGAGCACTGGCGTCTGACCCCATTGAAGTTCTAAGATTGCCTTCAGACGACTTGAGCGCCTTGTTCCACTGCTTCACTTCCTCGACCGCCTGGCTGAAGTTCGATGGCGCTTTCGAAACTGGCGCGTCGCTTCTTCGGCAGCCAGTAATCCAGGGGTGCCGCTGTAGTTTCCTCGCCGAGACTCGCAGGTTGGGATCCTTCTGGAAACATTGCATGAGAAAATCGCGAGCAGCCTGTTTAGGGGGTATTAGCAACCATCGCCACGGATTTGCGTGAACCGACGAGACTAACCGGAGACACCCCTTCGGGAAGCGGGGGGTGGTCGTCGTTGACGATGGCGAACAGCGCCGGCATCGCAGCGAGGTTGTGATATGGTGGTTTCCCTTGCAACAGCTCGATGACGGTGCATCCGACACTCCAGATGTCTGAAGCTGAGGTGGCACCAGAGAGTTGAATGATCTCCGGGGCCATCCAGTAGGGGGTTCCGACGACCTGGGCTTCCTTGTCTGGCCCGGCGAGGGTGCTCGTCGAGACGCCAAAATCAGCCAGCTTGACGGTGCCATCCTTTGTGGTGAGAATATTGGCGCCCTTGATATCGCGGTGAATAACACCTTGATCGTGCAGATACTGCAGACCCTGGAGGACCTGCGTCATGTACACACCGACCAGATTCTCCGGGAACTTGCCGTAGGCTTTGCAGATGGAATGCAGGGAGCCATTCTCGCAGTACCTGGGATATATTAGCAAGATTAGGGGGCTTCCGTGTGGTGTGGGCGGACAGACTCGAGGATGATGTTGAGACAGTCGGTCGTCTTGACGAAGCCAATATATTTCACGATATTGTCATGCTATCAGCCGGTCAGTGGTTTTCGGGGTCCGCATCGCGGCCGTGCCTGTAGCCGAGGTGGCGTTTTTTTACGACTAACATGGAGGTTTTTTAAGAGATCGATCTCTGCCTGCATACAGTCAGTATCACAACCCCTGAACCCCCTCAATGCTAACCTGAACTCACCTCGATCATGCGCAGCTCGCTCTTGGGCACATCAACCAATTTGATCTGCTTGACGGCCACTGCCTCACCGGTCCCCCAATTGAAGGCCTTGTAGACGGACCCGAATGCTCCCTTCCCGATACAGTCTCCGAGGCGCTAGCACCCCCTCGTTAGCCATGTCTCACTTCTCACAAATCGGGCCAGCCGCAAGCCAGGGGGAAATGGGGGGTCGCCAGCCACATATCCCCCTCATCCCATCCACGCAGCTCCCGCTCCCGCAGCCCTGGTGTTATCCAAACAAAGAACTCGAGGTCGGCCGCCAAGCCACCGAGCGAATCGCAGGTGCATACATGTGCGCCGGCAGGGCATGCAACCATATAAGCTGTATAGGGACGGGCCGTGCATGCTCTGTCCACCACACAAAGCTGCCAGTCCCCAGGAGCAAAAAAATAGGACTAGAAATGCAGTGCTGCAGGCGGCAGAGGAAACGGATGTGCAAGCAAGCCTGACTTACGTAGTCTCTCAACCCCGGATCCTGCACGGCAACGGCCTTCTCCAGCCGATGGCTCTGTTCCCTGCGCGGCGTCCCGGGCGATTTTGCTGTTGCCGCCGTCACAACGGCAACCTTGCCCATGGAGCCGTGGTGGTGGTGTTGGTGGTGGTGGTACGGTACGCCAGCGCTCGCGGGGCGTGCGGAGCTCCCAGGGCGGGAGCCCGGCGGCGCCATGGCCGGTCCGTTGCTGTTGTCGCTTGTCCCCCGAGCAGCAGTGCGCTATTCACCGGCCTGGCGGTCTGAACGGCCGATTCGGTTCGGTTCGGCTTGAATTGGGCTGGTCCCCCTTCCCGGTCCTCGTCCGTCGTCCGTAACTGCTGTGGAAGGACCTCGTGGGTGTCGCTGTCGTCGATTCGGTTCGTATTCGGGGATCGTGGACGTGCGAGCTCTGTCCCTCTCTCACTCTCGGGTTGCGCGCGGGAAATAGGATTTTGCGCCCTGCCCATTCCCTGGTTCTCGCCTGAAACCCGAGCAGAAAAAAAAAGTTGCTGACCGAAATCGCGAATTGTGCCCCGAAGAGGGATGTTCAGCTGGCTTGTGCTGGCTGCTGCCCCGCGCGTGGGTACTCGTCAAGGCTGGAATGTGGACCCGAAAGCGTCGTCGTTCCTTGCGCGGAGGTCAACGGTCGGAGGGGAAGGTAGGCGGGTCATCGGCCGGAAAGGGATGTAATCGGATCGGTGGGTAGGAAGCAACTGTTTGCTTTCCAATGTTTAGGTTAGGTGTGCTTCAACTCGTTGCCCAGGGCCAAGGCAAGGGCGGCAGCAACACCGAACCAATGCTGGGGTCGCGGGGCACAGGCAGACCGAACAGGGGTCAGCGAGATGAGATCGGCCACTTGAAATCATGGGAGGTGAGTGGGGGCCAAGGGAACAGAAAAAAGAGGATAAACACAGAAGAGAGCAAAAATAAAATGGGTGTATGTGCGTCTCTTTTCGGCTTTGCGCGTTGTGTTTCACTTCAAGAGCCTCCCGTGGGGTGGAAAGTGTCCAGCAGCAAAAAAACACCGGAACTAAGCCCGGGTTGGGGTATATTGCAGCTGCTGCTGCACTACCTACTCGAATGGTTCCGGGTTGTCACATTGTTGGCGAGGTACGAAGTTGTTGTGCCGCGCCAAAGCGGTCTTGTAGGGTAGGTGGTAGGTATGTCCGGTGGCTCCTTCAGGTACAGGGCTCGGTAGTGATTCTGAGGTGTTTAAGTACCGGAGCGAAAGGCCCTTTCAGATTCCATTCTATCAGGTCTGTCATTGTCTAGATATCAAAGCTGTCTCAATCGGCTAGATGAATATCGGAATCCATGGTCAACGGGGCATCTCATGTACTTGGATTCTCCGCTCCACCTGCGCTTCATGTCGTCGACATGGGCGTACTCGGGCAATACCTGGTTCCTTTCACATCCATGGACACTCGCGCTGTTTATAGATACATTCAGGGCCTCATGTTGCCCTGGCCAGCCCTGTAAGACGCATGGCATCCACTAATTCTCGAACATGGAAGGCGGGGAACCGGTTGCAACCTCAGTTCCATGGTAGCATTGTGGTGGTTTGTTTGAGGGGACGAGCCCCTGGCACCCAAGAGCGGAACAAAATGCGACACATAGTGGAGGTTGCGTGGGAGATGCCCCATGTCCACCCCCGTCATCTAAAGATGGCCCGTCATGTTCGATCAAGTCGATTATAACCTGGATGGGGAGGCACGCCCCGAGAACCTCTAAGCTCCCGCTGGAATCGCTGGAGCTACAAATATCGTACACATGCTGAAACCCATGGTCGACCCGTGGATGTTGCCCCTAGCGGCCCAAAAGGTGACAATCCTGACGCTGCATGAGATCGTAACCAAACCATCCCTACCGCAGACCAAATATGCCTAGAATAGCTGAGCCTTTCGTGCCATGACCCCTCCCCATGCGATCGTGACAGAACCGTGAGCCTGCCCTCAAAAACTAAGATGGGTATAATATACCGCCATCAAGTACCCGTGTGAACCACATCCCAACCCCGGAAAATTTCCAATAGGTACCCTAACTCCGTAATTTTGCGAGCCGTGCTACTTTCCCATCGCGAACAAATATAAAAAAAATCAGTTGCCCGAGGTCTCGCGAGATAGTGTCCGGCTAAGACCGGCATCCGCCCACCACTCGTCTGGGATGTCCTCCCGTCGGGCGAGATTCCGCACGATCCTTTGCATCCCTCCAATGCCGCCGAGAAGCTCCACCGGGTCGTCGTCGGCAGCCCTGCGGTGGTAGGAGGAGCCCGGGATATAAGATATTTGGCCCATCTCGTCTTCCTCATCACCCTCCGTGTCGGAATTGTCGCAACCGGACTCGCACGGAGGCTCGAACGACAACTCCAGCTCGTCTGCCCGATCCAGCGTGGTGAAGGAGGTGCGGGACGAGGCGGCGGCTGTGCTCTGCGTAGCCGCGGCGGAGGCGGACGCAAACGAAGACCCAACGCTGGGTGGTTGTGGGTCTGGAGTCACGGTGGTCTGCAGCGTGTCCCAATTGTCACCCTCCGGGCTAAGGCTCCTGTTACGGTCGCCCAAGCCGTCGGTGTCGACCATCCAGGGGCTGGCACCGGCGGGGGGCGCGTCACCTGGGGACAAAGGCAAATCATCCCGCAAAGCGCTTCTTTGCCTACGCATGCGGGACCAGACGGTCGATTGAGGCCTTGATGTGTTTCGGGACTGCGCCAGGTCAGATCCGGGCAACCGCGATGGCGGATCAGTTATCCTTACAGAATCGCCAAGGGCTTGCGTGGACCTCATGTTGGACAATGTATACGGCGGCTCAGGGCGTAGATGGCTACGACGGTTGCGACGGGCCATGAATTCGATATTAACCGCCATGTTCGACATGGATGGCGGGTCATTGGTGTGGTCGCGAAGCGGGCTCGGATTCGATTCGGGGTGCAGATGCGCCCATCGTTCACCGAATATGGTGACGGCCCGGTCATCGAGGAGACCGAGGCGCCTGCTCGCATCGCGCAGAGCACGGTGGCCATGCTCGGAACCCGACCTCGTTCCGGTGTTGTCAGTTGTGGCGGGAGGAGGCCGCGCTGGGTCCACCCCTCTCCCGTCGTAATTGTTGTACGCGGCGAGCACGCGACGGCGACGTTCGCGTATTCGGTCCTCGTTACGGTCCAGGACCCGGCGGATGTTGGACCGCGCCCGTCCTGACCTATCAGCAGCCAGGGGCTTGAATGGGATGTCCGATTCAACCGGCGGCTGGTACAATCTGATGGGACGCGCTAGTCGTCAGCGCTGATTCGCAGAAATGCAGTGACAAAGAAATGATACATTTGAGTGTTGTGCCTCTCGAAACGCGATCGCATACCCGAACAAATGATGCCGCCACTCGGGCGATTGCGCGACGGGTTGGCGCGCGCTGGCGCGAAGTGGCCGGTGGGATAAGGTAAGCGCGGGTGTTGGGGGCGGGAACTTACCGAAGACCCATCTTGATTCCGGTCGTCAACGAAACGCCCTCTTCTTCGCGGAATGAAATGGGAAACCGGAAGGGAGTGAAATGGTCGACGAGTCGCGGTCGCAAAACGACAGTGCGATTCGGCAATGGACCAAAATGTGATGTGTCAAAGCTTCCGAGGGTTGCCCTTCTCAGCTTGATTGACCCTCGCGCATCGGTTGCGTGGGGTTGGTTGCGGGAGTGATTGAAGAAAATGAACGGGGAGAGGCGGAGTCCCTTTTGAGCTGGGGGCCCTGTCAACACGCGGTTGCGCAGGGGCTCCAACGCTCCTTGCGCCAGGAGCCGGAGCCCCCTTGCCCGCCCGTGTAGAGATTTGGTAGAAGCATAAGTTGCATGTAACAAATAACTCTTGTGCTATTAAGCAAACATGCGCCAACCACCTCTGCCGCATGACTTTACCGGGGCACTATGTAACTTCAAACCCCTGTCGCTGATCTGCCAAGGAAACAACGGCCGCCAAAAATCGACAGGCTCTCTGACGAACTTGCTCATACCTTGGCAAGAACTCCCGACACAGCAGGGACATCATCACCAATGAACGGCATGACTCACGCTTATCGCCCTTAACATCCACCCTCTTTCATTACAACAGTCGGTAGTCAATAGAAGAAGTCCGAGAGTTCGTTGCCCCAGTCGTTGTTTCGACCTTTGTCTGAAGACGGGGGTGCCCGAGGCTTGTGCTGCGCTGCGGATTAAAGGGATTTTGAGTTGAGGCTGAGCGAGCATATGCAACATGATCGATCTGGGACTTGCCCGAGTCGGGCGCCTCGTTCAGCACACGCCGCAAACGTGGAAGGCTATTCATGTGGCTGGTACGAACGGAAAAGGGTCGATATGCGCTTATCTCTCAGCCATGCTCGCAGCAAGCGGCCTCTCGCACGCCCGGTTCACGTCGCCCCATCTCATTGACCGTTGGGACTGCATCGCCATCAATGGCAAGCCCATCTCGGAGGCCGTGTTTCGGGATGCCGAGGACGTGATAAAGCAACGGGATAGAGAGGACCGGATCGGCGCAACCGAGTTTGAGCTGCTGACCGCGACGGCGTTCGAGATCTTCCATCGCCAAAAGGTCGACTACGGAGTGGTCGAGGTCGGTTTGGGCGGCAAGCTAGACGCAACCAATGTGCTGAAGCAGAAGGCAGTCAGCGTGATTACAAAGATCGGCCTCGATCACCAGTCCTTCCTCGGCAATACGATCGAGGAAATCGCCTTGCAAAAGTCGGGCATCATCCGTCCCGGCGTTCCTTGTGTGGTAGACGGCAGCAACCAGCCCTCTGTTTTAAAGGTAATCGAAGAGCATGCCCGTGAGGTTGGGGCGGAACTCCACTTCCCGTCAGTTACGAGCGTCACCGAGGCTGTGGCGACCGAGAAGTTTGAGCCGCATCAAATACAAAACCTGGCGTGCGCACACTTGGCCTTTCGCCTGGCATGCCCCGAACAGGACCGCCCACTGGCCGACTTCCTGCCCTCCATCAAGCAGACACAGTGGCCGGGCCGGCTGCAGAGGCTTGATATTTCAAACATCACAGGCCATCAGCGAGAAGTCCTTCTCGACGGCGCCCACAATCCACAGTCGGCTGAAGTCCTGGCTAGGTATGTGGAGAGACACTTGCGTTCGGAGGGCGAACCTGTTACCTGGGTCCTGTCCGCTACGCAAGGGAAAGACATGGATGGCATTCTAGGCTTGCTACTGCAACCCGGCGACCAAGTCGCGGCTGTCCGGTTTGGACCTGTTGATGGAATGCCTTGGGTCAAACCTGCCGACCCTGCAGGAATCCTTCAAGCAGCTTCCCGACATGGCACACAGGGAGCGACAACGCACAACGCTGGAGATGACGTTAAGGGGGCTCTGATATGGGCATCCCAGGCCGCCGGAAGCCGGCCGATAGTCGTTGCTGGGAGCCTCTATCTAGTCTCGAGTATTTTGCGGACGTTGCGGGAGGCCTAAAGAGCACAATGCGTATCTTATATCGATGTGTCTACACCCCTTATGTCCCTTGGGCGGTCCATCGTCAAGACAGGTGGTCAAGTTGTGCCCTCCTTTTCTTTTGTCCGTCGGCTCCTCTTGATATCACATGATTGGGCGCTCAATTGCCCTCAAATAGGCGTTCAATACCCTAATCCACGCAATGCATCCCCATAACAAGCTCTCGCTGCAGGCACACCCCGCCATGAGTCCGTCACACCTCATCATCGTCTGCGGACATGCAATCTGGCAAGGTGGGCCCAAGATCGGCTGGGACGAGGCCGAATGGCTTATCTCGAGTTTCCAAAAAGGCGAAACACCGACCTTCATTGAACACATCAAAGCCGGCCTGAAACTCCTAAGCCAAGATCAGGACGCAGCGTTGGTGTTTTCCGGGTGAGCTTTTTGTCCGTTCCACTCCCGCCTCCCATACCAACCCTCCCATCCCCTCCCCTCCCCTCCCCACCCCCTCTGACCAAGCCAACCCCAGCGGCGCAACCCGCCCCGAGACCTCCCTCTCCGAAGCCGCCAGCTACCACAACCTCGCGCTCGCCAACCGCTACTTCGACCTCCTCCCCATGGACGACGACGACGACGACGACGGCACCACGGCCTCCCGCATCATGCTCGACGAGCAGGCGCTGGACTCGTACCACAACATCCTCTTCTCGCTGGTGGCCTTCTGGCGCCGGCACGCCGCCTGGCCCGCGCGGCTGACCATCGTCTCCCACGCGTTCAAGCGCGCCCGGCTAGTGGACGGGCACTGCGCCGCGATCGGGTTCCCGCTGGACAGGGTGGCGTTTGTGGGGATCAACGCGCCGGGGATGGACGCTGTGGGTTTGGATGAGGCGGGAGGGGGTGCGCGGGAGAAGAAGGAGGCGTGGAGCGGTGTGCAGTTGGCGCTGGGGCAGTGGGAGGCTGACCCGCATGGGGTTGGGGAGGAGTTGCTGGGGAAGAGGGTGAAGAGGAATTGCTGGGGTGTGAGTCAGAAGTTGTTCTTGTCGAAAGAGGAGGAGGAGAGGAGTGGTGTTGATATCAGCGAGATTCAGGGTGGGAGTGGGGGGTTGCTGCCGGGCGGGAGGAGACCTTGGGCGGAGATTTCGTAAAAGCAATGGGAAGCTTCGGAGCTTTCAGTTTTTATAACGTCTGTTTACATCGAATATTCAACTTACGAATACTTTAGACCACGGACACCACCGACAGAGGTCAGTTTCCTGCCGTTGACGCTATACACAGCCGGCGATAGCGTCAAGAAGTTCTTATTCAACAAAACCCACCGGGGTTGCGTCGCCGGCCTGCCCCCTTTTGGCGCGGAAGATAGGGGGTGGCCAGTGATCGTTTGGATTATTTACGTTGTATGCGTGCGATATTTCGTTCACATCAAATCTTGGACGGCCTTTGCTCGTCGCTCTTAACGGAGAGCCGTTGGTCCGCGTCAGAAACCGCATCTACGACGAACTGCACTGAGTCTGTGACCATGTCCGCACTGAACGAGTGCCCAACCCCTGGGTATACCCTGTCATCCACGGAGACATCCTCCTCCTTGAACCAGGACCCGGCAGCTTGCTTGAACCATTGTAGGAACGGCTCCGAGCAGCGGTAGGGGACTAGCTTGTCTTCGCCTCCGGAGCAGAGTAGGAGCCTTTTGCCCTGTAGGCGATCGCGCAGGATCTGCCTCGCAGTTTCGTCGTTGGCTGTGGACGCTTTAGCGTTGGGGACTGGAGAGGTACCAAAGAATATGGCCTTCGGGTCAAGTTTGTTGCAAGCATCGACAAGAGATGGCGGGAAGTCCATGCTGCCGATGAACGACGCGCCGCTGTCCTGGGCGGAGTATGTTGAGAGTTTCGACAACCTCGCGCGGTCGGATAGGAGATCTACAATGCGTCAGATCCGACGAAACCAACGTAGGTTGGCGCGGCCACTTACTCATATAGTCCGGGCACCCAATAACCACCACCCCCGCCGTGACTCTCGGGTCGGCAAACATTAACTGCCACACACTATGCCCGCCGAGTGACACCCCGAGCGCAAGATGCTGGTCGATCTTCTTCTCTCCCCCGAAATTTCGGTTTAGGTACCCCTCAATCAGGTCCCTATTCCAAGCAACAGGTTAGCACCCACTCCCGAACCGCGTCCCCAAACCCACACCAGAATAAACTCACAGCATAACCCTCTGATCCGCCACCATCCCCTGCACCACCCCAAACATATCCAAAGCATGCATCGCATTCCCCTCCCTCCAACTCCCATTCGCCGCCTCATCCACAACCCTCGTCCCATGATTCCGCTGGTCGTACGCCAGCGCAACCAACCCCCTAGTCCTAACCCGACCCCTCCCTCCCCCCTCCCCATTGCCACCCCCATCCCCACCCCCAGCAGCCGCAGCCGCCGAGACTTGGCCGGCATCATCACCATCACCACCACCACCGCCGTTCCACGCCCCGACGCACCGCGCCGCAATGTCGGCCATGTCCTCCTTGCGGCGCCCGCGCGGGTGGTGCAGCCAGAGACAGGAGACGTGCGTGGCGGTGGGCGGCAGTTCCGCCAGGCCGTAGACGTCGACTAGGAGGCCTGATATCTGCAGGGTGCGCATGGAGATCTTGGGGGGGTTGGGGAGGGTGGTGTGTGCTTCGAGGGGCATTTTTGCTGGTGGGGGGAGGGGTTGGGTCGTGGGTGTTGTGGGTGGAGGTGGTTGTCTCGTCGTCGTCGTCGTCGTTGGTGATGGGGGGGTTGGTGTCGGGTTGGTGTTTGGTGGGCTAGATAGGAGAAATCCCCGATGATGGTCGGGGTTATTGTCCGCGTCGTCGACAAACGTATTCTTGGTGGTCCAATGCAAGGTCGGTCTTGTCACACGTCGCCGTCATCGGTCATCCCATCGGTTGAGGCCTCGGCTCGGATCGGCCCCATGGTCTCCACAGCGGGGTTCCTGCCGGGCATGCGTTTCAATCCTTCAGCCCTGGAGCTTGTGGGTCCGGACGTTCGGAAACCTGGAAGACCCACTCTCTGTTCATCTCAACTGGAGGAGGGAACGAGGGCGGCGGCTGGCTCTTAGCTGGGTTACCCGGACGGCTGGTACGGCCAACCGAAAACAGTCGGAATGGAGTCAAAATCAACAAAATACCTCATTCTTTCTGCAGCCCAAGATCGGACACTCGCTGGCCCCCATCGGCCCAACCTTGAAAATGTCCTCAACTAGTGGCGCCCGACGCGAGCCCAAGCCAAAGGCTACAAATAGAAATGGCCCTGTCGACGTCGACCAGCAGTGCGGTGTCGTGTTGCCAAACGGCCAGGCCTGCGCACGATCGCTCACCTGCAAGGGCTATAGCATGAGCGCGAAGCGGGCCGTTCCGGGTCGGTCCCAGCCATACGATATGCTCCTGGCTCAGTACCAGGAGAGTTTACGAGTACGTCAACAGCAGGAGGCTGTTATCGATGCCTGCGCACACCGAGAGGTCGAGAACGATGTCAAGAAGGAGGTCGACAGCCACCGGGAGGATGACAATAATTCTCGTTGTCAAATGGAAGCCATCTCCTCGCCTCCTTGATTTAGCACTTGTGGTGATTTTTCAAGGCGCATGAAGAAGGCGGTTTTCAATCGATTGGGTGTGGAAAGATGAGAACACTTCGAAATTTCAGCTCCAATCGACAGAAATCATGCCGCTGTTGTCGATCAGGCCGTATTCAACCGACACGCGGCGGCTATCGTCTTGCATGGCGAGGACGTGTATTCCTGGTCTCGATTTCAGGGGCCCGCTAACGTATGGGCGTCGAATGAAGATTCGAGAATGTATGCAGTTGGTTCCGAGGTCGAGAGCATGAGACAGACCTGCAGCTCGATTGTCACCCCCCGACTTCCCCCCCCCCGCCTTTCAGCCCCCAGCCAGGGTTCGCGTTTTGTGATACATTAAAAAGTCCTGTGACGCGCGACTGCAGTGGCTGAGCCGCAAACTCTTTTTCATGCCGATTTCTCCGAGCGTCTCCAAAATCTTGTACTCCCACGCGACAAGCCCGAGAAGTGCACAACACTGCCTAGACGATGGCGGCCGACACTTCAAAATCCTTCCCCTGGCAGGGGTTTAGCCGGCCGAGCAGGCGCGAGTCACTAGCATGGGGCTGGTCGTGGGAACTCCTGACCATGGCGAGCAGCCTGGCGTGTATGGCCGCCATCGTGGCCATACTCGTGACGACAAAGGACCGACCGTTAAGCGAATGGGACTTCTACTTCAGCATCCCCGCCACGCTCGCCTTCTTGGGGTTGATAGCCAAGTCCACGGCGGCCATCGGCGTCGGCGCATGCATCAGCCAGTACAAATGGCTCTACTTCAAGCGCAAGCCGCGCAAGCTGACCGATCTCGACCTGCTTGAGGAAGCCAGCCGGGGGCCGCTGGGGTCGCTAATTCTCCTGGCCAGACGGCCGATGGGGCTGGCGAGCATCGGCGCCATAGTCACTCTGCTCGCAATGGCCGTCGAGGTCTTCGTTCAGCAGATGGTCCAGTTCAATCCGCGTGACGTTGTCTTCGATGACGGAAAGGCCGTCCTTGGCCTCGCACACACTTACAACGGGGGCGCGAGGCCAATCGGCGTTGTGACTACGATTGATAGTCTCAGAGGTGAGTGCTTGGCCACACACGATGTTAAGTTGTGGTATCGCTATTTCTAACGCTTCCATTTTCTGTTTCGCAGCCTCCACCGCCGATAGGTCGATGCAAGGAGCCGTATATAGAGGGTTATTCAACCTCGACTCTCCCTCTGTTTTTGACTGCGCCTCGAAATGCCAATGGACCGGCACATATGTGTCGCTTGGCTTTACCAGCACCTGTGCCGACGTGACGGACGCGACTCTCCGAAGTCATACAAATGCGTCCGCGACATGGAACGGCACCAGCTCGGGCCGCCAAGAAGACATGAACCTGATAACCCCCGGCGGTGTCAATCTAGAAGCGGTTTATTCGGCCACTTCATGGCAAACAGTCGTCAGCGTCGGTGGCCTCTCTCGCATCAGCTCCGACCAAGTCTCTAACGCTTCCGGCGATGAACCCGTCCTGATGCCTCCCGATATCGCCCGCATTGCGGTGTTCAGGACACCAGTCGACGCAACAGACTGGATCATCTGGGCGGACAAGATGGAAATCGTCGAATGCGACGTCGAAGTGGCAGCATACCGCTACTCCAACCTGTCGTCTTCGGGCAGCGAGCTGACCATCGGGGACGTCGAAATGGTTCGTCTCGACCCAGGCACCGTGACCATAGACGGGATCCACGCAGACATGCTCATGTTCGATCAGCCGGGGCTTCCCGTGCTGCAGGCCCGCCTCCCAGACATCGCGGCCCTGGCGCAGCTCTATGCGTCGACCCGGTTCATTGGCAGCATCTACGACGGCGAGACCCCGCCGCTCCCGCCCGGTGGTCTAGGCGATGCCTTCCGGTCGGGCAACATCTCCCGCACCATGCAGGACATGGCGAACAGTATGACCGACCAGCTGCGAGCGAGCCGGGAGGTCAAGGGTGACGGGCAGAGCATCCGGCAGGTGGTGTTCGTCGAGGTCGAGTGGGGTTGGATCATACTCCCCATCGCCGTGCAGGTCATCTCGGCCGCGTTCCTGCTTCTGATCCTGGTCCAGAGCGCGCGGACCAAGGACCTGCCGCTGTGGAAATCGTCCACCACCGCGCTGTTGACGTACGATGTCAGGTTCAGCGAGGACGAGAACGGGGTGGGCAACCTGGGAACTGGGGTTAAGAGTCTAAAAGAGCTAGACGCGTTGGGCGAATCCGTCAAAGCGAGGTTGGAGTTAGCCCAGCATGGATCATCCACCGCAACAGCGCCCGATGATAGCGGCAGCCCGAGCATAAAGGGGCTGGAGGCTCATGTCTACCCCGTCAACACCAGATAGGGTTAATTCAACAAGACGATGCGCTCACGAAAGGGCGGGTGGGTTTACATGATGAGCGTGACTAGCACGTGATATGAATAACTACACGTGATACTGCGGCTCCGATCCATGGAGGATAATGAATGACAATTGCAGTTTGATCCAACAAACAAGCTTGGAGGTTGTCTATTATGGGTGGTGACCGTCGAGATTAAAGATAAAATCCTTGCTGGCGGTTAGAGTACTTTGCATTTGGCATATAGCCCCATAGAAGTGAGGCGAACTGGTTCAGCTGCTTTGATTCGCATCAACAGCGATGCTTACCCTCAGGCAACCAGCCTCTCGTGCCTTAGGCAATTGTACATACTTAGCGCCGTCTCATTCACCAACGATCTGCAGATCCATGTGCTTTGGCGCGCTGCAGGCAACAGGGACGGGAAGCAGGGGTGCAAGCCTCACGTTGCGTCAACCCGATGACGTTGAATTTGAGTTCCGACAAGCAACCCGAGGCGACAAGCCGAGACACCATCCACAAACTTGGAGCCTAATTTCACCACTGCTTCAGGGACAGGTGGTAGCTTCGACTGTATCTTTATGCCTAGCTAAAAAAGAATAAAGATTACAAAAATTGGAGGGGTTTGCAAGTGGAATGCATGGGAGCCCGCCCACCTCGTCGGTGTGGGCTCCTCTTCAACGAGGTTCTTAGCAATTTCCTTCTCTAGGCGAAGTTCTCCGCCCATGACCAGCAACTGTGCCCATATCTAATCATAACACAAAGGATGACTCTCCTGTCTCTCTGTTTCCTTGAATATTTCTGCGAGAAATCGTCGAGTCTTCCCTGAGACCATGGCTAAGGTATCCTTTCCCCCAGTGCCCGACCGGAACGCCGCACCCCACCGCCAAAATCATCGATATCCGTCGTACAATATATACCCCTCATAAGAACTTGAAATCATCGTAAATACTCCCAAAACTCCCCGTCCATGCAATGCTCGTTCAACGGCCGGCAACCCGGCCATGAAGGAGAGGGGAATCTTTGCTGCAAATGCAAAAGCCAGACGTGCGAAGGAAAATGAAATAAAGTCAGAGTAGTGATGCAACACCAAACCCATGCCTGTCCCAGAGCCGGAAGGAAACGTGCCGATTCAGCCCCGCATAGGGCTCGGATACGAGCACTCGTAATGGAAATTATGATGCGCGTCCGGAAGGCCGTTGGCGACGATGCCGGCGCCCGATGGTCCCTAAATCATCGTCGCGGCCGCCATCGGTGCCGTGGGCACGGCACTGGGCATCCGCGTCTCGAGAGCTTGCTGGAGCGCGGTGATCTTCTGCATCATGATCACCGTCTGCTGGGTCTGCGCTTGGACCTGGCGGCGCAGCTCTTCGTTCTCCTGCCGCACGCGCTTGATCTCCTCTCGCATGTCGGCGTCGGCGCCCCGGTCGTCGCGCTTGCGCTTCTGGCCGGCTGCGACGGCGTGGTCGCTCGCATTGTCGTCCGTCTCACCCTCGGTCCCGTTGATCGCAGCCCCGTTTTGCGTGTGCACGCGGCGCAAGTGTTCGTTGAGGTTCTCTTGGCGCGAAAAGCCCTTGCCGGAGTGGCGCTTGCAGTTGGGATGCGGGCAGTAGAACGAGTTCTTGGGCCCGCCATGCTTGCCGTGGACTTCGCGCTCGTGCCGCAGGAGGCCGCCGGAATATGTGAAGCCGGGGAGCTTCTCGCACCCCGCTGCAGCGCATTTATAGGGCCGATCATGCTTGTCCATGTGTTTACTATTGCAACAGTTAGTTTCGGCGCACGTGTTTGGGCAGCGATTACGAAAAACTTACTTCCACTCGCATTTGCGGACAAACTCTTTTGGTTCTTCGGCGCAGCCGGGCCAAGTGCAAATAAACCTGCCTTCCAAATTCCTGGTCACCTCCCGATCCGGCTTGGGAATCGCCTTGATGCGCTGAGGTGTTGTCGCGATTGGCGAGTCTTCCTTGACGGCTGTCGTCGTCGTGGCTGGGGGAGGGCCGACGGGCAGATCAAGCCGGGGCTCTGTCGCGTCCACGAACTGCGAGTGGGGAGCGGTGAATGTTGCGACAGTGGTTGCCAGTTCGTTGACAACGGCATCGGTGGGATCGGTAAATCGGTCCGCGTCTGGGGAGGGGTCGTGGTGATCATCCATGGGCGGATATCCGCCATCATGGATGAAGCTGCGGGGTTCGTAAACAACGCTCATTGTGACGGAGATGGCGGTGCGCTGCACCAGATATTTGAAACTCGGTAGATCGGTTGCGCCGGGGTTCTGTTGTGGAAACGAAGTGGTTGTCGATAGACTCGAGGTAAAATACAAGTCAAAAAAACGACCGATTTCGGTCGAGGAACTGAACGCGGCTTGCTCGGGAAGGAACGTGTGCAGCCCGCCGCTGAGACGCGTCAAGTGCGTGGTCGGATGTAGAAATAATGGGAGGTTCTTGCCTTGGGCGAAGGTCGATGTTCCTATTGCGGAAAGCCACGAGGTTAGAGAGATCTGCCTTAAAACTGAGGTGCAAGTTCAAAAACGAGGCTCAGCTTCGGGCGCAGCCTTGGGGCGAATAGAAGTGGGGGCAAGCTCTACCTCTTATCCTTGTTGCTTGCGTGGAAAGCACACGTGACCGGGGTCTCGGGAAGGCGCAAGCCCGCTGAGTAATGCTTCGGTGATCTCTCAGTTTCTGCTGCGGCTTTGGATGACGACTCCTTCCTTCAACTTCTATCGTTCAGGCTCGATTAATTCGAGACATTCATCAGCATGGCAACTGCATGTGCGCGCGCGCCGGGTCTTTTAGTATTTCCCCCGACGACAGACAGGCAGCTAGGATGACTCGATGGGGGCAAGACCGACCTGACGCACCCCCTGCAAGGGCTTTTGTGAGGCAGCCACGCGACGTGACTCACCGGGTCGAGGGTTTGGGTTGGCGCTTGCAGCCTTGCATAGACGGGCTGCGGAGCTTCGAGGCCTCAAAACCCCCAATCCACGTCCAGTCGACCACTGCGGTCCGTTTGTTTTACTCTTCGATGATCAGCCTCACCCCTCCCAGGATTCGCATCGCCTTCCCCAACGGTCGTGTGAAAGGCCAGGGGGTCTCTCGAGTTTGGCCTGCGCCCTGAGTCCCTCCCGCGATTTGGCCAGGGCTTTTTGAGCAAGGTTCGCAGCCGCATCGGCAACCGCGAAAGTCGGCCAGGCAGCCAATGTCGAAAGTGTTACCGAATTGAGAAGATTGGGAGACATTGCTTGGTGTGGCGACGTCGAACTCGACAGCGGCAATATCGTCGCCAGGTCCCGTGTCTAGGACGACGGATGGGCCGGCTGCCTGCGACTCCTGCCATGCAGGCCTCAACCCCGCAAGACTGTCCAGGACCCGACCCTCCAGAATCACACGGAAGAGCGGAAAGGACGCTGGTACCAGACCCGAACCAAGGGCCAACGGCATGAACGCACTGCAGAGCACCAACACCACCCCGCAAGCCGGTCGCAGAGTGGTCGAACCGCAAGTGCACGTTGGGCGTAAGAACGAGAGGCACACACCGAGCACCGCCCAGCATCCTTCTGATCCTCGTTATCCCATGAAGCATTCGACGGATTATCTCCAATGGCGAGGGCCTTGAGGATTGCCCGCATGGCCATTCAAAGAATCGGGTGTGTCATCGGCAGCATCAAGGGAACATGGGTGGCCCGTGACTTGTGTGACGAGGAGGAAACCGACCTGAGGACGATAGGCCTGCATATTCATGATCAAGTGAGGCCCTGCTTCGGTCCTATCCAAGAGAGCCAGAGGCATCAAGACCGACGATGGCCTGTGGTGGATGAGCAGCCGCCTCCCCGCTTTTGAGGCCGGCAGATCGTGCCGAGTGACTCATAAGTGTCCTCAGTATCGGGATGCCTGAAAAACAGGGACATGATGCCTGTTTAAATAGGTAAGGAGAATATGCTGAGCTTCCATTGCGTGGTTGAGGACGGGTGCTGGTAGCTTACAGAGCATGCCCCGAGTTGCCGCGCCCCTCCCCCATCAACGTGACAGGGGCCTGTGCCCGAGCATCCGAGGCGAAGAGGCAGAAATGTCGGCCTGCTTTCTCTCTTCTCATTCGCCTTGCGTGCCAAGTGGCTCCAGCGAGCCCAGTCAGTGAATGGAGGTCATCGTGATTAGTTGCCATCGATGAATGTGACCTCGACCTTCCGCACCTTCGGACTCGCTAGCTCAGTTGTTGTCTCCACACAAGACCCTCTTCCGACATGCCAACTCTTGGATTCACATACCCGCACGTGCGGAGTACCATGTTGACCAAGAGTCGTCCCACTTGGGGAAAGAGGGGCATCGGGGCCGGTGGATGGCGACGAGTAAGCAACCAAGCAGCGAACAAGACGAGTTTAACCCCGATGCAGACATCTGAGCCCCTCATAACCCCTCTCAACGACGCGGTTGTCTCCTTAAACGTCACTTCATCAGTCCATTCTTCTCTTCACTACTCCAAGACGTTACCACCTCCTCACTCTTCACTCTTACCCCCTTAAATATGGCGACCGTCAAGCTCCCCGAACCCTTCGCGAGCATCCCTCGCGAGGTCCTCACCTTCGGCCCCTCCCCAATCCAACACCTCCCCCGCATCTCCCAGGCCCTCGGCGGCAAGGTCAATATCTACGCCAAGCGCGAGGACTGCAACTCGGGCCTCGCCTACGGCGGCAACAAGACGCGCAAACTCGAGTGAGGAGATGTCTGCTCCCCCACCACCATCTCATCACCACTAACCCCCTTCCCCCCCTTCCCAAAGATACCTCCTCCCGGACGCCCTCGCCCAAGGCTGCGACACGCTCGTCAGCATCGGCGGCGTGCAGTCCAACCACACGCGGCAGGTGGCGGCGGCCGCCGCCAAGCTGGGCCTGCGGGTCGCGCTGGTGCAGGAGCACTGGGTGGACTGGACCGACGGCGGCTACGAGACGGTCGGCAACATCCAGCTGTCGCGCCTCATGGGCGCCGACGTCCGCCTCGACCCGTCCGGCTTCGGCATCGAGCACAAGCCGACCCTGGCGGGTCTCAAGACCGAGCTCGCCGCCGCCGGCCGCAACCCCTACTACATCCCCGCCGGCGCGTCCGACCACCCGCTCGGCGGGCTGGGATTTGCCCGTTGGGCGTTTGAGGTGGCGGCGCAGGAGGCGGAGATGGGGGTGTTTTTCGACACGGTCATCGTGTGCGCCGTGACGGGGTCGACCATGGCGGGGATGGTGGCCGGGTTCAAGCTGGTGGAGAAGCTGGGCGGGCGGAAGAGGCGAGTGGTGGGGATCGATGCGTCGGCCAAGGTGCCGCAGACGTTTGAGCAGGTGCTGAGGATCGCCAAGAACACGGCCGTGAAGATCGGGCTGGAGGAGGGGGACGTTACCGAGGCGGATATCGTGCTGGATGACCGGTACCATGCGGGGACGTACGGCCTTCCGGATGAGCAGACCATCGAGGCGATCAAGTTCGGCGCGCGGACGGAGGCGTTTATTACGGATCCCGTGTACGAGGGGAAGAGCCTGGCCGGGATGATGGATATGGTTCGGAGGGAGGAGATTGCCGAGGGGAGCAACGTGCTCTATGCGCATTTGGGGGGTCAGTTGGCGCTCAATGCTTACTCGGCTCTTGGGTAGATGTGGCAGAAGGAGATTGTCGGAAGGTGTCCTATTGATGCGTATTCGAGTCGCACTTCGAGCCTTGCCACCTCGTGAATATCATCTTCTCGATTGATACTAATCCAAGCGTGACACTTAACGTCTACAGCACTAAGCTGACCCAAGGAACGTCAAGAGAATAACAGAAGCAAATAACATCTCGTCTACCATCAATGGATAGTGAAAATGTCCTCCGCTCGACCAACTAATTCCTGGGTTTCAGTCAGGGCTGGGAGCACAAACTTCTTAATCCTCTTCTGCAGTTTTTCGAGGCCGCCCTCCCCAGAAGAGTCTATGATTTCCCAGACAGCCCCGGCCACGGCGCTATCCAAAACACTCCCTACTTGTTGCTCGCGTGTCAAATTTCTCGGATATAATTTGGTGAGCCGGGTGCGAATCTTTTCCGCATCCTCAACCACAATGAACCAGAACCCTTCATGCATGGGGTCGGATGGGGGCTGAATGTCTAGAAGCTCGAGAAGAGATTCCAGTTGTGCTAGAGCGGCAGTTTTCTGCGGCTCTGGCAACCCTAGGAAGGCCTGCGATGACGTGTTAATCAGGGACGCATAATCTAGGATAAGATGGAATCCTCAAGAAGCCGGATACTATACCTCTTTGGACACGCCATAAAATTCATCACGAACTCGTTGGATTTGATCGAAAACAGTAGTGAACCGCGAATGCCCTTGTTGGAGACAATCTTCGCAAAGTTTCCGAAGGCGAACCACCTCAGGCCGAACTCCATGGTCTCGAATGTACACCGTCTTGCTGGTCAGCAATGCCTCTAGTTGGATGTATCCACGCAGCGCCGCCTGTCCTTCTTCAATATAAACCACGTCTACAGGTTTGCCCAGAGCTTGCGGCAGGGCATCTTCGAGGAGTTGCGTATCCGGCGGCGGAGGCGGGTCGGACCGGTTGCGGGGTGACACGATGACAAGAAGATCGACATCACTCCGTTCATGTGCCGTTCCCCGAGCGACAGAACTAAAGACACTAGCCCAACGCACGCTCTTGAAATATAGGTGAAGGAAAGCCTTCGCAAGGGCTGCCTTTACCCCGTGCAGGTCTACACTGGGATCCGTGGATGAATCCACCCGCTGAGCAGCCGAAGCAGAAGTCATGAGGGGACAAAATTGAAGTACTGGGCGGAATGGTAGGAGACGACGGTGATATCTCCAAGGCTTCGTAAATAGTGTCGGTACTCGGGATGTTGCCATGAAGTTTATTAGGGGGTGAGCTGTTCTTTGTAGGAAAAACAGGAACAAAGCTTGCTGTTCTAACCGCCGGATCCGGCAGGGCAGTGCCGCCATTTTCGACGGTCTCGATAGCTACCTAGGCACCCCGAGTCCAAAAAGGCTCAACTCCAAGTGCGGATGTCGACCATGGAAACCTAGGTCGAGTTCTCGATTATAGAAACAAAACGAAAGCCACCCCAAACCCTAAATAAACTGGATTCGCCCTATTTACTTTTCTTTTACCCCATTTATTTTATTTTATTTTCTTCGCTCGATTTCATGTTACTTTGTTCTTTTTATTTGATTCCTTGGTTAGGTACCGACCTGGTACGATTCCTTTCCATGGGAAGTTCGGCCTTTTTAAACCAGAGGGTGCCAGGTACTGAGGTACCATCCATGCCGGAGCAGTCCTGCGTGATTTGTAGTCGATTGTCTCAAAAAAGCAAATGGTCCCCCAATCCAGGAAGCTACAGAAAAGAAAGAGGAAGATTTATCGTGTTGCTGGAACGGGGGGTGGACGGTTCTAGCATAAACCATCCAGGGAAAGCTTGGGCAACATCACTACCAAAGACGGCGAGCTAGAGAACAATGAGTGCGCAGAGTCTTAGGAGCCTGGGTAGCTGCGGGAGCGAGACGCGTATTTGAGGGTCACGGTCGCGATACGTAAAAACAGCAGGGTTGTACATTCTCAAGGGCTAGTCATTTAAATCTGCCCTGTCCTGGAGGGAGTCTCACATCTCATATGGAGACTTTACCGCCCGCCAGTCATCCGGATCCTTCTCGCCTCCATCCCCCGGCCGAGACCCTTTCTGGTCCTCACAGTAATTGCCCCACCATTTCTCAAAGGCCCGCCGACTGTACAGCCGCGTCGGCGGCCCCTCTCCCTCGCCAAAGAGGTCCAGAATGTAGTCGCAGTACATCCACACGCCCTCGAGATGGTGCTGCAGTAACGGCTTCTTGTCCTTGCGCGCGACCACGACGGTGCCGACATTTGACTGCCATGCCGGGGGCGCAAACCCGGAGTCGGGGTCGATGTTGAGGTACGTGGCGATCTGGTTGTCGAGGTCGGCGCGGTCGGCGGACCGCGTGCCTACGCGGTGGACGACCAGCGGGACCCCGATGAGGCCTGGGAGGGGAGGGACGGCCTGGGAGAAAACGGGATGGTCGGCGGGGATTGTGGTCGCGGACCAAGGCGCAGATCTGATTTTGTCGACGTCGCACCGGACAATGACAGCTTTGACTCGGGCGGGGGCCGGAGCGTCGTGCGTTTGCAGCGTTGCCATCGGAGTGGATGCGGACGGCTGGGACTGCGGGGTGGTTGGCGCAGGTGGCTGGTTGGCTTTAGGCGCGGGCACCTGGGGAGACGACATATCTGGCTCGGAATCCGTGTCTATGTTGTCCCATTTGGAGTAATCTATGGGTGCCATAGTCGTCAAAACCTTCACTGCGGGTGATGGTTAAAGAAAGAGATTACAATTGGTAACCTTGGTAACCCACGGGTCCTTTTAAGTCCAACGGGTTCGGGTCCCATGGGTGATTCCCGGGCAGTTACGCAATACCTACGTCGTGCCCGGTTGCGGGTTTGCACTGCAGTGACAACGGTGTGGACTGAATACCACACTGTACGCGAAGGTTGAAAGAAGGCAACTGCGTCTAGGCAGAACTTCCGGGCAGTTCAACTTTTCTCCCAAGCGTGCCTTCCTACCTCAACAGACAAAGGATTGCATTTATTCTCCGGTCGCCGAGGGCTTGCGACACCAACATATTAAGGCGTCACCATGGCGACCACATCGAATATGTTTTTGTACTCGCTCACAATTCAACCGCCTACTGCCATCACACAAGCCATCGTCGGCTTCTTCTCGGGCACCAAGGAGCAGCAAATTCTCACAGCTTCGGGCTCCCGGCTGACACTCCTTCGCCAAGATGCGAACTTGGGCAAAATATTGCCGCTGATCACGCAGGACTTGTTCGGCATCATCAGATCCATTGCCGTCTTCCGTCTCGCCGGAAGTTCTAAGGGTAAGTAGACGCCCCCTATCATATGTTTTCCAAGCTAATGCCACCAACCAGACTACATCCTTCTGGCCACGGATTCAGGTCGCATCGCTGTGCTCGAGTATCTTGCGGCCCAGAACCGCTTTTCTCGAGTCCATTTAGAGACGTTTGGTAGATCCGGGGTTCGCCGTGTGGTGCCCGGTCAGTACTTAGCTGCGGATCCCAAGGGCCGAGCCTGTCTCATCGCCTCTATCGAAAAGAGCAAGCTCGTGTACGTGTTAAATCGCAATACGGAGGCCGAGCTCACCATATCCTCGCCTCTGGAGGCCCACAAAACCGGCATACTTGTGCTCTCTTTGGTAGCGCTCGATGTGGGCTACTTGAACCCCGTGTTTGCATCTCTCGAGACGGATTACTCGGGCCTGGACCAGGATCCATCCGCTCAAGATCCAGATGTCGAGCTCGTCTACTACGAACTGGATTTGGGCCTAAATCGCATAGTCCGGAAATGGTCCGAGCCCGTGGATCCAACCTCCTCGTTGCTTTTCCAAGTACCTGGTGGGAACGACGGCCCAAGTGGTGTGCTAGTGTGTGGGGAAGAAAGCATCACATACCGACACTCCAACCAAGAGTCGTTTTGTGTACCTATTCCGAGACGTCGGGGTGCTACAGAGGATCCCCAGCGGAAGCGCACCATCGTGTCCGGGGTCATGCATAAATTGAAGAACAGTCCCGAGGCATTCTTTTTTCTGCTGCAAACTGAAGACGGTGACCTGTTCAAGGTAACGTTAGGTATGCGGGAAGATAGTGAGGGTAATTTGACAGGGGAGGTGAACTCTATCAAACTCGCGTACTTTGATACGGTTCCAGTCGCGAAGAGTCTCTGCGTCCTCAAAAGCGGCTTCCTCTTCGTTGCCAGCGAGTTTGGGAATCACCAGTTCTATCAGTTTGAAAAGCTCGGAGGCGACGAAGTCGAATTCAGCAGCGAGAAAGACGTCGCTCCCGTCTTCTTTGACCCGCGACCTTCGGAAAACCTTACTTTGGTGGAAATCATCGATTCCATGAATCCCCTCCTGGCTTCCGAAGTTGCCAATTTGAGGGAGGAATACGATGCGCCGCAAATCTACTCAGCTTGTGGCAGCGGTGCAAGGAGCCACTTTCGGATTCTGAGGCATGGGCTAGAGGTCAATGAGATTGTAGCTTCCGAATTGCCGGGAACAGTTTCGGCTGTCTGGACAACGAAGCTTACAGCCAAGGACGAACACGACACGTACATCATCCTAACCTCATCCGCCGATACGCTGGTCTTGAGCATTGGGGAAGAAGTGAAGCAAGTCAGCGATTCGGGGTTTCTTACATCGGTCAGCACTCTTGCTATCCAACAAATAGGGGACGACAGTCTAGCCCAAGTCCACCCAAAGGGTATCCGTCATATCCGCAGCAACGGTCAAATCATTGAGTGGCCTGTTCCGCAACACCGCTCTATAGTGGCTGCTGCCACGAACCAGCGGCAAATCGCTGTTGCTTTGAGCTCAGGAGAGATTGTCTATTTCGAACTCGACGATGCCGATGGGTCGCTTGCTGAGTATGACAGAAGAGAGGAGATGTCTGGGACCGTAACTTGTCTCGGTCTCGGCCAGGTCCCCGACGGCCGTCTACGAAGTTCCTTCTTGGCTGTCGGATGCGACGACCGTACTATTCGGATTCTCAGTTTGGATCCGGAATCTACGCTTGAGAGCATGTCGGTACAAGCTCTAACGGCGGCGCCCTCGGCCTTGGCCATTCTACCGATGGACGACTCCTCACTTGGTGGCTCAAGCTCTTCGAATATGGCGAAAACGACATATCTGCACATCGGTCTCCATTCCGGCGTCTACCTCCGAACAGTGCTGGAAGAAACTACAGGTTCATTGACAGACACTGAACACAAATTTCTCGGTGTCAAGCCTGTCAGGCTCTTCCAAGTCACAGTCAAGCAAAAACCATGTGTCTTGGCTCTCAGTTCCAAGTCCTGGCTGGGCTATGTTCAACCGGCAAGAGGCTTCATGGTGACCCCTCTTAGCTACGAGAGTCTAGACTGGGGATGGAGCTTCAGTAGCGAGCAGTGTGAGGAGGGTATCATTGGAGTCCACGCAAACCACCTTCGGTAAGCGTCTTCTATCTTCTGGCTTTATCTATTCCGCCTTTCCTAGCTCCTCTAGCTAACTCGCGATACGTTATTAGGATATTTTCTATCGAAAACCTGCACGACAACCTAGTGCAGAGATCGATACGGCTCACATACACGCCACGGCACCTTGTAAAGCACCCAAATCAACCGTATTTCTATACGATTGAATCTGAAAACAACACCCTCGCACCAGAGCTGCGTGTACAGTTGGTGGCTGCATGTACCACAGCGCCAGGCGGGGATGCGAATGAGCGAGATGTTGCCGAGATACTTCCGCCCGAGGAGTTCGGGTACCCCCGCGGACGGGGTCGATGGGCCTCTTGCATAAACATCGTCGACCCTATCGGGGAACGGATACTCCAGACTATCCATCTCCAAGGGAACGAAGCAGCTACGAGCTTGGCGATAGTATCGTTCACGAGCCAAGACGACGAATGCTTTTTGGTCGTTGGTACGGGGAAGGACATGGTTTTGAATCCGCGACAGTTTTCCGAGGGTTACATCTCCGTCTATCGATTTCATGAGGACGGACGGGACCTCGAGCTCATTCACAAAACCAGGATGACCGAACCACCAACAGCGCTGGCAGCCTTCCAAGGCCGGTTGGCGGCGGGAATTGGCAAGACTCTGCTAATTTACGATTTGGGTCTGAAGCAATTGCTTCGAAAGGCCCAAGCCGACGTGACACCGAGTCAAATTGTCTCTTTACAGACACAGGGCAACCGCATTGTTGTTGGCGACGTGCAACATAGCGTTACTATGGTGGCATACAGGACTGAGTCTAATAAGCTCATACCCTTTATCGACGATACGATTGCGCGGTGGACAACCTGTATGGTTATGGTCGACTATGACTCGGTGGCGGGTGGCGATAAGTTTGGGAACTTCTGGATCGTGCGGAGTCCCGAGAAAGCTAGTCTCGAAGCTGACGAGCCAGGGGATCACCATCTGATACACGCCCGCAAGAACCTCCACGGCGCCCCGAACCGACTCAATCTGATGACACACTTCCATACCCAGGACATCCCAACTGGCATCACCAAAACCAACCTCGTCGTAGGCGGGCAAGAGGTTCTCGTCTGGAGCGGTTTTCAGGGTACTCTCGGCGTATTTATCCCGTTCGTTGCGCGCGAGGATGCCGACTTTTTCCAGACCCTGGAGCTGCATATGCGTAGCGAAGAACCGTCGCTAATCGGCCGCGACCACCTCGCGTATCGTGGCTACTATGTGCCGGCGAAGGGAGTCATCGATGGGGACCTCTGCGAACAATATAGGCTACTCCCTAGTGACAAGAAGCAGAGAATCGCTGTGGAACTCGATCGTTCAGTGAGGGAGGTAGAGAAGAAGATCTCGGTACGTCCACCCGTCATCCGCCAGGTTCCCTTTACAATTGAAGTATCTCGCTAACCAGAGAGCAATAGGACGCACGGGCTCGATCTGCTTTTTAGTGGTTAAGTCGCGAAGCAACTGTAAGAGGGATGCCTGCTAAATAGTGAGTGTGGGAGAAGAGCGCGGGATACGAGGGAATGACTCAATTCGATCCCGAGCAATCGTATACCGTCCCGGGATGATCTAAAGAGTGACCAGTTCCCCTTTCTTTGCTGCCCACTATCGATACAACCAAAGGCAGCATGTTAAAAGCAAAAACAAAAAGCCAACAACGCCCACGAGGCCGGCAAGGCGATAGCGCAGCAGCATTGTCGCCCGCCCGACGCCTCAGTCCCGACACGCCGTCCCAGCGATGGCGTAGCAGCACTTTCGCTGTCGAAGTATTGAGACCTCTTTTGTGAATTTCCGGAAACCAAAAGCCCTTCGGACATTGCGACAGCGTATCAAAAACACAGATGGGGTATCATCAAAACCAAAACCAAGAGCAGAAAACCAAAGAAAACCAAGGAAAACCAAACCAAAATCAAAACAAGTCGCGGTCCACCTCTTTTTGTTTTCAAGCTCAGTCAAAACCCAGACTAGCCATGCCGGGAGAGCGATAGCGTAAGCAGCATTGTCACTGCTCCCGGACTAAGACTCCGAAGCAGGCTTCTTCCAAGCCCCGTTTTCCAAGGCGTCAGCGATGGCGCAGCGGCACTGTCGCTATTGAGGATGTCAAGCTCCAGTGGGCTTGTTGAATAATCGGGGGAGCTCGTATGACATGCCGTTCCTTGGAACAAAAGACGCTTGTTTGAAACCCGGACCTGGGTATTACCGATCGTATATCGTTCTTTTTTCGATGTATCGAGCAGGTATGGGTAAAAGTCGTGGTTGAATGAACGTCGAGAAGTGAAGTTGCGGGGCAGTTCGCCCTGCCCTCGAGAGCCCTCTCGGGCGGAATTGGCGGTGGTGGTTGTCGCTTGCACCGCGGGCCCGTCCGCCCTCTCCTAATCTCTATCGCGCTCCTTAAGCATGTGGGGAAGCCTCGGACGGCTTGTTCCACCACATCCGTCTGAACCCACGCTGCTGGGTTTCTCTCCGAGCTGCACCGTCGAGATATTCGTCCGAGTCGGCGGCCGAGCTGCTGCTGCTGTTGGTGATCTTCTTGCTGGGCTCGTTCCCAAAGATCTGGAGCAAAGCAGTCATGACGAAGCTGCTGGCGATGCTCATGCAGAGAATCCCAATCATGGTGAAGTTGCTCATGCGGTACTGGTGCGGGCCCTTGGCGGCGTCCTCGGGCCAGCCAGTGTACAACGCGTACGTCGTGGTGATGCTGCCGAGGTTGCCAAGACCTGAGACGAGGGCCGACGCGGCGGCGACGCCGACCTCGCGATGGCGGCGCTGGAAGATCTCGTTGGTCCAGGTCATGCAGATAGGGACGGTTGGCCCGAGCCCGAAGCCAACCATCAGAAGGCCACCATATCTAGCCCAGGGGTTGTCGAGGGCAAACGTGACGGTGAGGAGGCCGGCTATCTGTATGCACACGGCGGCAGAGAAGAAGATGGCACGATGTCGGTGGAATCTGTCGGAAATCGGGGTGACTAGGAGGATGGCGCAGAAATCCATCTGTTATAGTCAGTATCCAGCTTCGGGATTTCGATGCGTAGAGAACTTACCATCCAGATCGGGGCGAACAGCAAGCTGACCTGAACACCGGTAAAGGTCGGATTAATCGCCGCGATGATGACACTCCCGTACAGCTGTGTGCCAATGCCGACGCCAACGACCCCAAAGTACATCAGCACTAGAGGCCATAGTCGCCAGTCGATAAGCACATGCCACAGGTCCCTCATGTTCCAGGCCCTGGCGTGATAGACCCTCCTCAGATCGTGATAATGCACAACGGCATCCTCCCCCTTCAGGGCCTCGGGACTCTGCGGAAGAAAGCTTGAGTACCAGCTCTTCGCCCTCTGCTCGCCCGGCGCCAGCGGCCGGTCAGGTAGCCACCAGAGCAGGGAAATGCCCAGCAGCACACCGCACAGTCCGTAGATCAGAAACATCCACCTGAACCCGACCAGGCCGCCCAGCCCGTCCATCTGCTGAAACCCCGCCGACACCAAGCCGACCACGGCGGCCGAGACCTGGGACGCGGTGAAATACATGCCAATCCGCTTCCCAGTTCGCGACGGCGGGTAGAACAGCGTCAAATAATATGCCATGCCAGGCCACATACCCGCAGTAACCACACCCAGCAAGAACCGCAGCAGCTTCAAACTCCACGCGTCGTTGACGGCGGTGAAGCACGTGCCCGTTACGCCGACGGCGAACACGATGCGGGCCATCCAGACGCGGGGGGAGAGCCTGCTCATGACGAGGTTGGAGGGCAGGTCGAACAGGACGTACGACACATAAAACAGGGCCAGGGCGGTGGAGGTGTCGCGCGGCGAGAGAGAGAGGACCGAAGCCAGGTCGTGGCCGGTAGTCGTGTTCATGGTCTGGGCGATGCCGATGTTGGAGCGGATGGCGGAGCTGAGGAAGTAGAGAGCCCAGAAGGCGGGAATGATGCGGAGGTCGAGTTTCCTAGCCGGGTATTAGCAGCGGCACTGGTAGGTAGCCAAATTGCCCTACCTACCCATGGAGATGGGATTACTGAGTTGGTGGGGAGGGGGACATACCGGTAGACCTTCTCGACCCGCTCGACGCTGTACTCCTGGATGGGCTCCCGAGTGTTGCCTCCGCCGCTCTGGTTCCCAGTATCCTCACCATTCTGTTGAGGAGCGCTGTCCGAGGTGAGAACCTGAGCGATCTTGTCGCCGGCCCGGGCGTGGGCCTGACCCGGGTCGTGAGCCATACTTTGACTGAAAAGCAATGGAGGTGCGTGCTGATAGTCTGTTCTGGCTACGACCTTCTCTTTATCGCTTTGCCGAGTTGTGTGTTGATGCGAATTTCTAAGATGGACGTGCGAGAAAGGTTGAGATGAATGGTGACTTCCTGGCAACTTTAATTCTACTTTTTTTCAGCTCGCGCTTGCCGGTTTATATAGCTCGTGGGAAGAATTGTGGGCCGAGGTCGGAGTCGCGTGGGGACGACACTGGCGCCGCGGACCCCGGCACATCATGGATGGATAGAGCCAGACTCGAAGGGTAGATGTCGACCAAACCTTGACTATAGAAATGAAACGAGTGCTATCCGGAAACCCAAGCAAACTGTATTTACTCCGTTAAGTTTTTGTTTTACTCGAGTTGTTTTATTCGATTTCTTATCTACTTTTCTTGTATTTGATTTCTTTGCTCGATTTCTTTTGCTCGATGTATGATACATGTTTCATTTTACTTAGTTTCTTATTTTCCTTTAACTACTTCTTAGACTTTGACTTTTTTTTCGCTAGAGGGTGCCCGGTGTTGCGGTGTTGTTGAGCCGCTGTTGAGCGGTTGAGGACCCAAGGCCAGCCAAGTACCAGGAAGCCCAACCTTGAAAGATGATGAATTTGCGAATTAGGTAGAAGGACGACCCAATTGCAGGGTGGGAGACATGGTAAACAGTGCGAGGGGTTTTGTCGACACCAAAGTTCCCACCTACATACCATTCTCTAGCCACATAGGCACCCCCGAACAAAACAACGCACGGTATGTCACAACATCTTTTACTCTTAACCTCGGCTCAAGCCTTCCCCGGCCGCACTTGATCCTCACCGGCGGTACTGGAGCTTAGCCGATACTGGCCATTTGCCACTGCTAATGATAACCATCGTGCGTTAACGTGAAGGGCGGTTGGGGTATGAATGCTTGGGTAAAAGTAAAACCTGCTACCTATCAAGCATGATGTTGTTCGTAAGCCTAGGCCCTAGGTCGCTCCCCAGAGGGAAACAGCCCCAGGCTATATATCCATCAAGCTACTCAGTCTAGAACGCCTGTTCGGAGCATGCATACATAATGTGGACTGACATCCCATCATTCCCCCGCCGCGCTGACGTGCCCACCGAGAATACAACGCCCAAGAGTGGTCACGGGCGCACATTGCGTGTTAACATGTAAGAGTAATATCCCTGCTCCGTGCTGTTAGGAGTGGCAAACTCAATATGGGAGTCACAAATTGAGGCTCGTGCGAGGATGCGAGATACTATCCCAAGTGTCGTCTGCACCCCATCCGTCCCTGCGAACACAAACTCAAACCCAGACGACCGACCAAACTTGCACCTCAGACAAAGCAAGTTTCGCCATTTTTTATAATTTCTTTATAAACAAGTCGACCAGCTTTCGAGACGCCGACCACCACCGACTTCACCATGTGTCTCCTCTCGACACTCCGTTCCGTCTGCGGGCACACCGTCGACACCCTCGTCGGATGCGACACCCCCCGGTGCTGCACCCACAAAGAAGCATCGCTCTACTACACAGAGCTGCGATGCCTCGACTGCTGGGAGCAGTATTGGTAAGTGCCCCCCCCCCCCTTCGACTCCAACCCCTCGACATCACCACCACCCCGTCGCCCTCACCTCCCCACTCAACCCCCGATCACCAAATCAACCCCCCCGGCCCCGCCCCCTCCAGCACCCAGAATAAAAACCAACACATCTCCACAGGACCCCCCGAAGCGACGGCACCACCACCACCGCCGCCGACGTCGCCGCCGAGCTCGCGGGGATCGCGTGGGTGCAGGCGACCATCCAGCTGGACGCGAGGGCGCAGTGGTCGCGGCGGCGCGGGCTGCACCGCCGCGAGCAGGCGTACCTCGCCCGCGTGGAGGCGGCGCGGGACGAGCGGGCGGCCGAGCTCACCGAGGGCGACACGGAGCCGTGGGTCTGCTGGTGGGAGGAGGGGTACCGGGTTTGGGAGACGGTGGGGGAGGATGTGGTGGTACTGTGCGGCGGCGGCGGTGGTGACGAGGGGATGGGGTGGGATGAGGGCGAGGGGGGGGATTGGTTGTCGGAGGAGGGGGAGGAGGAGAGCGTGTCGTCCGGCTCTGAGGGTGGTGCTGAGGAGAGTGGGGAGGAGGAGCTGGACGGCCGCGTTGAAGTAGGGTTCGAGGAGATGATGGCGGAGTGTTTGGGGGAGACGGAGGAATGGGTGGAGGAGAGCAGGGAGGAGCGCTGCATGGAGCGCACCTCGGAGGTTTTGGAGGGGTGCTCCGAAGATTGCCCGGAGACAACGTTCTTCGAGGAGGGCCTCATGGAGGTCTTGGTGGCGCGCCACTTCGAGCGGATGCGAGAGGAGCGGCTGCGCGGGCCATTTTAGGAGGGCCGCCTGGAGCGCCAACATCAACTTGGGCGCCTTACTCCTTCACTCCTCCCGGCATTCGAAATCGCCTGCGTCTTCTTCACCAGGCCTACCCCGTCCCACGAAAAGGCACACCAACCCCCATGCCCTCCTTAAGCGCCCAATACCGGTTGCGACTTCGAGCGCCAGGATTCTCTGGTCGAGTCGAGAGGGGAGAAACGCGGTTGGATATGTGGAGGGCCACGAACACAGGGCATGAATGGCTAGCGACGATTCCGATGCAAAAAAGACATCGAAGAACGCAAAGGAGGATAACATAATCCCCTCTACAAAGCGGCCTTGAGCTCACGGCCAAGATAGGCACATTCGGGGCAAGCCATGGAACAAAAAGCCCATGGTTAGCAATACCATGACGTATAATTAATTAGATTGCAATAATAAGACACTGACCCCAATGATGATACCATGACGCTGGCACCCATCTCTTAGCGAATGTGACCCAGCACCAACGCGAGCTCCTGCTCTGATACTCCAATTATATTGCAAGCCGAAATAGGGTTGTTCCACGGCTTCCTTAGCCGCTCAGCGAGCCGCTGCTGGGATTTATCTGTGGCCTGAGCGGTGGGGGAGGCATGAGCTCAGCTGTTGTAGCCTCGGTTAGGTCAAGGTGATTCAAGCCCTCAGTCTTTAGCCATCTGACGAACTTGAACTCCTCGGCATCCCCAAAGAAGGTCAGACTCGTATTAGCCGGGGTGAATTCGTTGACAGCCGCTGGACTGCCGTGATATTTGAGCACCTCGATTTGGTCGCGAGGAAGGTCAGTCAGGGTTGAATGAACACGGGGATCATCTGGCAGCACAGATGATTCGCTAATCTATCGAGGGCGTCTTTGGCGCTTTCCCTTGCAAACGCGTCGCCCGGGTCACACAGTGGTGCCACCAGACCACGACCCGCAAGCATTCTGATTAAGCGGAGAGCAGTGGGGTTCTTCCTTGAAGCAAAGCTCGCAGGCTCGATATCCTGGCACGCATCGGCTGCTGGCCTTGCCGCAAATAGGTCGCCAGCGATGTCGAGAATCTTTCCTCCGGGTTTGACGAATCTCCAGGCTTGCATGAGATACTTGCCGCCCATTAGGTCTAGAGCGACGGAGAAACGACTTCTTTCTTTTTGCCTTAGAGTGCCAGTCGACTCATGGCTAATAGATCAGTCGATCCGGCGCTCCTCATCCGCCCCAAGGAGCGAGTCGCCCTCGGCCGACTTCTCGTCAGCGCCGCGGTAAAGCACATAATGCTGGGTCATGAATATTAGGTCGTACATCATGGAGACGTTGCTCAAGGCGAACTTGACGGGGTTTCCAGTAATGCCGGACCAGTCGCGCTGGAGGTAGCTGTCGATGGACTGTTGGCCCATGCTCAAGATGCCGCCGGAGAAGTCGAGAAGAATTTGGAGTATGCTCCAGCCCTTGGTCGACTTGTTGCGGTAGTTGACAATGACCTGGGGTGTGTATTTGATGAGCGTCACGACCAGCTTGACGTAGGAGATGGCGTAGATGGCGTCAAGCCAGACCCACGACGACACGGCTTCGTCAGTGCTGCCCCGCTCGGGAGACCCGAGCACGATCAGGATGGCGGTTACGGTGCCAACCACGCAGCCAAAGAAGATACCGAGGATGAGGCGACTGGGCTTGTTGCCCATACTGGGAGTGAACCCCCATGCCCGAGGGTACAAGTACTGGCTGGTAGTTATGAGCGACATTAGGAGGCCGTGGGCAGCGAAGGTGATGTCGTTGAAATGCACGGTTGGAGTCAGTCCCTTGTACCGGGCGGCATATTGAGCACGGATCAAAGGCGAGTAGTAAAATGTCGTGTTGGAGACCAGGTAGGCGGCAAAGCCTGTTGCACTAACTATCAACATGCTGTAAAAGACACACAAAATTATGGACAGATAGCATACCCAGGCAGTTGATCAGGGGGAAGTCAACAGTGGTCCCAGACGTGGATTTCCGTCTGAAGTTGAGGATCGACTGCGGATAAAAGCTCACCGACCACGCCACGAAATACGTCACACCAAAAAGCCCGGACAGGATCTCGAGAAATCCCATGGTAACGGATAAAAGTAGAGAGAGGCCATGTAAAGCAAACGTTGAATGAAGGACAAGGCGCTGGCGGTCTGCGGCGGCGCCAATGTTCGCGATGCGGGCTGCTGCAAGGGAATGCGCAAAGGATGCGGTTGCTACTGTGCGCAGATTACACAGCCTTGAGAGCCTGTCAGAACGGGAGAACACAAGACGTCGTTGATCTTGGGTGATTGGGGTGGGTCGTGCATGGGGGAGTGACTAATCTGTATATGGCTAGCGCCAGGAACTTGTCCAGGTGCTCAGGTGCTGAACATCGGACATGGGTCATGGGATGAGATGGGAGGGACCCGCAATCACTGCCGATTCGGAACGCCAACACGACTGCGAGGGTCTCAGAGCACCAAAACCAAGACACAACCAACAGTCCATTTCATCTCAAGCTCTTTCTGTCGCTACACAGCACTCGCACACGAAGAGATGGGAATTGAACGGTAACTACGAATACATATATACGAATCACGTGTGTTCTTTGTTGATGATACCATTCCGAGGCTGAGTAGTTAGTTTCCATTGATGCGAACCATCCTCGTTCCTTTTCTGGTTCCATCTTATCATCAAATGGTGAGAGCCAGAAAGCAACGGCAGGCTTGCCTTCAACTTGACAGCAGCATCCCAACCCCGGTCTAGGCTCACTGCAGATGCCGAGCCCATTGCATCCGGCCATGCACAATCCTGGTCCCGAGTCTGACCGGTCCGATTCTTGACAGGTCACCGTTCTGGGCCCGTAAGGGAGACGAATCACAAACCCCATCGATGCCGGTGCATGGCAAACATGTGTGTCGCGTCTGCTTCTTGTCTCGATCCATCCCGATTTCAGAAGGCGATAAGAGCGCCGTGGCTGGGCCGATGCACTTCCTGATTCGAGCTACGTCATGTCGACGAGAATCGGTTGGGGCAAGCTGAATTCACCTTCACCGCTTGGATCTGGACGGCGCTCGTTTTGACGAAGGGGGCGCCCACGGCGTTTTTGAACAAGTAGATTATCCTACACGGTAGATTCGAGAGTTTATCTCCCCATCATCCCTCTCATCCCATTGTGTCCTTTGCGTCGTCCACTATCAACACCACCAGTTGCCCAGCCAGCCTCCCATCCCGTCAAAATGCCCCGAAATCCCCCAACGTTCCTGACACTTCCCGTCGAACTCCGCCTCGAGATATATACGCACCTTCTCGTGCTCCCGCCGCCGCCACCCCGAGAAACACTCCAAGCCACCTACCGTTGCTCCTACGCCGCCTCGCCCTTGAGCTCCTCTCCCACAAAAACGAACCCCAAACCGACTCTACACCCTGAAATCCTGCGGGTCAACAGCCAAGTCTACCACGAAGCCCTCCCCGTCCTGTACAGCCAAAACACCTTCTCCGCCCACCCCGTCCGCCTCACCGCGCAGCCAAGGCTTTACCACCCATACTGCACCCCCTGCCGGCCGATCGCGACCCTCCTCGGGACCAACTTCGCCCCGACCACAATCCCCAACCAAAAAGCCCCCCTTTCCACCACCAACCCAAACACCCACCTAATTAGAAAATGGCATCTCCGCCTGCGCCTCGACGCCACGCCAGCAACAAACCCAGCAGCAGCATCCGAACCCAGCACCAACAACAACATCATTAACGGCGACAGCGACACCACCATGTCCGCGAGGCTCGGCGCATCCTTCAGCCACGCCGACGCCCTCACGTTGGAGCTCTGGCGCGGGATGCCGGCGACCCGCACACGCACCCCCGCCCCCACCCCCAACACCAACACCAACACCAACAGCGACGCGGACGCAGACCCCGCCGCCAGCGCCGACGACGACATCGGCGTCGAGACCCTCCGGCCGTTCGAGCACGTCCGCGGCGTGCGGCGCGTGCAGATCGTTGGCGCGACGGCCGGGCTCGAGGCATATGTCGCACGATTGCGGGGGCGGATGATGACGGCGGCGGCGGTTGGGAACGGGAGGGAGGGGTTGGGGGTGGTGGGAATGAGATGTGAGCCGGTGGACGGGGCGGAGGGGAGGAGGGCGGTTGGTGGGGTGGGCTTGGTTGTTTAGGTAGGCAGGCAGGTACCTTGCCTAGGGAGGGGGAAGGGGGTGTTAATTGAGGGGGTCATGGAGTCGAGGTGGGAGGGGGAAAGGGTAGCTATGATATGATGTTGGGTAATGAGACTAATAGAGGGGATGGACGGCGCTGAGAATGAATGCACAAACGGAAACAACAGGTCGAACGCATCTATTGCCATCTACCTCTAGCCCGCCTATCTGTATGGGTGTATCTGTGTACGGTGTCTATGGCACGCGCCCCCATCTTTATCTAAGGCCCCTGTTCACTGACACAAGAAGACGCAGCTCGTCTGAGAAATAGATACACGAATACACGACAACAAGCCAACGGGTACCCATCATCGCCCTTTTCATCAGCTAGATCGCTCAAAAATGAGAGAGAAGAAAAGATTGACCCAAGAAAAGAGACAAAGCCAAAAAAAAAAAAAAAAAAAAAGGAAATCACAACCATGGAAAATACCAGTAACGCCTGCTGCCGTGATGCATGCCATACAAATCGTCTTGTCTTGGAAACGGCCGTTTCCGTCTCCCGGGTAGATCGTTGATGCCAATGCAGGTGCAGACAAGATCCATGCTACCCTCCCGCCTGTGAAATTAAAGATCGGATGACGGTGCTGCGTGGTGGTTGGCGGGCCGCGTTATTTGGCTAATGTGTACAAGTCGCTGGGCGACCCGGGTGGGCGGATATAGATGCGGCTGCGGGCTCGCCCGCCCTTGCCGATCTGCACTGCCGAAGCCGCTCACCCGGCCGAGATCAATGCCGCCCTACCTACCGTCACCGCAAACCGATATTAATACCCCCTTACGCAGTCTTTGTTCCCATCCAGCCGGGCAGCGCTTTCCAACCCTGCGAATTGGGTCCAAGCGGTGTCCGTCCGAAATGCTCGTCCAGGTCGAGCAGAATCTTGAGCGCGTTGCGGGAGCGGTAAAACGGGCTATCGATGGCCTTCTCCTTGAGGGTTGACACGGCCTCCGCAACGCCACTCACCCCCTTGGCCTCGGCCTTCCCACCCGGGAAAGGGAGAGCAGTTTGCAGAAACTCGTACGCGGCGAGCGTAAAGCCGAACTGCGGCGACGAGCGGAAGATGCGTGCCGGGCCACCCTTGAAAAAGGCCCGGAAACCCTCCTCCTTCCAGATCGTCTTGGCCGCGTGCCGGAGTCCTGTGTACGCCGTGTCGCCCTTGCGGGCTTCGACTTGGAGACGGGTCTTGATGACGTCGCACGGCGTGGTAAGATACGCTGCCGGCATACCGGCGATGGCACCCGCCGTCAGGAGCTGGAGAACGCCGAGTTTCTTGGTCTGTGTCTCGCCAAAGACGTCCCTCTTCAGGTGGGAGTACGTCGGAAAGTAGATGGCCGAGAAAGGCACATCGCGGAGCAGGCACGCCGATGCGCCCTTGTACAGGCCGACGAGACCGAGGTTGCGCACGATCCAAATGGCCGACCGCTTCGGCGCGCCCTCGACGCTCTTGGCGACTTCGCCTTGGACCTGGAGACGAATCTTGACAATCTCCAAGGGGTTGGTGAAAACCTGCGACGAAGTCAGCATCAATACCACCACACCCCGGGGCTCAGAGACGGCAACGTACGACTTGGCAACCGCCGGCAGCACCGCCAGCAAACACCTCGGCACCCCACCAAATCTGACCCTGCTTATCGGTGAACCAGTTGCGGACAAGGTCGTTCACGGTGAGCTTGATGGCCTTTTCGGGCGCGACGCCGACAAGCTGGGGGAGGACACCCGAGTACAGGCCCCTGAATCCCTCGTTGCGAATCACCTTCCTGAAACAATCGATCGAGTTGTTGTACAGCCGCTGGCCAGGATCCGCACCACGCTGGTTTTGCATCCGCGTCTTGACGAGGTCGATCGGGTACACCATGAAGGCACCGAAGGCACCAGCGATACTGCCGAGACCGAAATTGAAGGCTGACTCAAGAGCCTGCCCGAGGAAATTTTGGCTCGCCGATTTGGCGGCGGCAGGACGGCCATCCTCCTCTTCGTCACGCCGCCTCCAAGCGGCATCGAGAACCTTGCCGAAGTCCCTGAGCCCCAGCCGGCCAGAGGGTTCGTCAAGACTGGCAAAATGGAACAGAATGTCGGCCTCCATCGGGGTGAAGAGCGAGAACCGTGTAATCCTGGCAGCCTGGTTGAGGAACTCGGCCCTGGTGATGCGACCATCCTTGCTCTTGGAGCAGGCGCGCCTAACGATGAGTTCCACCAAGTCCATCTCGTTGATCATGTTCAAAAAGGCCCGGACATTGGCATACGAGACCTTGCTGCCCTGGGCAATGTTGCAAAGCGTGTGGAGGTTCTCGAGCAAGTGGTCCGAGAGCTTATGCTTGGCCGTTTGCTGGATGATGGTAGCAAACTCCTCAGGCTCGATGAACCCGTCGCCGTCCGCGTCAAACCGCTGGAAGGCCTGCCGTACACGCTCGCCCTGGAGACCGCGGAGCATTTGCGAGAACTGCTGGTAGTTCATGCTGTGCCTTTTTGCCTTGCCACCAATGTACAGCTTTGCCCATTCACAGTCCCAGTCGAACGGGATCGTGTCGGGCCCCTTGTTCAGCTCGTACAGGTTACGAAAGTCTTCATATTTTACGGTTCCCAGGCGATCGATGTCGAAGAGGCGGAACGCAATCTCATACTCGGCATCGGGCTTGCTGAGGATGTTCTCGAAGTATCCCCAGTCAGCGAGCGACAGCCTGCCCTTGTTTGTCCGGTCGGCGACGTGGAACAGGATCGAGTACTGCTCCCGCTTGATCTTGTGCTGCATACGGATTTATGTTAGCTGCGTGCGCCTTGCTTGGCACGCGACTAACCGCGGGGCACTCACGTAGTCCTCATGAGGGGGGGCGATCGCGTCGATGAACTGCTCCGGGCCGAGGTAGAGCTCGCCCGTTGCGGGGTCCTTCGCAGCATGGCGGTTGAAACGAGCCTTGGTTTGCACCGAGTACTGCTCGGGCTCTGTCGAGCCGACGAGCGTCTCCTTGACGGCTTCCTTGACGGTTGCGGCTTTCGACATGGTGACCTAGTTTCCCTACGCACACTTGGATGTGTCGGAAGTCACCTCGCTGCTGGCGGTGTTGGAGGAAAATGAGGGCAGACTGCGAGGATCGGCGCCCCGTTGGGTGATGGGGCGGGAGGGCTTAGATGTCGCAAAGCGGCGGGAAAAAGCAGTGAGGGAAAAAAAAACCCACAACTCCCAGTCTCCCACGCGGCGTGCTTGCTTGGCGCGGACAGAAAAGAATGAACAACGCCGTTACTTCACACGATACCAACAACTTCCCCTCTCAATGCGCACCGAGAAGGACAGGTTTGCCGAATTGGCGGGACGAGAGCAGTCGGTCTCGTGAGAAAGTGGATCTGACGCTGGGGTTGAAGAGAGAGGACACCCTGACCGATGACCCTGCTGAGCCGCCGAAATCGTTGGAGGCTATTTTTTCCAATCGCCCCCGGCCAATCCGGTCTCGCAGGTCCGAGGTTGCAGTGGGGGACCCGTCAGACATATCTTGGCACGCGGCTGCAGGCAGGGACACATTAGCCGAGAAAGAATTGGCTCGGGAACCCCCGCACCCCGAGATTCCGACCGATGCGCTCCGTGCTGCTCCGATCATGGGGACATGGGCATGAGTTACGTAATCGGCCAGCGCCCGAAGGGTGAGTGGGGGTTCAGGGTCCCCAACCCCAAAGCTTGTTCCTGGCGATCGACGATGAGATCCGGGAAGACGGGATGCGCACCAATTGCAACGCCACCTCGATGGTTACCGTGATCGCACGAGGCAAAGCATTTCGTCGACCATTTTTATTGCTGATAACTATCCTGCCGGAGCGTCAAACGATCGCCCCGACATGCCCAAGTGTTCTCCATCTCCCATGGAAGAAGAACGAAGATAACGAGATTCCGCCGCCAGAATGACCCGTAGCGAAATGATACATATACATGTAGCCCTTCTATAAAGCACACCTCAAAGAACCGCCCATACCCCATGTTCCGCCAGAACGCCATACCGTCACGTTGCTAGATGCCTTCATCATCATCCAGCCATGACCGCCCCATTACTATTCCGAGTGCAATTATGCCATCCCAACGCCCACCAGAAAGCCTCGCCTCCCGATCCCTCTGACAGACAATAAGTGGGTTGCCGTTGGCCCGAGATCCAGCAAATGTGGATGTCGAGGCAAGGGTTCGTAAGAAAAAGAAGAAGGAAAAGGTCATAAGTCGCATTAATTCGTCATGAGCATCTCGCCCCGTTGTGCCTCCGCCGTTTTCCGTGGTGACTTGTGTGAGTCGTGTACTGTGCAGACAGGAACACAGGATCCTGGAATATCCAGTAGCCAAAACGACCAGCTAGCTCCATCCCGGCCATGTTTCAAGACGGGAGTGTGCTCGGGCGAAGCGGGCTGGAGGAACTGATGCGAAAGAACAGTTGTCGGTGAGCCAGAGCGACAGCGAGTTCAACATCGCCTGCATGGCCGCCAGATGGGTGCCGGCGAGAGAGTACAGGTTAGATAAGAAACCCGCTGCCGTGAAGATCCGCCAGTGGTAAAAGATTAGGAAATGTGCCGAGGCATAGGCGCCGAAAAGGAAGAAGACCGCCGATGGGCAGTGAAGCCGTGCCCCAACAGCGGAGATGGGCTTGGTATAAGTCTGTACATCGAAGACAAAACGAGAGAAAAATGTCGCAGGATTTCGACTTGTAGTAGGGCTTGACTAGCCCTGAACGCGGATCGGGTTACTGGGAACCTTGTACTGGCTAGGCATGCCGCTTCCAGTACCAGATGTGTCTCCATGGACGCACCCAGCATACAATTGGGACAATGTGAGCCCGTTCGCTATTTTGCCTTCAACGAAAGTCGATGATTGCTTGTATTTCGGCGTCGAGTACTTGTCATAGACGGCGCCGTGGTGCTTCCGCGGATATTGACAGCACTCGAAAAGCATTTTGATGAGCGGTCTCAATTGGCAGAGCGTGTAACCGGAGTAGTGGACATGGGCAAGTGTCTAGTAATGGTCAGCGTTGTCGGGCCGTGTTGAACCGAGTGGTCTGCTTACCCAATCTCCTTTGCCCAAGAATAGACGAGAAATGCAGTGAGCTCCAGCCGCAAGAAAGCTGGGAGGGCTGCTCACGAAGCGCTCGTCCATGATGGTGATTTCAAGAAAGTACTTGGCCAGAGTGCGCGTCTCGAGATCGTAGTCGTCCGCTTTGCTGATACGGCGGAGGAAGCTCATGGGACCGGGCCACCCAAGCTCGAAGTGCAACATGCTTAGCATGAAACGCTCAGCCTTGAGGATTTCATCAACGCTGTAGCCTGAATCCACCATGTAGACGATCTCCTGAACCGACGGACAGTTGATCTCTTCATACTTGGCGGCCACAAAGAGAGCGGTGGCGCCAACGAGCTGGAGCTTTCCAAGAGAGACAACCTTGACCGAGAGGAAGCGATCAATGTAGTTGACCGTGAGGAAAAGGGTCTCCGGAAGGAGGCAGAACCGGTGGTGAACCTGAACCAGCCAGTCCATGAGGACCGATCGCATCGACCATTGAATCTCGGTTTGGTCGTCCATGTAGTGGGCATTCGGAACCATTCGTGCCTGTACGGGGATGTTAGCGGAGTACCAGGATTAACCCTGAGGGCACCAGGCACCAGGCACCAGGGCGGGTGGGGAACAGATGAACATACCTCGAGCTCCCGCATGTATGTGAAAATGTCGTCACCGTACTCCGTAACCATGCTGACGTCCCACGCCTCTTCCTCAATTTCCTCCTCAGTTTGATGGTCCACAACATACACCTTCGCCATGTCGAGTTCTTCTTCGTCGCCAGCTGTGGCGTGGGGCGCCAGCAAAGTCGTGGTGCCACTGATAGTGTTATCGCCGTGTGACCGGTACGAGTGCGCCGTAGTATATCCCTGCTCGTCGTAGAGCTCCGGTTCTTCCTCATCATCCCAGTACTCTTCCAACTCGGCCGAAGCAGGTAGATCGGGAAGGGCCTTCGGCTGGACGGCCACCTCTGGCTCATCGCGGTATAGAGTGCTATAGTTGGCTTGCTCCATGTCGGCCAGGGCGTCGCGAAGCGCATGTTCAGCTCTCTGGGGCAACTGCTCGACAGCGTCCTCGTAAGCCGCTTCGGTCACGTTGTCGTCAATATCGCCTTCCTCCTCAACCTCGGCTACATTGTCGGACTGGGTGAGGAACCTGGTTTGTTGGGCTCGAAGACTCTGCGGTTCAGTCCGGAGTGATGGTTGGCTCTTGCAATTACGTGGGTTCTTAACCGGCTTCTCCACCGGAACCGCGAGGTCGTCGACGAGAGACGCCAATTCCGGACGAATGCTCGCCTTCTCCAATGGATCTTGAAAGATACTGACGATCTTCTTGGAGGCGCCGTTTCGCAGCGGAGGCTGGGCCAGGGAAGTACCCGTGTGCTGCTGAACTGGCGCGCTGACGCGCGGCCCGGGGTTTGCGGCCGGAACATGGGCGCTTGCTTGGAACTTGGAATTATGGCTGGTCCCCTTGGACGCGATGGTTGTTCTAGCCCGGCTCTCTTTGACACCATCCTTCGCATTTTCCTTGTCCCCAAGTCGAGAGTTGCGAGTACCGGGTGCCTTGGTGACCGCTTTGGCGCGAGTCTTGATGGTTTCCTTGCTGGCAGGCTTACCAATGGGGTCACCAACACGGCTTCTAGCCGTGTTGCTCACATCGCCAAACGCGGTTCGCTTCGGCGGCGCGTTGAGCGCACCGGTTGCCGCCATCGGTTTGTGGTTGCCAACCGACTTGTTTTGGTGGTGGAAGGGCTGTTTGGAAGGGACGGTGTTTTCGTTGCCGGAGACGCCCACGACAGCGCGTAATGGGCGCTGAGGCTAGACGAGTGTCTGTGTTAGTTTTTTCTTTGTGCCGCAAACCGTGGCAGTAAAATCTAAAACAGGTTGGGAAGGTGTGGAAGAGGGAGGAAGGGCTTGTAGTGTTTGGGAAACCCGAGGGCCATAAAAAGTTTGCGACGAGAAATCCCGTGATTAAGGGAATGAGAGGACCAGATGAAAGTGAAGCCTTACTTTCGCGTCCATCTTGAGGGAATGGGTTTGAACGATGTTGCTCGACTCTGATATGTTTCCGAACTTTGTATGCACGGTAGCGCGCAAAGTTTCCCAAGCTGCCGACTGGCACCAGGCGACTGAAGCCCGCGGCGGCGTGGGCAAGGAGGCGATGGAGGAGGTTGATGAAGAAAAATCTATTTTCGCGATCCGGAATTTGAGACGCGCTCCAACACTGTTGTCAATGTCTTTGCTCAGTGCGATGTGGTGCTGCTCCCAGTTCACCAAGACTGCTAACCGCGTCGAATCGACAAGACGAGCCGATAACGTAACGAAGACGGAAAGAAGCTCTGTTGGTAGAGTATTGACGCGGTCGAAACAGCGCGCCTAGCATTAACGCTCGAGCGCATACATGGGAAGTATGACCGATAGAGGTGCAATAGTGATGCCTTCTCTGGTTGGTTGTTATGGCCCGGAGGGGGAAGGGAAAGTTGCGAAACTGAAGAGCCAATGTTTTCAGGTTCAAAGTCTCCTGAGCTCTCTGCTTGCTGTGTTGCGGCTTCTGTTTACGTTGTGACAAAACTTGGCAAACAGACTCGTCGATCCCTGGCTGTAAATGTCTGTGCCATCCCTGGTGGCTGTTGCTCAGTCGTTGCGCCGGTGCACGAGGGGCTTGGGTAGTATTTTTGAGGTGAGGTCGCCCCACTCATTTGTTTGAAACTGTGGGGCAGTCTCACCGTCGCGTCAACCAGAGACACTGTTCAGCAGGCCAATACCTTTCCCGCGCCACAACTGTGACTCCTTTTCGTCTTCAACTGCTGGACTGTTTTCAGAGACACTTAAATGACATGTAGACAAAATTTCTCTGCAGCACTACATGTTTTGCGGTTTCAATGCGCATAAGGCGAGAAACTTTCTCCTCTATGCCAAGACGCGACTGGTGGGGAACTGGGACCACGAGTTCGTCGCGTCGTCACGTGAGGGATTTAGCTGTGAGCTATCGCAGTCCAGGGCAGTTTCCTCCGATAAGTTCCTCATGTCCAACTTCGTCGGTTGCGGAGCCGACTGTGGCAGTCACCCCGCACCCTCGGATTTTGTTTCCAGCAACTACTGCAGAGTCCTCGCTAGGGGATCAGGCCTCGACAACATGCGCGTGGTGGGGGCTGACCGTTTCTGGCGGCCCAGGGAATAACCGACCAGTGAGATAGCGAGCGCAGCCCGAGCGAAAGCGCAATGTTTTGATGTTTTGGTCAAACGACGCCTGCGGCGCGACGAGCGGCCGCATGCGTGTGAGCGGGGCTGTTTCAACGACAAAGACCGGACCTGTCCGGGCCATGCATCGCCTCAGGCTCAACTTTTAGGTCCCGGAGGCAGAGAGTTCAGCAAACCTCTTATCTTCCATGTGCTTGCCTTGTAAAAACAACTCCCTGGCCAAGGCAAGGGGGGCTCGAGGAAGGTTCGTGCGGCTATTCAAGTTGGGATCTCGTCGGGGTGGTATCCATCCCCCAGGCCGTCGAGCCTGCGGTTTCTGCCGTTCCACGAAAGCACTCCCGACCCCTCCTTCACCACGTCAATGCCCGTCGGGTCAGCGAGCGTGGCAACGGAGAAAGCAAAATCGCAGCCACCACGGGCTTTTTCGTGGCCTGCAGCCTCCACAGCGCTGCAGCGCCGTTCAAACAGGGGCGGGGAAAGAGCCTAGAAGCTTGGCGCGAATCATCAGCGGTGCCTCCCATCGCCCGGCGCAAGACGAGCGACAGGGCAAACCAGAGGTTTCGAGATGGCTTGTGAATTCTCCATCTCCTTACCTGTGGCAGAGGTTCGTGTAATACCCCAGTGAACCGCCCCCATGGCGCTCAATGAACCCAAGGAACAACAGAGAGCATCTTTGCAAACCGCGATCCCCTGCGACAAAACCGGTAGATCAGGCGGCGGGTCGCAGATCAGCGACTCAAAACGGGCAAGGGTAAAGCGGGCGTGGAAGCCCAGCATTTGAAGCGCCCATTGCGGGCGTCTCCAACCAACGGCCAGGTAGGGATCCTTCCAAGCCATCAAGGTGGGCAGGCAGCATGCAGTCTCAGAGGCATGCCCGCCACCGCCGATGCGCAAAAGATCGCTCACCTGCAATCTGCCCGGGCAGCTAGGTGAGACTCTCCATTAAAGCAACTGCGGCCTACGGGTAACTCGAGCAGGCACCGCGACGGCCACTGTTTGGGGAAAGGTGGCGGGTTCCGTCGTCGATGGTCGACTTGCGGACTCGGGAAGCTGATTCGACGCCGTGTCGCATTTGAAACCCTGCCAGCGCATCGAGCCGCGTCCCGGTCCTCCATTCTTCAACCGCCAGGCCAAAGCAGCTGGCTGCCCAGGTGCCCACCCACCTGAACACGCCGCCCAAAACGACCCTCCAGTTTGCTACCTGCCAGTTAACTTGGTACCTCGTCTCCCGTCCGAAATCATCACCGCGAGCCATTGGCGAGCGCCATCAGTCGTTGTCCCCGGAAGGACCCGCTCCCTTGCTCGTCTTCAACGCCCGAGAAGTCCGTCGTCCTCCGTGCGCACGCAAAGCTGAAATCACCTCCGTCGGGCACTCCGTGCCAACGACGTCATTCGAGGTTCCTTCAGACAGACCATCTCATCTTCTTGCAAAGATATCGCCCATCCGCGATGCGTTAGGTAGGTATGTAGCGAATGCGCAGTGTGTACTTCGTCCCCAGCGGCCAGAACTGCGCATTTGGAGGTCCTTGTCCACTCGCCCCACAACTGATTCTGTCATTGGTTTTTGAGTCGACTCCACCTTCCACAAAGCTGGGGGCAGTTCTGTCGCATCCGCCTTGAGTCTTGCGCCGTGTCGTGTGCCGTGAAGGCAAATCGATCGAGTCGCATCGCGCTCTCAGGCCATCCGAACACAATCTGGCTCTGGGCGCTGATAGCGCGACCCAGAAACAGCTGGCTCTTTATGCCTTGGTGCCAGCGCGTTGGGCCTGGGGTTGAGCTGAGGACATCTGCCCATTCGTAACCCAAGGTACGATACTGCGTAGGTAGCGGCAAACCGTCGACCGCTCCGAGGAAACATAGCGCAGCCGCATCTGGGCCTCTTCAGAAGACCCGCGCACTCATTAGAAGACCCGCGCACTTATTACAAGACCGGAAACCGCTGGTCATAGCACCGCTGTCCTCTACCTCGAGGACCGGTGACTTTGGCGCACCGCCTCGAGGCATGCTCATACTGTGTAGGAGTTGTCGCAGCCCGGTAGCCATGAGCTTCCTGGTCGCCAATTATTTGCCGTGTCTTCCGTTTGCCGCTAAATCGCAGAGGCTCAGGCAAAGAGGAATGCGACAAGATTAGTTGCGCTCAATCCGATGCTCAGGGCTAAGAAGCACTTTCGAGCCGACCGCGCCCCGGTAAGTTGACGGCCCAAATGACAGCTGGTGTTGAAGACTGCGGGCCTGTAGGATCACTTCATGCCCGTTTTGAGGCGGCCCGACATGGGTCGACCAGGCAGGGCGGCGGTGGTGCTGGCGATGCGGATAGATGCAAGCGCTGTGCTGACCGTGCGGAAAACTGGGATCCATCCCCACCCCGTGTCGGCGCACGATCACAAAGAAGGCTGCGACTCGGGGAAGCAACCCGAGGATGCGGCTTGACGCAGACGAAGGCAGAGGAGAAAAGTTAGATAATCCAAACACAATGTGCGGTATCTGCTGAAAAGCCCTCGTTGTGCTTGAATTCCGGGATGGGAGTGGTGGTCGTCGCACAGTGGCACAGTGTCGAGTTTTGGGATTGGGCGCAAGTCCAGTAGTGTGTATAGTGCGTGGTGTGCGATTACCGGCATCCGCCTTTTAATGCAGAATCTTGCGACTCCTCCATTCTCTTTCCACGCACAACCTTGGAATTGCCCGACTCAAACCATCAAACCACCCCAGATCCGCCTGGTAAGTCATTGCCATCTCGCATCATCCACATTTTACCTGCTACTTCCGCCTGTTCCCAACACCTTGCTCGACGTTCGTTGTGTGCCGCCCTGTCGCTCACCGTTGCTTTGACCCAGTTCTCCGGTCGGAATTGTGTGCGTGACCTCGAGCTCGCAACCGTTTCTCAACCAACACCACCGCTCCCCAGGACTTCCGGTAAGTCGTTTTGGTTCTCTTTTCACGTGCGATCGAGGTCACAATGTCATATTCGCCCGCCCCTTTCATGCTTCCCCGAGACAGCTGTTCCAGCCGCAGAGCCAGTCCCGGCTCCATGCGCCCGACCCGATCACTGCAGACAGCACCTCCACCCCCTCCTATCCTCCCCCTACTCGAGCATCAGAGCACCGCCATTCTGCACCGAGGGAAATTTCGCCCTCTTCTATGTCCGATTATTTTGACTTTACCTAACCCACGATCCACCGATAGGTTCCGCCGCAAAAGCAGTTCTTATTACCTCGGCGTTCGAATCGTACACACACGCACACACACCCGACCCTTTGACTCCTCCTACCGCGCAACCCGGAAACGACCGGTCTCAGTCCACCCCGAAGCCGACGCCGTTTATCGGCTCGGGAACATTGACATCCTGGCCCTATTAGCCTGGAATGGAGTTGTTCGCCCGTGAGCCGAATTCGCCTACGCAAATCAAGACCCCGACCTCGACCCCGACTGCACCGCCTCGACTCGACACCGCCTTCAAGCCCACCACCCGGCCGTATCCCTCTCCTATACACAGCAGTATGCATTTTGGTACCTCACATCAAGCCATGACCGGCATGGCTGCCATGTCCCCGAACGGGACAGGAGCCGCGCTTTCGGGATTGCACAGCGGAAGTGTGTCCCCTCGCACCGTCACAGCGCCCAAGGCAGTTCAATTCGTTCTCGTATTTCAACATCCACCATACGAAGGACGCCTGCCTCTCCGCGTATCTATCTACCCTCATGATACCACCGACTCCATCATCACAACGGTCAAAAACTTCTATGGCCTCTACTCGGGGCCAGGCATTTCTATGGGAGTCAGTTTCGAAGACGAGGAGGGAAATACCCTCATCGCGCGATACGAGAACTTCAAGGGCAACATGATAGTACGCGTGCGTGTCATTGACGAGCCTCTTGGGCCCGACTACCACGCTGCTTTCGGCGGTGCGCAGGGCCACCCCAACGCCACCGGTTACCCAATCCAGGGGACCCAGCACCTAGACAGCCACGCACCCCGCCCCACGTCCAGGACATCACGCATGCGTAGCCCGTCTCCAAACAGTGGACGTGGGCGCCGCAGCAATTCGACAGGTGCTAACCCCATCGCCGGTAAGAAGGGGCGGTCCCGCTCGTCCAAGAACCGCACCCAAACGAACGGGGACGGACATGGGGAGAGCTTCAGTGGCTACAGCAGTGGCGACGGTGCCGCCTCGTCCAGCCGATCCAAAGAGCAGCTAGGCAATACGGATATCAGCGTCGAGAACATCGTCGAAGGTGGCCGTCGCAAGCGTACCAAGTTTGAGAGCTCGGTAAGCAGTTCGCTGCTTGTTGGCGCCTTATAGCTTCTCGTTACTGACCACCACCCCTCACAGGAATTGCCTCTCTTTGCTCCTCCCCAAATGCCGGCCGCGACGTCAAATCCTTCCGTTTCGCCAGCTCGTCGGGCAGACTCTCATCGAGGGCCGCTACCATTCCTCCAACCTGGACAGAATCCCTTCAGCAACCCTCACCCGCTCCATTCCCCGCAGGCATACATCAACGGGTTTCCGCACTCCGGCATGTACGCCACTCCCAGCAGTGACAACCGCCGAAGTCGTGGAAGTTTTGGGTTTCAGCCCGGACAGGGAGATGATTCAGTGATGCCGACGCCCGAACCTACCGTGCGCAGCGCCGTGTCCGAGGAAGACAAGGACGTTGCCATGCAATTGATGCGGATGTCGACGCACGGCCGGGCGTCCGGGTCGACCCAGGATGACACCTGCAGCGGGAAAGCCGATGCGGCATCCTCCACGGGCGCGACTAGTGATGCCGATAGCTGTGTCGAGGATGACGTGCCCGCCGCACGGAAACAAAACCTAGACGCTTCCGGCAGCCACAAGCACGTCTTTAGCGCCGCCGAAACCCGTTTCGCCGGTCCAGGGGACAATGCCGACACCAGTGGCGAGGACGCCTACAGCTCGGATAGTGCTGATAACGGGTCGATGGCCGCACCCACCGGAAAGGGTGGTAAACTCAAGGCCAACACGTTAGTCGGTTCCAAACCTCGCCCGCAATCGTCACACAAGGCCAAGCCCCCCAAGCTGGCTAAGCCGAAAGCGAAGAAGCCATCGAGCATTGTCGGCCCCATGACTCCGGCTTCGCTCCCCGCATCCCGGAAGCCATCGCTTACCTCGAACCCGGCCTTTCCTTTGGCCCCTGGCGAGGAGGAGCAGCCCGACCTCTCAACGAAGCCACGGTGCCAGCGTTGCCGCAAGAGCAAAAAGGGATGCGACAGGCAACGCCCCTGCGGCAGGTGCCGGGATGCTGGCATTCCTGCGGAGCTCTGCATTAGTGAAGACGAGGGAAACGGGCGCAAGGGCCGGTACGGTCGGCATATGGGCGTCCCCGTCAAGAACGACATGCCACCCCCGGCTACAAACTTATTACCCGCCGCTCCGATCGCTCCTAATGCGCTTGCGTTCGCAATGTCGGCGCCTAGTCTTCTCGACAAGAATAAGAAACGGAAGCGGTAGGCGGGCGGCGACGGCTGCCGCTCTCGGGTTGGACGGCGCTGGTAACACTAATCGGCTACCGCACCCCTCCCCCCATTGGGTTTCAGGAACGCAAGCTTCCTTTCTCTGATTGAAAAGGTCGGCTTTTCTCCTCAAGACCGCCCATTGTCCAATTCCAGCAAGATTACGCTTGGAACTAGGGCCATCATTACCAGATCTCGGGAGAGCTCGAGTACGCCATACCTAACGCCATCTAAGGATTGGCATCCGCTCCTTTGCATCAGAAACCATGCAGCATTTGAAAACGGAGTGATTTTCTGTCTTGCTGGCACCTGTTTCAATCCATGCCCCCTGTTTCAAGTTTCATGGGTTTGTTTGTTTTCAACGTCAGTTGCTCGCTCCTCGGGAGAAAGCGGTTAGAAGCAACGGTATTTCCAGCGCTGTCTCGACCGCCGGGCGCCGATCCGGACTTGCCGTGTACACGAGAAGCAGGCATTTCAAATACCAGTGGAATTTTGCCAATCCTTCTGTCGTTTGCATTCGCATAACCCGATCACCCACTCGCGTAGAGCGAACAGCAGCCGCCAGGAAGGAGAGGGGGAAATGGATTTTCAAGTTGCATCTGGAGTGTACTGTATGGGAATTCTGGCTGGAAGAAACGGTGATGGTAGTTTGGAGACGCCGCAGGCAAACAGGCATCTCGGGAGTTTGGGGCGATAAGCCGATGAAGGCACAGCGATAGCAGGGCGAACTGCGGGGTTGCATTTCCAGCTCTGGATCTTTTTTCCCCTTCGCATCATGTTGTCTGTTGATCTATGTGGATTTGGGTGACGGGGTATCAATGGGGTTGCTTTTATGGCTTTGCGCATGCTTGTATTTCCCCCTTTGTCCACGGGCTAACGGCGTCCATCAGGGGTAACGGTGAAGGTCAGCAAGGAACGCCGAATGGCTTCCAAGTGCTTTGGTGTAGTCTACCCTCCTTATGCAGCGAAATTGGAATTTTCAAAATCAAGCAGACTTCCAGTATATTGAAGCCATAAAATATCCAAGTCTTGAACAACGCTGAATCCATCACCTTTCGGAATTAATAACAAGCATCGCGCAATCGTTATCCCCCTGCGGCAAACCCGGCTTTGCCCGCTCCAACCCGCGCGGAAACGGCCCTTGGCAGATCGATGATCTCAGATCCCGTCTCATGAATCCCACACACTTTGCACATTATCACATCGGCTTTTTACTCCTAAAACTACAGCCGCAGCCACCTTCGTTCTGTCAGCATCAACTAATTACGTTCCTTGCTTGACACCTGATAGCATTGCCCTCCAGGTGCTGAATGTTCAGTTGTCCGTCCGTTTAAACAAACTTTTGCGCTATTCCCAATCTAGCTTAGCGCGTGCGGGCAAGTCGGGAATGAGATGTTGAAAAGTGGGGTCGCTTCCATTTTCTTCCACGTTCCTTCTTTAACAAACGGACGAAAAAATCCCGTTTCGAGTCTCATCGGACGGGGCTGACTGGTTCTTCTTTGACATGATGGCTTTGCGGGGATTCGTCAATCGCGCACCGGTTTCCTGTTTTTGGGTAAGTCCGGGGCTATTTCAGTCTGTTTCCGTTTCTGTGTGCCACGTCTGTGAGCTTGTGCTTTTTCGCTTTTGCTGCTTCTTGCGTTCCAGCCTAGCATGTGGGGCGAAAGCGGCCCCGGCGCCTTCCCTTTCCGATCAGATGTGATAGAATGGTGTTGTTTTATTGGCTGAGATGGCCATCGGCTCGTTTGCGAGTGAGACCCAGTTTTCTCAGGTGGGGTTATTTCGAGAGGGGGTGGCGGTTGTGGACAGCTGGTGCGTTGGCGTGGGTTGAAGTTGATTCGGATTGGCGGTCTGTCCTGGTTGGGTCATGGTTTTCGGGCGAGATCCGGTTGGGTTTTGGCATTGGGTGTCGCATTCTGCTGGGATGCTCACCATTCCCGTGCTCACCGCCTGTTAACTCTTGTTTCCTTTTCTCTGCTTTCACAGTTTCTTCGATGGCGAGTCCATTTTCCTTGCTCAATTGACAGGGAGCATCCGTGCCAAGGCCCGCCGCGAGTTGCTCTGGGCCGACTTGCCCTCCACAATGAGTCAGAGGCGAGTTGTTGCGACAATGTTTTCTCTGCTCAAGACTTTGTCACTTTGCAGCTCCGGTAGCCCCGGTGGAGGATCTTGAAACGCCGCCGTTTCCGGATCCCACCCACACACCCTTCAGTGGAAAAATCGCTGGCCGAGGAAAGACGCTGGCTGCCCCTGTGAGGAAAACCCACCACAACCACTGCATGAGGACGAAAGTCATTCTATTTCAATCCAGACCACGCACTCGTTCGTCTTCGTGGCTTCAAGAAACCTTCAATTTCCCAAAGACTCGCAATCGCAGCGATGAGGGCATTCTGTAGTTTTCACACCAACTGCGTTTGCGCCCAGCCCGCCTGAAGTGGACCTTTGCTAAGAACCTTTTCCCCGGGCCAAAATCGGACAGAAACCCGGCTCGACTCGGCCGCCGTCATCGCTGGTGCGGGTCAAGCGGGTTGGATTCTAGATCTTACCGGGATGGTTTTCGGAGATGGCCCCTTGGGCGCCCAGAACCCACAGACGCTGCGCAAACCACCTTGTCGAAGGGGCGGGTTATGATGGGCTCGCATCTCCCTTGTGCGATTTTGGCTGTCACCAACCGGGCTGCGGGGAACATGGGACCGGCCCGCGATTCGCCGCCGGGAGGTTGGTCGGCACGGGCTGGGGCCCACCAAAAAGGCGTGGAGGATGACATCCAGGAGAGGGCGATGTCGGCGGAAATAAGGCCGGATGTAGCCATTCTCGGTGGAGTTTTCCCGGGACTTGAACGCGAGGAGACTCCCGTGCTCAATGGTCCTTTCGCGGCCTCTCCGGATAGACATGAACACCCTTTACGCGCATGCTGACCCCTTCGCAAAGATCAAGTGTTGGGAGGAGCCGCCAAAACACATTTCAACATGACTGCCGGACCCGACGCCGAGAAAGCGGTTCCCGCGGAGAGAATGCCCTCACGGCTCGATGACGTCTCGGTATCAGGGGGCGAGGATGCCGTTCCACCAGCCGAAGAAGAGTTCCAGCCTCCTGACGGAGGACTCGTTGCCTGGACCCAAGTCCTGGCGGGTATTTTTATTAACATGATGGCTTGGGGCTACCCATCGACGTTTGGCGTTTATCAACTCTACTACCGAGACACACTCAAGCTCCCCGAGGCACAGATATCGTGGATTGGGTCCCTGCAAGTCTTCCTCGCCTTCGCTATGTGCACCTTCTCTGGGAGACTAGCAGATGCTGGATATGTAAAGTCAACCATCATTGTGGGTTCGTTAATGGTTGTGTTTGGGACCTTCATGACGAGTCTTTGCACGGAGTACTGGCAGATTTTCCTCGCCCAGGGACTGTGTACGGGGCTAGGCTTAGGCATCATCTTCATGCCTCCGCTGTCCGTCATAAACTCATATTTTGTGACAAAACGATCTTCGGCGCTCGCCATCTCGGCAACCGGGACCGGTCTGGGAAGTGTCATCTTTCCTGCGACGATCCAATACCTGATCCCGCAAATTGGGTTCCCGTGGGCAGTCAGGTGTGCTGCCTTCGTGGCGCTGTTTGTGTCGATGGTCTCAGTCTTGATGTTGAGACCGAAGTTGAAGCCAAGACGGTCGGGCCCTATCATCGAGTGGGACGCATTCAAAGAGGGTCCCTACCTGTTATACATGCTTGGTGCCTTCCTTTTCTTCTGGGCACTTTATTTCGGCTTCTTCTACGTAAGTACTCATGCTTGTTCATTGGGCGTATAGGGGAGCACACAAACTTACCATTCTTAGATCAATGCCTACGCCCGCAACGCCATCCACTTCTCGACCACGGACTCGGTGCAGCTCCTCCTCATCACAAACGGCATGAGTGTGCCGAGCAGGCCGGTAACGGGCTATCTCGCTGACCGGTACTTTGGGCCCATCAATCTGTATGCCTTCCAAACGCTAGTTATGGGGTGCTTGCTCTTTGCGTGGACCGGTGTGACGACACGGACGGGCATGTACGTGTTCTCGGTCTTCTTTGGCCTCTCAGTTGGCGCCGCTCAGGGGCTATTTGCCGGGTCGCTGGCTAGCTTGACCAAGGATCCAAGGAAAATGGGTACGCGGTTCGGTATGGTCTGTACCATCGTGGCATTTGCTTCGCTTGCGGGGCCGCCGACGGCCGGTGCCATAATTGATAAGTCCGGGGGACGCTATTTGTGGGCGCAGATCTGGGCCGGAATAGTGATCGTGCTGGCGTCGCTGATGTTCGTGGCGACGAGGTGCGCCGTGGTAGGCTTTAAGTTGTGGGCGAAGATCTGAGGTTGGCTTGTGATGGTTCATAATCTGAGACATGGGGTTGGAAACATGTCTTACAGAGGAATGGGTCGAGGTAAGACAACAACAAACCGTTCCCATTGGGCCGTACCCGAGATTGACGACGGATTGGTATCACGGGATTAATTGATCTTATCGCCAATACATATGTGTGGAAAATCACTGTTTACCCCTTAGTTCCTAAAGACGGCCACGTTCAATAATATTATCATCTACTCATCAAAAGGGATTCTCCCGATACCCCTTCTCGGCCTCTGCGTATGCATCATAACCATACAAGAACGGTTGGATCTCAGGACACGTCCACCGGCTCGGGAACGGTGCCTTGAGTTCCTTACCCAGCATGCTCACCATTAGAGCATCCCTCTTCTCCTGCGCCTCTCCGTCTTCCATGTGCGAATCGTCCCTCTGCTTGAACGTTTCTAGCTGGATCTTTCTTCCCCTCTCTATCCGCAACTTCTGATACAGCGTCGACACACTTGGCAACTGCCTCGCCATCTCACTCCTCCTCACCTTTCCTAGCAGCGACCCTAGCACAGCGCCATCCTCAAGACTCGAGTTCGCCCCCTGTGCCAAATATGGCAACATTGGGTGGCAGCAATCACCCGCCATGAAGAACGTCCCCTCCTCGTTTGCCCACTCTGGCAGCGCATCTAGCCACATCAAGCGCCACTTATGCACCACCCCTTTTACCTGCTTCAAGAACCGCCCCAACAACGGGTCCCACCCCCCAAACCTCGCCCTCATCTCGTCCATATCCCCCTCCCGCTTAATCACGCCACCGGGCAGGTCATCCGGACACAAAAACACCAAATTATACATCTCCCCGGCTCGCACCGAGTACCCAACACAATGCGCCCGCGGCCCAACCCAGAAGTTAACCGTCGCGTCTTTGATAAACGCCCTCAGCTCCTCCGCATCCTCCCCCTCCAACTGATCCACACGGATACTAATCCGATACGCCAGATCCCCCGTCGGGACCGCCGGGCTCGGCCTACCCAAAAACGCCGGCCGGATGGCACTCCACAGCCCATCGGCGAGCAGCACCACATCCCCGCGGAGGACCAGCCCTCCCTGAGCTAGGCGCACGCGGGCCTCGGCAAAATCCACGGCGACGACGCGCGAGCCCAGCCGGATCTCGACGCCGAGCGCCTCGCACCGCGCCACCATGGCCTGCTGCAGGTCGACGCGGTGGACGTCCCAGAAGGGCGCGCCGTCGCCGTAGCGCTCGCGCACCTGCGCCTGCAGGGCCGGCTCGTGCGCGAGCAGCTTGGTGCCGTCGTAGCGCCGGACCGAGAGCGAAGACGGGACGGCCGCGAGCGGTGCGAGCTGCTCGTGCAGCGACCAGGCCTTGAGCAGGCGCGTGCCGTTCGGGGTGAGTTGGAGACCGGCCTGGGGATTAGATCGGGGTGGTTAGTGTGAATTGGGAGGCCGGGTGGGGTTGAGTTGAGCTGGGTTGGTCTGGGGAGAGGGAGTGGCTTGAGCTTGGGAGTGTGGTGTAGCCTTGGGTTGGTTGAGAGCAAAGGAATGGAAGGCGGGGGGCCGGGGTTGGGGGGTTATGGTATAGCTTACTCCGACCTCCTGGAGCTCGTTTACAGCCTCCAAAACAGTCACCCGATGTGCTGGGTTTGCTAGTTTGGTCGACAACGCGGCGCTCAACCCTGCCAGGCCGGCACCGATGATGATGAGGTGGATTCCCTCTTCAGAGTTGGTTTGTACGCCCCCCATTGTACCGGTGTTAGAGATATGCCCTGGATAAACTAGTGAGGTAAAGGACACACTCGGGGCAACACTCGTGCACGTCGACGATTGTAAGTCTGTGGAACCACTAGCGAAAGTAATTGAACTGTTCCTTTCCCCTCGTTCGTCTTAAAACGCACCGAAAGTCAAGACGTGTCAATGACCGGCGTAACTAATGCCGCGTCTTGGGATAGCTGCTGTTCATGTAGCATTGGAGTGTGGGGAAAAGAGGGAATGCCGAGATGCCGGGAAACGCGGGGATGTGGTTCGGGTTATTGCGGCCGACTGTTCGTGTCGGCTGCTTGAATATCTGGGTAGGCCCGACTCGGCATATGACTTTTATCATGTTGCCTACTCGGATCAGAAGACAGAGATGGAAGGTAACGGGGCTGTCGGTTCTGCCCAAACCGATCCGCCATGTGCTTGAATCTGGGTATCTAATCCATACACCATCCGTCTATACGCTTTTGGTAGCCCTGTTGTCTTTTCCGTTTCCTCGGACATAATATCCCAACACGAACTATTTCGATACCGGGCCTTCTTGTTCAGTCAAAGGGCAACCGACAGGTCACACCTTATCACCGCCCTTGTTACCCATCCTCTCTCTATTGCCCAGGGAGCTCCAGATCTTTCGGATCCACCACCCACTCCTCCTCATCTCCCCAAACCGGGGCGAGCGAAAACGACCCCTGGATTTTGCCCATTCCATACGCAACACCGGCCATCTGACTCGGATCGCCGGGCTTGACATCCGCTTGCTCAATCAGCACAGCCGTCGACAGGAAGTTAGTTTGAATGCCCGGCATCATTGCCAGCTGCTGCCCGCCCCAGCTGAGTTCGACCTTGCCAGACTTGCGCACAGTCAGGTTGCCAAGGAACCCCCCTTCCTTGAGCTCATCACCATCCTCTTCGTCCTGACCAGAATCCTCGCCGTCACCAGCGTCTTCTTTCTTGGCCTTATCTTCCTTGTCCCCAGTGAGGTCAATATTCACCGGCGTTTGGTTCAGCATGTCAACATCGTGATCCGGCTCCGGCTTTATCGGGATCGGGTTCGTCGAGGTGCCGTCGCGTGGAACGACTCGCAACGGTGGCAAGACAGGTGGGAACTGGAAAAGGAACATGTGTCCTTCGAGCGCGGCGTTGTTCGTTGTCCCATCTTCGGCCACCGCGCCGTCGCTTTGGAGGGTAAACAAATCGAGCATGTGTTGAAGGTCTTGTGCAAGGATTTCGGCTTCGGTATCCTTCGGTCCGGTCGGCTTCTTAAGCTTCTGCTCGTTCACCAGCACCTTCTTCTTTAGCTCGGGGGAGTCGGGTGCCTTGATTCCCTCGGGGATCACGTCCAGGTCCATTGCGCCGCCTTCCGGCTCTTCCTGCTTGATTTTGCGTGTCTGCGCAACCACCGGGGCGGCCTCGTCCTGGGCCGGCTCCTCGAGATCTTCAACTTGTGCAGGCCCGCCAACAAATAGACCTTCTTCATCCGAGTCCACTTCGACAGCGCCGGCCTTCTCTTGGGCCTCAATCTCGGCAGCGGTCGTCATAGTGACCCCCTCATCCTTGTGCTCCACTCGCCGGATACCCATAGGCATAACGGCCTTCTTCTTCTTCTTCGTTGATGTAATTGAGGCGCGATCCTCTTCATCGGATATTTCGACGTAGTTGTAGAGCATGTCGGCATTGATTCTACTGTTGTCGATGATGCCCGACGCGTCGTATACGGACCCCTCCCCTTTAATACCGCCTTCGCCCTTGACGAAGCTGGAGCCGGAGCCGGAGCCAGAGATGGAGCCAGAGGCGACGGCGTAGCCGCCTGCACCTTGGTAGCCTGAGGCACCCCCTCCACCGACTATCAAATTGTTAGACGACGTGCACAATACAGACCAATCCGGTTTGGAGCAATAGCGACTCACAGCTTACACCCGCCGAGAGCGGCCCCGCAGCAGTGGAATTCCTCAAGTTCCCACGGAGGAACCCTCCACGGCCGCGACCACGCCCCCGACCTCGGCCACGGTTGAGGCGGGCTAATCGCCTTGCCTCCTCGGCGTTCCTTTGCTCCTGTATCCTCGATTGTTCCTCGGCCAAGCGAGCACGCTCTGTTTCACTCCGACGGACAGCCTTGGGTTTGAACTTGCTGGTGGTAGATGCACGAGTCGATGAGCTCGGTCCGGGGGTGGTGCTGGGCACTCTAGAAGATGTTGAAGCTGTGACGACTTCGGGTGTCGATCCGGAAGATATTGTCATCACCGGAACGGGTGCGGGCCCTGAGGGATTGGCGGCGCCTGCTGTCGTTGACGGCGTCGACTCATCGGCTTCTGATATTTGCACGGCATCTTGGGAAGCCGCAGCGGCAGCCGCACCGCGGGCTGCGCCTCCCCGGCCACGGCCTCGTCCCCGCCCTCGTGTTGTCGATTTTGGAGGCATCTGTGATGGATCAGCGTGGTTGTGATGATCGGTGCGAATTTGTAAACGGGAAACGAGGAGGAGAGAAAGTCGCGTCTGCCCGTTGCATTTCTTGACTGCCCCACTACGAACGTCAGCATGGGAGCAGGGATCACAGGTGGGGGACCAAGCGCCAGCGCGGGGCACGTCGCTGTGCGATAAGGGCGATTTCGAAGTCTTGGCATGTTCCGGGCGGTTCCCAAGTTTTGGTGATAGCGCACCACTCGGTTCTTCTCCAGTTGCTCGCTCACGTCCTTGGACTGTTTTGGACTGTTGCAACCCGGATGCCCTCGAAATCGGCATGAGGTGACAAGCACCATGAACTCACCATTCCCCAAATCCTCCTCTGCCGATGGCAAGGGATGCATCGTCGTCCGACGCCTCCCCTCAGGCGTTTCAGGGCTTGAGACTTTTGAATACCAGTACCCGCTCAAGCTCGTCACCCCAAAGCGGCCCCCCCAGACCAGCGCTCTGGTTTACTTGCTCTCGTACGGGGGCGGTTTGGTGGGGGGTGACCAAGTCAACCTGACCATCGAGGTCAAGACCGGTGCCAGGCTGAGTTTGGCCACGCAGGGGCACACCAAGATCTTCAAGTCGGCAAGCCCGGACATTGTCACTCGCCAGACAATGCGCGTCAATATTGCTACCAACGCCGCTATCTGCCTCCTCCCGGATCCGGTTCAGCCTTTTGCACACAGCGTCTACGAGCAGATCCAGATCTTCAGGCTGGCACACAACGCATCGCTATGCCTTTTGGACTGGGTCACCGAGGGGCGAACTGCCCTTGGGGAGCACTGGAGTTTCGTCAAATGGGTGGGCCGCAACGAGGTCTGGAGGATGGCCGACGACCAGGCCACTCAAGACCGGTTGCTCGTGAGAGACGTTGCGATCCTCGATAGCAAGAGCGTCCACCCCCATCTCCCGGCCCTGCGCGAGTCGATGAACGGGCTTAGCATATTCGGGACTCTCATTTTGCGGGGCCCTCTGATGAAGTCGGTTGGGGAGTTCTTCCTAGCTGAATTCGGTGCTCTCCCCCGGCTCGGGGCTCGGGACTGGCGGAATGACGACGCAAAGGACTCGAAGGAGTCGGATGATCGTTTATCACCCCTCGATAAGTGGCGGGCAGAGAGGCTTCAGGGGGAGAAAGACAGCAAAGTGCTTTGGTCTGCGGCCAGTGTCAGGGGATGTGTCGTGGTCAAGTTCGGTGCTCCCACCGTCGAGGCTGGCCGGCTCTGGATCGGATCCATGTTGACTCAAGAAGGCAGCATCGCACACAACTTTGGCGAGCAGGCGCTGATGTGTCTGAGATGGTAACCCCCTTCCCCTTGACTACCTAGGCGAGACACTCTGTGATCGCTCTGCCAAGCCCAGGTGCCTGATGGGGGCTCCAGGGACCAAACAGCAGACATGCAAACTGCCTGGTGAAGATATCTAACCGAGACCCAGCACAGTCATCCATTAATATCACGGATTTTCTTCAATATACATTTTCTAGAAAGACTATTCATCCTTTTACCCTCCTCTCCTTGGTTATTGGTGCTGAAGTATGTGCATGTCCCGATAGTTGCATATAATTGCGCTAGCCTTGGCGGGACGTTGTGGGTCGACCAGAGGTTTGGGTGTGCCAATCCGCCAAAATAATCTGGCGATTTGGGTGGTCGCCCTCGACGCGTCAATTGCCGAAAACGAACCAAAACCCACCGCCCTCTCTCGAGACGGTCCTCTCATCCACACCCCAAATGTAATGTCATTTGGACGGCAACCACTCATGGAGACCTCAGACAACACCCCGACGAGCTCGCCCGCTCCAACTTCTACCGCGCGTCGGTCCGGACGCGTCACAAAGGCACCCGCCAAGTTCGCTCCGGATGCGCCCGCCGCTACCAAGAGGAAGCGGAATGCGGAACATGACGAAGATGACGCAGAGAACGAGTCGCCCGACGAGATAGATGATGTCAGCGACCCTGATGATGATGATGCCGACGATACGGCTACCGAAGAGCCCCGCCGCGCGAGCAAGAAGAAGAAGCCCTCATCGTCGCACGCGCCAAGGTCGAGAAAACCGGCTGCGAAAAAGCCCAAAATCAACGGCGATGCGCTGGCAAGTGAAACCATGCATAGCGCACAACTGCCGAGTCGCCCGAAGAAGGCGGTGCGCATTGCGATTGCCCAGGGCGACGCGGATGGGCTTTATGGTGGGTGCCCTTCCCGCAAGCGCCTGCGTAGGCTGCTCGTGCTGTGCTAATCATGCCCATATAGCCGACATCTTTGCCTCCGGGGATCTTCCCGACAAGGTAGCGACAGAGTGGTACCACAAGTACCAAGAGGACGATGCCGCTGCCGTAACCGACCTGGTGAACTGCATCCTGCTGTCCGCCGGGTGCGACCAGCAGGTCACCCAAGACGATATCCGAGATCCCGAGAACTGTTCCAACAGGCTGGCGGATCTACAGAATGTCTACACAGAGGTATGTTTGGCTACGCACGTGTGTCGGGTGCTGCGCCATGCTAACGTCGGCCGCTACAGGAGGGAATCACCGACTACCCCCTTATCTCCAAGGCCAAGTCGACCAAGTCGTTCCGCGACTTGCTGATCGGCTTCTTCAGGTCTCTCGTGACCGTTCTCCACGAGACCGACGTACTTTACAAGGACAGCACCTTGATGGAGAACATCGCGCGATGGGTGGCCTCCATGTCTTCGTCAACACTGCGGCCGTTTAGACACACTGCAACCACTGTCGCGCTCGCGATGGAGGCCGCTCTCGTCGAAGTCGCCAAGAAGCTCGACGATCGCATCACCAAGATGACCCAGCAGGTTGACGCCGAGAAGAGCCGCAAAGGAAAAAACAAGGAACGACTAGCCGTAATCCAGAAAAACCTCGACGAAGCTGAACAGAACCGACAGCTCTGCCAGGAGCAGGTTACGGACTTCTTCGAAACTGTATTCGTCCACCGATACCGCGACATTGACGCCAAAATCCGGACCGAGTGTGTTGAGGCCCTCGGCACCTGGATCTGGTTCCTGCCCACATTCTTTGAGAAGCCCGAATATCTGCGGTACCTGGGCTGGATGCTGTCCGACATCACGTCACAGACGAGGCAGGAAGTGCTGAAGCAGCTTGCTCGTATATTGAAGCGCGATGCTGAGAAGCTTGGCCATTTTATCGACCGCTTCCGGCCACGCCTAGTCGAGATGGCTACCAAAGACGCCGACGTCAGCGTTCGAGTTGTAGCCATCTCGGTCATACAAATCCTCAAGGACACTGGTATGCTTGAACCCGACGAGATCGACTCGATCGGCCGGCTGGTCTTCGACTCTGAACTTCGTGTACGAAGAGCCGTCATCGATTTCTTCGCCGGTTGCGTGAACGACTCGATCGAGACCAAGATGGAGGAATTAGGAGGCAGCGATGCCGCCGACGAAATCTTCGGGGATGACGAGGATGACGACTACTTCTCTCCCCGCAGGGACTGGATCAGCATTAAGTGTCTCGCCGAGCTCCTCGCGGCATACGACGCCCAGCTCGAGGAGGAGAATCAAACATTGCCAGTTCGTGGCCTCGATATCGCCGTTGAGATGGTTCAGGCCGTGGCGCCTGAGAACCGTATTACACTGGCTGCCCAGGTTCTGTACGAAAAGATTGACCAGGTCAAAAACTGGGAACTCTTGTCGGGTTACCTGCTTTATGATCACACAACGAGTACAAAATCACGATCGTCATCGAGGCGGACTTCCAGCGAGGCAACGCTCAAGAGCGCTGTTGCTCCAGAAGGCAATGAGGAGCCGGTGCTTCTTGAGGTACTTGCCTCTGCTGTCAGGTTGAGCCTTGCCTCTGCTTCAGAAACCGATAGGAGCAGGAGGAAACAGCGGCCAGATGCTGTAGATGGCGCCGAAGATTCTGCCGTGCACCTAGCCAGCATCATCCCCCGTCTTTTGAACAAGTATGGCGCCGAAGCGAGCACCGCAGTCGTCGTACTACGGCTGGAACACTTCTTGCCGCTCGACGTGTTCCAACAGCTTCGTCAAGACTCGACTACATACAGCCGCTTGCTAGATGAGATATGCACCCAGTTCGAACGGCACGCCGACAGAGGCGTGCTTGCGGAAGCGACAACAGCGCTGCTGCACGCTCGCAAGTATGATGAGCTAGAGGAGATGACAGATACCAAGATCGCTGACCTTTGGGAAACCGTCATCAACGCGCTTCGGCATATGGACAAGACCCAAGAGCTAAACGACCGCGGCAACATGGGGGCTGCAGCCGTCTCCCAGCTGGGCAGCATTCTCCTCAAGATCAGCAAACTCGCCGGCATTGCCGAATGCATCGACGTTCTCGAAGCTGACGGCCAGTCCGAAGAATCGTCGAACCCTGTCATAGAACTTCTCATTCGCACCGTCCACCGCGGCAAACTTGACCAAGTTGACGAGGCCCTCGACGACCTTGAAGACGAAGCCGTCTCGTACGCGATCCAAGCTGCCCATTTCTACTTCATGTGGAAAGTCCGCACCTTCCTTTCTGCGGTCCAATCATCCGCCAGCATCCCTATCCGCACGATCGAGCGCCTATCTACCCTCCGCCGAACCTACGCTGACAACCTGATCTGGACGCTTTCCTCGCGTGGCACAAATGACGAGCTGCGGCTCTTCGCCACCGGCGCCCTCTGCGACCTACACGTGCTGTTCGCCTCGCTCCGGGAGGCCGTCAAACAACAACAGCAACAACAGGAGTCGCACCACGACTACCAGGAACTAGAATCCCTCTACGAACCCATCCAGCCCGGCCTCACCAACGAGCTCATCGAGATCTACAACGCCGCCGAGCGCGCGTACGCGCGCGTCACCAAGCGCGCCCTGAACGAGCCCTCGCCCGATGAACAGCGGCGGCAACAACAGCAGCAGGACCCGACGCAGCCGCCGAACGGGGGCGACGACGACGGGGAGGAGGACGATGACGACGAAGAGGACGAGGAGGAAGCTGCCGCCGACGCCGCCATGAGCCCCACCGAGCGCAAGGGCAAGGAGCTCAAGCTGGAGCGCGCGCTGTGCGAGCTGGCGGGCAAGCTGGTGCTCGCGATCCTCGCCAAGACGGTCGACCAGATCGGCCCGCAGGCCGGCAAGCTCCGCCGCAGGATGGTGCGCAACCAGGCGAAACTGGGCGGGAACCTGAGGGAGACGGTCGGGTTCCTGGACGAGGCCAAGTTGAGGGAGCGGGTGGCTGCCGGCGGTGGTGGTGCCATGGGGAGGAAGAGGGATAAGGGGAAAGGGAAGGCTGCTGCGTCTGCTGCCAAGTCGAAGCCTGCTGCGGCGGGTGCCACTGGGAACGGCACCGCTGCGTCGACGGCGACCGGGTCGAAAAGGGCGGCGCTGAGTGAAGAGATTGTCGTTGAGGATGACGACTCGGAGTTATCCGAGGTTGAGGAGGCCGAACCCGAGCCGGAGGAGGGCTCGATGGAAGATTTGAGGAGACGGGAGTTGTTGGATGATCCGATTGAGGATGAAGAGCTGGGGGACGGTGACGGTGGGGGAGACAAGATGGACGAAGATGAGTCGGTATTAGGAGATTGAGGCGGGTGCTTGTGCTTGGGTTTTACTCGGATGTTCCTATTTTCTCTTCGTTTCCCGCCTAACGCGGGGGGCGGTTGTATCATGAGTATGGGTGATGAGACTGGGCTTGACTTTCGTTCATACCACTATTATTCTTTGCTCTTGTAGAATCAGTTTCCAGATATTTTTCGCTGGCTATTCTGCTTCGCTGACCTCACAGTTCGAGTGTTGCCCGTGCTATTATTGTATGTGTGTATGCGAGGAAGAGCCAGCTTACAGTCGCATCACAGCCTCACAAGACCTTAGTGGTGTATATCCATGGCTAATTACAAACACCACCACCATTCTCGGCCGTCTTGAAACTCCAGGGGCACTGCACCGTACGTATATACCCGAACACATTCGCCTTAACATTCATGAACCCTCAAACGAGAATCTTGGTCCCAAAAAGCCCAAAGCATCGTACCCACTGACCCTCGCCTTCCCTCCCTTCGTAAACTCCATACTGCTTGATGCAGCAGGAAAAGGGGCTGTTCGAGACTGTCTCTTCATTACCCTCGCGCTCGTCTTCAGCCGGGGAGCTCTGCAACCGCGGCTTTGGGAGCGGCGGTTGGGACTTTCCGGGACGGCGTTGCTTGCCATCTTCCGTCCTTTCTTCCGTTGGTTTCCTCTCCGCAGCCAGGGACTTGACCTCCTCCAAATTTCCCCACAGCATAAACATGCGCTCGCGTAGCTTGTTGAGCGTGTCTGGGTCCTGGCGCAGGTCGGCCGCATTAAGACCAGTTAGGCACTGCGCCTCGGGGTTGTCAACCAAGACCCACAGGCGAGAGCGTGGCCCGGACCCCTTTGCGTCGCTAGGAAGGGCTGCGTCTTCGAGGTGTAAGGCGAAGCGCCATTCCCAGATTAGCTGGCTGCTAGAGGTATCCTCGTCGTGTGACGACGAAGGATCCTCGCTGTCTTCCTCGTTGTCGGAGAGCACATCGTACTCCGTTCGTCTCCGGCCGCAGGCAAAGTCTTCGAGCGAGGGCGGGAAAAAGTCGATTACGCGAGCGGAAGCTCGGGATTTGCCGCAAATGAAGGGTAGCACTAGGGCGGTGGCTTGATTCTTGCTGGTCACCTCATGTACTGTCGGCTGGAGGATGGATTCGATAGTAGCGGAGGGTGCGTCGTGGGTTTCGCAGGTAATATGGCGGTTGAGATCGGGTCGCAATCCCCGTTTGTTCGGGGTTTCATCCTCCTCCTGATTTTTTACCGCTCGGAGGGCCTTACGGCGGTCTTTCCCATTGGGGAGGCGGGTTTCTTGTCCTGACGAAGAGGAAGCTTTTCGCTTCAGCCCTGCCGCTTGGGCCGATTTGACCTCCTTAATTTGCCGTTTTTTCTTCTTTTGGTAGTCGCGGCATCGGCGGAGCGCCTCCTTCAAGGTTGGATCTATTGTGTCAGCGTCTCTAGTCTCGAGGACATGCACATTTATTGTTGTGCTAGAAGCATTGCGCTCCCCGCGCATGAAGCCTTCAAGAAACTGGCCGTTTTTGCCATGCTTGATCTGGACGTTGCGCAACATGACCCACTGGCCGGCTTTTACTTCGTCACGGATGTAACTAGAGTGAGGCTCGAAGCAGGTGAGTTGAAGAGACCTTTTCCCGTACGGCCCAACCCAATCTTCGCGGGGCATATCGCCGCCGCCCGTGGTGTACCCGTACGGATCACCATAGCCCGATGTCGGTTCTGATAGACCTTCCCATACACGCGGGTGGAAGTGTGGGTTCTCGGTGTAATCTGAGACGTACAGGGTGACCAGATCGAAGCCGGCGTAGGGCTCCCTAGCCACTTGTACGACCAAGTCGTAGAACTTGCCCTCTTCCACATCCCTGAGCAAGCTGAACTTCCGTTTGATATTGAGAGATTGTACAGCTCTGGCCTGAAACTCAGTCTCCTCGGGGAGAGAATACTTGTCAATCTTGTGATATATGTGCGAGACATAAGCAGTCTCCTCGGGGTTGGGCACATGGCCATCTCCCTTTTGTGCCGGTTCCAGGGCGATTTTGGCGGATTGGGGGGGATCCGGGATCTTGGAGGCCTTGTATACGCGGATTGAAGTTACGTGGTTGGTAATGAGGGAAAGGGGGTTGGCCTGGTACTTCTGCACCTTTGCAGAGGTCACGAGGATAACATCACCGACGGTGACTTGGGGCATGTAGGCCTCTGGACGGAAAATAACAAGGTTGAGACCGTAACTCTCATCATCAATGGAGAGGTCATACAGGGTGATGGTAGATTTATAGTCTGCCGATATGTTAGAGAAATGGTTCTGGTTAAAGACTGCGAACAGATGCAACTCACCGGTGCGACTTGTTGGCATGGGGAGGCGGCAATCCTTTACCACCCCGATGACATTGACAAAGCTCCCTACAGGTACATCCTCATCCAAGATGGCCCTGATGTTGGTAAACTTGGGGGGAAGAGAGGGCTCCGGTGGGGCAGCACCTCCCAGTCCCACGCTCTTCCGGGAGTCCCTCGCGGTCATTGTTGTTGAAGGGTGCCAACGACTGGAGAGATATTATTTAGTATTTTCAAAAACCAGTGAGACGGTATTTGGAATCGAAGTCGCAGCCCCATCGGCATGCGTGGATCGGTGTTGCTGGTGCTGGTCTCTGGGTTTCTGTCCCATTCCACCAACTATCAGTGGAGCCGTGGTGCTGCGACAAACGCGCCTGTGGGCGCGTCTTTGGAAATGACCAAATCGCCATTCGATCGCCATTTCATGTGCACATGCAGTTTGACCCCGCTGCTGGGTCCGTGCTTCACTGTGGGTCTTTTAGAGCAATGCCCCGCTGCTGCTTGTGCCTTTTTGCCTCAGGCACCAATCAGCTTGCCGATGACTCGGCCTGGTGGGGCGTAAAACTGGGCTGCCCCCCCATTCTGGTCAAACACTGAGAGCGACGAGAGGCCCCGTTCTGTTTCCAGTTTCTGCATCTCCAAATTCTTTCATTGTCCAAAAACAATCACAAACTCTTCCACCCATTCCTTTCAGAAGACCAAGTGCTGGGCCACACCGAACATAGCTTTTCTCAACGCTGTGGCAACCTGACTTCCAGCGCATATCTTCATTTATTTTAGTTCGACATCACTGTCGCGGCCTTCGTCGCTGTGTTTCAGTGATCGCCGCCCGCTCCCCCTCCCTTTCCCATTACTCAAGCTCTAGCCGTTAACGGCAACCGACAATCGCAACCATGGCGGAACGCTATATCCCCGAGCATCGTCGGACTCAGTTCAAGGCGAAGAGCACCTTCAAACCCGAGGAGCTCCGTCGCCGCCGCGAGGAGCAGCAGGTCGAGATCCGCAAGGCGAAGCGTGAGGAGAACCTGGCCAAGCGCCGTGGTATTGGCACTGGCGATGACCGTCCGGGTGCTTCCTTGGGCGCTGCCCCCGATAGCGACGATGAGAACCCGCCGAGCGAGTCTCAGGTATGTCATATCTTCTGTCCTTTCCTGAATACCCATATCATCATCACTTGTCATCGCCTCCCCGCATCCAAGAGCTGCAGTTCCCATGGCACATTCACCCCACTTGTACCCCGCCGTCTGTTGTGGCCGTCGCTGGTGAGACCGCGCCCGCATTCGGCGCCGCCCGCACTACACCAGCATCATCGCACCACAGCAATGCTGCAGCAATACTATTCAACGGCTTCATGCACCATCTGCCCATTCCTTATCACGCCTGCCGTTGCCAGAGTCGGGTGCTAACTTAAAATGCGTAGCTTAACGAGGACCTCCCCCAGATGGTCGCTGGCGTCTTCTCAGAGCAGATTGACCTGCAGATTCAGGCGACAACAAAGTTCCGGAAACTCCTCAGCAAAGAGCGGAACCCTCCTATCGAGGAGGTTATCAAGACTGGCGTCGTGAGCCGTTTCGTCGAGTTCCTGCGGTCGCCCCATACACTTGTCCAGTTCGAGGCTGCTTGGGCCCTCACCAACATCGCCTCCGGCTCCGCCACACAGACCCAAGTGGTGATCGAGGCCGGCGCTGTGCCCATTTTTGTCGAACTTCTCAACAGCCCCGAGCCCGACGTCCGTGAGCAGGCCGTTTGGGCTCTTGGTAACATTGCCGGGGACAGCCCGCAGTGCAGAGATTATGTATTGAGCCAGGGCGCCCTGCGCCCCTTGCTGAACCTTCTTGGGGACAGCCGCAAGCTAAGCATGCTTCGGAATGCGACTTGGACCTTGAGCAACTTCTGCCGCGGAAAGACGCCCCAGCCAGACTGGAATACGGTGCGTCGACCTCCCTCTTCTCCACTCCTGTCCGCTATCACGTGATGCTAATGTGTCCCAGATTCAGCCCGCCCTTCCGATTCTCGCTAAGCTCGTGTATTCTCTGGATGATGAGGTCTTGATCGATGCGTGCTGGGCCATCTCATACCTGTCCGACGGTTCGAACGACAAGATCCAAGCCGTGATCGAGGCGGGCATCCCGCGCCGGCTGGTCGAGCTTCTCATGCATGCGTCAACCTCCGTTCAGACTCCCGCCCTCCGCTCTGTCGGCAACATCGTTACCGGCGATGATGTACAAACTCAAGTCATCATCAACTGTGGCGCCTTGCCCTGCTTGCTCTCGCTGCTGAGCAGCAACAAGGATGGGATCCGTAAGGAGGCTTGCTGGACTATCTCCAACATTACGGCCGGGAACTCTGCACAGATCCAGGCAGTCATTGATGCCAATATCATCCCGCCGCTCATCCACCTGCTCACCAACGGCGACCTGAAGACTCGCAAGGAGGCATGCTGGGCAATCAGCAACGCCACCTCGGGCGGTCTGCAGAAGCCTGATCAGATTCGGTACCTGGTCAACCAGGGCTGCATTAGGCCGCTCTGTGACCTCCTTGCTTGCCCTGATAACAAGATCATTCAGGTCGCGCTTGACGGTCTCGAGAACATCCTCAAGGTTGGCGACCTCGACAAGCAGGCGTCTGGCGAGGGCTCCGACTCGATCAACCGTTATGCGCTGTTCATCGAGGAGTGCGGCGGCATGGAGAAGATCCATGACTGCCAGACCAATGCCAACGAGGAGATCTACATGAAGGCCTACAACATCATCGAGAAGTACTTCTCAGATGAGGAGGAGAACGCTGCTGATGATGCCATGGGTCAGAACCAACAGTTTGGCTTTGGTGCCGCAAACGGCTCTCAGCAGGGCGGTTTCAACTTTGGTGGCAACGGCGCCGAGTCGATGGACATGTAAAGAAATCCGGCCAAGGAAGGATATGACGGGTTGGGTGCTGAGGGGTGGGCTCGATGCACTGTCGGCCTTGCTGTTATCATCGGCCTTCCTGGGAGCACCATGCCCTCTTCCCTCACCCCAGCCATGCAATACTGGTATCCCTACCGTCCCGCTGCGTTTTTCACCGAACTCCGAAGACACGACACGTCTATGCTTTCGGCTAACACCACCCATCCCTTAACCCCCACACGTACCCCTCGACACCACACCACAGCCCAACAAGCTTTACCTTAATTTTGTTTTATCGACAACCCACGGAATAACAGCATAGAGGGAGCGGCCAGGTCCTTTGGTAGCTTGATAGCTCCAGCCTGATGAAAACATGGATGCGTCTCACGAGTAGCGCAAGAAGGAGAAGAGGGTCTGAATGGTAGCTTGATAGCTCCTACCCTATGACGAAGACAGTGGGGGCGCACGAGCCGCGCCGCGCCAGAGGTGAAATGGGGCCGAGATGGCTCAAACCTGGGCGCATGTATCGCCTCGGAACCGGCCATTGCTAGTGCATGGTCACAAGAGAGGTGGTTGCCGTGGATACTGGTCTTTGGCTACTGGTCCCACCAAGTGGTGGGCGGCAGGAAAAGTCGAGACAGGTTTTGATGACGGGATGTATGGGGTGTCTGGTATACAAACTACTAGTAGCTCCCTGCAGACAGACAAATGAAGCCACGGCAACGTCGTTGACATAAATTGCAGAGATAATGGATGTTCAGAGTGAAATCATGGACGTGTGTGGCGTTCACGTAGTCAGAATCAAACGCCCTGTTGGCTCAGCTGTCGTGATCAAGTTCGTCTATTCCCACGGCCTGCAAAAGCAAATAGCCAACCGTGTTTCCACATACACCCACGTGTATGTACCTAGACAATGCAACTCGCCGCGACAGCCTCGTTGAGCCGGTCAATTGCGTTGATTGCATTCATCCCGAGACCAACCAGGCTATCCTATATACTCAGCATTCATTCAACACCCAAGCAACCCAACGACCCAGCCACCTCCAACCTTCAACCTCATGTAACATCGGCAACAACAAGAAAGACGTGATATCCATCACGCATCCATCCCATCCAACTCAATCAACCGCGTAACGAGCCGGATGATTTCGGCCCCGGGCCCTTCCGACGAGTTGAACATGGCCGGGTTCTCAATGCGCCGCTCGATCAGCCGATCGATAACCCCGCGCAGCCGCGACACCAGCACGCCGATGCGCGCCCATCCGCGCAACCGCAGCCAGCCGTCCACCAACAGCCCGCGACCCTGCGTGTCGAGTGCGATGGCGCCGGTGAAGAGGAGGAGGGTGTAGGCGTTGAATGCTGTACGGAGGGGTTGATTAGTTACTGTGTCGCGAGGGCGGTTGGGGGCAAGAGAGGGAGTCTGTTATCCATTGCAGTCCAAAGACCGAAAAGGCCTTGTTCGTAGAGAAGGGGGGAAAGGGGGAACTCACGCGTCAAATCCCGTACAAAAACCTTGCTCGTGGCCATCATGTTGAAATACGACACGAACGTCGCATTCCCTGAGAACCCCTGACTGTCAAACATGGTGCTGGACGGATGGATGAAGACGCGGCCGTGGTCTTGCGAGAAGTACTTGATCGTCTTGGCCTCGGGGTCGAGTTCGACCGCGCCGGAGACTGACGTCGCGAACTTCTTGTCGGGGAACTGGATGCGGCAGAGCTGCGGGGCGAAGGCGGATGCCGTGAGGGCACGGAGGAGCGGGGTGGATGCTGAAGGCTGAGATGTAGAAGGGCGAATGCCCATTTCGGACAGCGAGGTGTAGTACTGCGATCTGGTCGAGGCGATGTCCGACAGCGTGGGGAACGACAGGAAGTTCTCGTCGCACCACTGCCGGACCCTGCGGTGCTGGATGGCGCGATCGGCCATCATACTGTCCCATTCCTGGTATGCCCGCAGGTCGGTGAGCAAGTCACCGTCCCCGCGAGCGAAGCGCATCTTTGCCTCCTTCGCCTCGCTGCGTTTTTCAGCCGGTGACAAGAATGGGCTCTTTGTGCTTAGGATCGCAGCGATAGTGACGCAGTCGTCAAGGCAACCGAAGATGGCTCCGTAGACCATCAGCTTGCCGCAGCGCAGATCTGCGGGGATCATAGCTAGCTGTTGACCGAGGGCTGTTAGCTCGTCCCCATCCAGGGCGCCCATCCGCCGGAGCATGGTGATGGCTCCCTCCACGGCCGTCGCCTCGGGTGGGGTGGGGGCGCGGGAGAGGAAGTGGCTGATATCGCGGATGCCCATGGCACGGACAGCGAGACTGAGTTGTTCGAGCGGAACGCGTCGGATTTCTGGTTCCGGGCGCTCGGCCATCTGGTATTCGAGGTTGCGTGTGTACAGCTTGTAGCATTTGCCGGCCTGGACACGACCGGCACGACCGCGGCGTTGCTTGCAGGCAGCAAGGGACGCCCAAGTCTCCTCCAATTTGCGCATGTTGTTTGCTGGGTCGAAGGAGGTCTCCTTGACTCTGCCGCTGTCGATGACGGCGACGATGTCGTCGATGGTGATGGATGTCTCTGCCACATTGGTGGCAACAACCACCTTCCTCCTGCCTTGCGGAGCGGGGGCGAAGACTTTCTTCTGCTCCCTAGTCTCTAGAGACGCATGTAGAGGCAATACGTGAAGGGGCGGTGCCGACCGTAGGGCGTTGCAGGCGCGGTTGATCTCAGCCACGCCAGGGAGGAAGATTAGGATACCGCCAAGCTTCTGCCTCGATGATAGATCCTCGTCGATGCTCTTGACCGTCTCGAAAAGCAGATCGTAATTAATACGGGTGCCAAGTTTCTGGATAATCTTGTTGATGGGATCCGCCTGGTCTCCGGAGGGTGTGCTAGCCCCATCATCATAATAATCATACCTATTCCCAACGCTGAAACCTGTCATCCGGATGACGTCGTCGAGGTAGTAGTCCTGGACTGGGTATGTGCGGCCCGAGATCTCTACCAGGCCAACGGTGACATTCTGTCGATCCGCCGTGAAGTAGTCCCTGAAGGAAGCAGCGTCCAGGGTGGCGCTCATCAAAATGAGCTTTAGATCCCGCCGCTTGTAAAGGACATCGCGGACGATGCTCAAGAGGAAATCGGTATCCAAGCTGCGCTCGTGGACTTCGTCAACCACAACATGACTGACATCCGCCAACGAGGATACTACATCCTCAACCCGACCACCGGAAGTCTGGAGACGCCTCAGTAGTACACCAGTCGTCACGAAGGTGATCTTGGTGTCCAGGGTGACTTTGCTCTCGCCGCGGATAGTATAACCGACTTCCTGTCCAACCTGGGTGCACCGCTCCTCGGCGACACGGTCGGCAAGACCAAGTGCAGAGATACGGCGTGGCTGTGTGACGATAATGTTGGCTCCGTTTCCAAGGCCTTTGCTATACAGGTCGTCCAAGATGAACTGTACCGACTGTGTCGACTTGCCGGAACCGGTCTCACCGGAAATAATGGTGACCTGATTCTCTGAGACAGTCCGGATGACGTCGGCTCTGACCTGCCACGCCGGGAGACGCTCGCGCTGTGAGAGCATCTTTTTGTATCCGGGTGCCTCCGTCCTTGCCACCCATTCTTGTCTGCTATGGGGATTCGGCGTCCAGTTGATTGGCTTCGGGTACCGAGGTCTCCGCCGCGCTGTCCTGACGGCAGCCGTCGTCGGTTCTTCGGAAGCGGCTGATGAGACAGCAGCAACGTCCCTCAGGGCTCCTGGCCGTTCAATAATCTCGTTGATACTCTCCTGCACCCAACTTATGAGATAATAGATTTTCGCCTCCTCGCCCTGCAGCGATTCACTTGCGTACGCAAGGGCTTTCTTGATGATGCTTAGTTTGATGTAGGCGGGCAGCGGAGCTACGATCGAAACGACGACATGAGTCGGATACTGAGGCGTCTTCCGGAACTGCAGATACGTCTCGACGTCGGTATTGGGCCCGTTAACCACCGATTCGAGCCGTACCTGGCATACTTCGGGCGAAGTGCGAGTGTACTTGTCCCCAAAACTGGCCTCAATGGTTGCCATTTCCTCATCCCAGCTCTCGTCGGGGGTCCTCCATGAGTCGATTTCCTCCTCTTGGGCCGCACCTTGACCTGTACCGCTTGACAGAAGCAATTTTTGCAAGGCCTCGGCAGCTCTGCCCTCATCGCCGCCGTTGGCGTCCAAAATCCGGCGACAGAGATCTATTGAATACCCGGATTCTGAGAGGCGCTTGATAACGCCTTCTCTCCGCAAATCGGTAGCTGCGACCGTTACTCCGGCAGTATACCTCTCGGGTAGAGCCCATCGCGGCAAATCGTCTTCCGGGATGTGGACAAGCAGCCACTCGAGGGTCTCCTCGCGGTCTTTGCACTCCTCCACCGCCTCTTCGGCGTGGCTTTGACGGAACCCCAACTCCTTGAACTCCCTCACAATCGCCGCCTTCTGAGCCGGCGGCATGACCACGCCATGGGGGTTCCACACCGTCTCCCTCCGCAACAAGTCCTCGAGCTGCGACCGCGTCCTATTCCCCATCTCAATCTTGGGCACCGTCGCCCAGCCCCTCATAAGGGAATGCGATCCCCCTCCACCCCCACCACCGCCGCCACCTCCGCTGCCCCTGAAAGCGAGCGACACCCCCGGCTGGTTCCCTTCGGCAGCCTTCTCCCTCTGCGCCTGCGCCTGCGCCTTCTTCTTTTCGGCGGTGGCTTTAGCCTCCTCCCGCTCTCTCGCTGCCTGGAACGGATCGGCCTCGTACATCCAGCCCTTCCCTTCCTTCACGTCCTGCTTCTTGAGCGCCTCAAAGTCCTTCCACAACGCCTTGTAGTCCGGCGGCAGCGAGATGTGCAGGTTCTTCATGTTGCACACACGATACAGGGCGTAAGTGGCGGCAAAGTGCTTCGCCTCGAGTGCGGTCGGCTTGTAGGCCAGGTGCACGTGGCTCGGCGGCAGCTTGAAGGGCGGCAGACGGGTGACTTCACCGGTCTTGGGGTTTTTGGCGGCGAGGCTAGTGAAGACGGAGAAGCCCTCCTTTGTCTTGATAGTGTTGTAGTCTGGGCGCTCCCATTTTTGCTTTTGGCAGTGCTCCGAGAGCAGGTTGACGGGCAGTTTGCCGGTCCAAGAAGCGCCGCCGATGAGCTGGCGGGCAGTTGGGCGAGGCGGCCCATCGGGGGTTTCGGACGGGTTGGCGTTGTTACTAGGCGCGGCGGTGGTGGTGTTGGAGGGGCCGCCGCCACCACCTCGTCTTCCTTTGGGATCCTTATCCGAGTTGGTAAAGACAATAAAGTCGCCTTCGGAAGGGGGCTTCGTCTTGGCATCCTTCTTGTTGGCTTTGGCGGGAGCGGCAGACGGTGTGGACGCCGGGGCGCTGTTAGTGTTTTTTGCCCTTCTTTGCCATTTTGGGACTTGATCCGTTCGATTCCCAGTTGGGTATGGGTTGACGATAATTTTGAGAAGCAGGTTTCGGATAGTTATCAGTGAACCATGAGTGTTGGGGTGAATAAATTCACACGATGGCAGATGACCCTGGTACTGAAATTGCCGGTGCACAGCGGTCCATGGCAGTCCGGGGCTTGGGAAGTGAGTTAACAGCGACTTGCTCGTGTTCGCATCAAGCGCAAGCAATTTTCTGTGAGATGCGTCTGTGTGCTCAGATGAATATTGACCTTGCAGAATCCTTGGCAGGAGTGAAAAAGCCTGGAGCGGTGTTGAAGGTTGGAGAATAATTGACAGGTCTTGGCGCTGTGGGCCCTTCCTGAAGCTTGAGGCATGCAGTTACGGGGAGTTTCGCTATAAGCGGTCAATACGTCCTCCATCCTTCAACACACGGCAGTTCGAACAACTCTACGCCGTTTAAGGGCCCGGGCCATCATCGGTTCCGACGAGTGGGCAGAAAGGTGATGCGGCTATCATTCCAACAAGAACGGAAGCATTAAATACAAGTTACCCTATGTGAACGGTCGATCCCAAAATATCCCGTTGAATAATATATATATATATATAGCAAAAGCCCATCAAGTACCACAGAATCTGATCCCTTTCCAAGTCAATAGCAATGGCAGGCAACGTGTATACATGGCAAAATATCGCCTCCACACCCAGCGGCTCTAGCCACCCGTAAACCCATTCGCTGCTCGGATGGTTCGGGGGTGACTGTCGCTGTAACGCCCGTTGTTAGGTTGCCAGAACTAAGAAAGCCCCAACCTGAAATGCGATGCCTTCTCCCACTAGATGTATGCCGACCCCGTGCCCCATGTCGACTTTGGTTCACTGGGCATCACATCACTAGAGGTTAATTCCTCCCCGTAACGTCCTCAAGTCTATGTTCCGTCGACGTCGTCCTCTTCCCCATCAACATCCTCGCCCTCAACATCATCCTCGTCCCCACCATCTTCGTCCTCGTCCACCCCCTTGACCTCCACCTCATCCTCGTCCTCATCCTCGTTCCCATCCGCATCCTCATCCTCATCCTTCACCGCCTGCTTCGCAGCTGACCTAGACCTCCTCCCGCGCCCGGGCCCTCCCCTCGCAGGTGTAGTTGGTCCCTTCCTCTTCGTCGTATCCGCCACCGCAACAGCAGCCGCAGCAGCTTTCTTCCCCGACCCCTTCGGTCTACCGCGGCCCCTCTTGACCTGCGCCACGGGCGTGGTCGCAGCAGCAACCACCTCAGCTCCCTCCTCCCCAGCAGCAGCAGCAGCAGCAGCAGCAGCAGTGGTCGAAGCAGTGACAGCCGCATCCAGCAACTTTTGCGCGCTCTGGTCCTTCCTGGGCCGGCCCCTGCCGCGGCGCGGCGGCGTCGCGACGGACGCGGTGGGGTCGGCGGCCGCCGTCTTCTTCACGCCGGCGCCCGTCGTCTTGGCGCCGCTGCCCTTGGGCCGCCCGCGCGGGCGGCCCGACGGCACCGGCTTCGGCTTGCGCTTGGACGGCGACAGTGGGGGGCGCCCGCGCTTGCGCTTCGCGGGCTGGTCCGCGTTGGGGCTGGCGGACGGTGGGGGGGTTGATGCCATACTTTGGTTTTACTTCTTTTTGCCTTGTGTTCGTTTTTTCTTCGGGTGATTCGGAGGTACTGGTCGAGGTAGTGTTGGCGGTGGGGCGTGATTGTTGGCTTGGTCGGCTCGCTGCTTGCTCGCGAGGACGCGTTTAGACGCGTCTCTGCCGTTTAAATCAATGACGTTTGAAGGATTTGTTACGAGGGCGAATTTAACATGACAGGTTTCTCGCGTGGGCAGGCAAGCAGGTTATGTGTGGGCCGTGCTGCAATGCCTCAGGATGAAATGAGATTGGGTTTCCAAATCGTTGCTATTTACCTTGTGAGAATGGGGGAAAAAGAAGCAAGGAAAGAAAATCAGCGGTTGGCGGTTGTTGAAGCAGTGCACGGGCTAACAAACAAATACCATAAAATTCGGTTTTAACCTGCCCATTTCCGGTTACTTCAATCTCTTTTTCTTTTTTTCGGCAATTTCTCTTATCCCTTTTGTCTCGCTCCTTCCTTATTGCTCAATGCTGGTTTCGTGTAAGATACCGGCTGTAGTGACGTTATTACCCCTGGTCGAGTGCAACGCGCGGTACGGCTAAACCTGCAGTTTTGTATTGGCGATGCCAACAGGCTGGGGTGATTGGAAGGTTGTTATGGTTGTCAGATGAGAAGACCCAGCTGTTTATCCTACTCGAAATACAAAAGTCTCGGAAATGGGTCAAAATGAGGGCATCCCATAGCCCAGCCACAAGCCCTCGTGCCATGCCACATGGAATGTTCATCCAGAACCAATCGAGACGGATGAAGCGGCTGCCGAGGTAGCCAACTCCTTCCAAAACTTCAACAGAAGCAGTCACCCCGTGCGTGAAGGCGACGACGCACATATCTCACAGGAACACCTGCCAAACCAACCAGGTTATCAGGAATAAGGTAGACCTTGACCACCAATATGCCAAAGGGAACACATGACACTAAACGAAACTATGCCTGAAGTCCAATAACGCCATTCGCTGTGTGCATTGCCGGTGTGCCATATACCATTACCGCTCAGGTATTCCCAGCCGCCCCCGTCCCAGTACCCTTTTTGCTCCCGTCCTATCCCGTATCTCTGATGCAGCTAAGACAAAGGGAATGCAAAAGCAAGAAATAAAAGAAGAGAAAAAAACAAAACGTAATAGATCCACCAGGCCGCTAACAAGACTCGTTGATGCGGCATCATTCGTCGAGGACCGTTCTTGATTCCGTCCACCTTGTTATTCCTCCATCAGTTTGTTTCCGTCCCCGTACCTCCTTTCTTTCCTTCCCCCCTCCTTCCGAAATGGCTATCCCGGCCGAGTGCGGGCGTAGCTCTGGGTATCATTCCCTCCATATTCTCGTCATCTTTCCGCTTGGTGCTCCCGTTGCCATTTCCACCACCGGTTCCACTCATCGTAATGCGGTGCGGCCACCGCTTCGTATGCGAGACTTATTCGGGCGTCCAAGTTGACAGCGCTGGTAGTAATTTCGTAGCAGACCTATGCTCGAGGATCTGCAGAATCCATGCCCTTCCTAGTCGGTTTTCCAATGCGTTCCTCCGTCCCCGTCCCCTCCGAGGTACAACTCGACAGCATACAGCCCCATGGTTGCGGCAATGTTGACCCATCGCCAGGTGCTGCCACCGGCATCGCCCGCCCGCAGTGTCCACCCGGCATCGTCGCCACTGGAGACGCTGAAATGCTGCAGAAGAAGGCTAGTGTAGACGGCAATGAGCATGGAGGGGGAAAACCAGCTGAGGAACCCAATCAGGCGGTTCGCCCCCTCCGTGTCCTCCAGCGTCGGTTCCTCCATGATCGCCGTTGCGCCCAACTCCCTCACGGCCGGTATGATCCGCGTGGCGCAATAGAATACAATGATACGGTACGTTAGCGAGATGATGACGCTGGGCGTTATGGTCTGGAATGCGGCGTAGAGGAACTGGAATGATGAGCTCACGGCCGTGGGTAGGCTGCTCAGCATATGCATCAGTGTCGAGTACGAGGCCATGATAATCGGGGGTAACGGCGGGAAGTCGGGCTGCGCCGCGGCTGCCTGCTCTGCCGCGGCTGCAGCCTCGGCCGACGGTTGGTAATCGGTAAAGATCTGGTAGACGCAGAGGACGGCGTAGGCGAATAGCAGGGAGGATTCTACGGGATTTCCGCGTCCGCTGGCGATGCCGAAAGCGCACAGGAAGGCGGCTGATGTCATGGCGACCCCGATAAGAGTGGCATCCAGGTTGCTGACTTGCGGGAAGGAAATTACACGCCACAAGAAATAGACGGCGCTTGAAATGATGGAACCGGAGAAGACGAGGAGGATGATCTGCAGTTCATTTAGTAACGGGCCTTGCCTCTAGGACCGGCGTACTCACCACCCATGTGTCACTCCTCCCGCGGTTGACGAGCCACCTTGTAATCTGGCCGGCGGCCTGGATGACCAGCAGGCTGCAGAAGCCCTCAAGCAGCTGGAAAACAGGGCTCGAATAGCTCAGGGTGTTGTCCCATGCGCCTAGTGCCACCGTTTCGATAAATCCCTCCTGGCCAAAAAACCACTGCTTCCAGGTCTTATGGTGTGTCGATGTAATTTGGGAGAACGTTCGCGCTACCCAGCCGGTGCTCTCGGCATCGACCGAGAAGCGGTTCAGCGACCAAATCAACAGCGTCGGGATGACTACCCATTGTGACAGACCGACCAGATTCCTGAAGAACCACCGTACGCGCGACTTTTCTGGTGTTAACAGCTTTGCGATGCTGTAGAAGAAGTAGAACAAGAAGAGCGCCAGCGAGTAGGCTAGCCCGGCATCGCGGCCCCCGACGTCAAAGGCGATGGGTATTGAGAGGACGATGCTGAGTAGGAAGATAGCGCTCGAGCACGCGCTAATGAACCACCACATCGTAGCGGTGACCGATTGTGACGCCCGGGAACCGGAGCCAACGGCGAGGGATATGTTTTCGTCGACGTTCGGTCGTGGTAGACAGTCGCGGGGTGCTCGTGACAAGCGGGCTCGGCACTGTGCGCCCACTTGTTGAAGGGGTGGGGTAGAAATTGGAAGGCGAGAACGATCGAGCAGCCGAGGTGTAGTTATACTACAGCAACAAGCTCCCACGATCGGCCGACGGTGTTCGCCGTCTCGTCAACGTAGGCGGTGAATGCGATGGCGCGATACAGTTCGCGGCTTAAGCGGTGGTCGAAAGAATCGATTCGTCAATGGTCTGGGGTATCGGTCTGTGGCCCATTTGGTTCCCAATGTTTCGCATGAATGGTGGGGAGCTGGCGGCCGGCGGTTTGGAGTGACGCCGTCGTCGAGATATAGCACTGAAAATTCGTAAAGCTTGTCGTTTCTTTGGACCTTTTTTCAAGAAGGTTTCTCTGAGAGTTTTCCTTGTCCACCGTGTCCAAAAAAAGAAGCGTGCCCTGCGCCAAAATTTAGAGTGTCCACTGTTATCTGCACGTGTGTCCAGTCGCAGCTGCAGCTCAGGTCGACCCCGGCATTGACTGCATCGTCCGATCTGATGGCTGGACCTGTCCCGGCAAACGATCTCTGAGCATGGCCACGCGAATCGAAGATGGAGATCTGGTTCCCGGGCGTTGGAGGAAGAGGCTGCTGTTGGCGTGTCGCATGTGCCGGAATCTTGTTGGAAATGATTGACGCAAGACTCGGGAATGCAGCTAGGCCCCTGAGCGAGCAGCATCTCACCGCCTCAGTTAATGCATGCGCCAGCGGTCTTGGCATCGTTCAGCGGCATGTGACAGCCTGTCACCCGCCAACCACGAGCGTCGATAGCGACAACGTCAACTGGCCCTTTTCTCACGATGGACGGATTAAGGGCTTTCTGCTCGGTATGCACCAACCAGGGCTCCCTTACATAGTAAGCCCACATGATTCACACACACCAGCGCACACCTTTCGGAGCGAGTGGATTCCGGGTTTGTGGTCGAAGGTGGGTCTCCGCTCCGGCCGCCGTGATGATGCCATTTGAACCGGGGACCGGGATGCAACCAGGCGCTCGGGCCCGATCGGGATGCTCACATACCTCTCCTTCGCTTCACACTTGCCGTTGAAACCATAGTTGGGAGTGCCGTGACATTAACACGCCAAGTGTCTCTCATCGGCCCAGGAAATGCGGGGGTGGGTAGCTGTGTTTGAGTTGTCTATCAAAGGTTAACCGCCCGTTCACGCCATATACCTAGGTAGTACTTTTGCTGTCTCCATATGTAGTTAGTTAAACATCAGTATCTCTGCTTAGAGCCGGGCCGGTCCCAGTCAGGTAGTCACTCTCCTCCCCAGATTGGAATTAGACACCGGTTTCGCCCAGCAGCATTGTGAGAGGGCCGGTTCGGCTCCGACGCCTGACGTAGAAACGTAGTTTTTGGGGTTTTCGTAGCCATCAACCTCCATACAAACGGCGAACGGGTCCCATGGTGAGCTTTCTATTTTCGTTTCCCAGCTCTCTATCTATTATCTTTCCCCTCATTCTACATGGTCCAGCGAGTTCATCGGGCAAACGCGTGTTCTGAGAGAGGTCGTGAACCCGCAGTATCTGAGTCACTTATTCGTGACCTTATCGTTTCGCTCAGGTCATTGATGTAAGAGCTCATCCTAATACTGCCGTGTTTATCACCGGGAAGATCACTATATTCCTACCTCGGGCAAAGTCCATCGATCTCATGGCCGGCTTACATTCAAGCATGGTTACGGCACCCAAACCTTCCCAACAGCAACACAACAGCAACACGGTGTGTAAAATAGCAAGACAAACACTGAAGCCATCCAGAAAGCCCTTCATGCTTGGTGCGGCGATCCCCTCGCCTCAGTCTTTTTATTGGCGCCCGCGGAACTGCTCCCAGACGCGTTGCAACCAGGGTGGCGAGACCTGATGCCCTGCACTGCGGCCTTCCAAAACACTCGGCTCAGCTAGGTTAGCAACGGGAACTAGCCAACCCCCCAACCCTTCCGCCAGGCGGTCACTGACTGTTGGTTGTGTGGAGTACTGCTAAGCAGCCCTGCCAAAACTTCACACGAGCCCAGTCCACGTGCGTTCCCCATTAGTCCCCCTTGTCGTCATGTTACGCCTGACTTTTGCCATGCCGCTGGGAGCGGACGAATACAAGAACTGAAAAGAAAAGGCAGGAATGAGTGACAGCCATGCCATGCGCATGCGATGTTACCTTGGTAGCCAAATCGCCCCAGAACAAGTGTGAATGGAGGACGATGGTTTGATGACTCGGCACACAAGGGCTAAACAAGGACTGACGCACAGTAAACAGTATACGTAGGACATGGTGGTTCGTAACCATGACCGTACATGCTAGGCATGTCCCAATGGATGCATGGTGTGGTGGTATCAAACCCCCACGACACCAAAAACCCGTCATGGCCATCCAAGAAAAACCAAACGGGAGCAGATGATATTGGACGCCGGCGTTCAAGCGAACCAGTAAGCCGCCTGAAGCATCCTCAAACCAGAAGTCAGGAGCAAGGAAGAACGATCGACGTTGTACACAGACTACGACCGGTTTCCAACGAGGCTGCACGACAGCGGCCCACCTCTCACTCACTCCACAAGACGAACGGGAGATCGACAGCCAGCCCCAAACCACTTGGGGTATGAAACACGTCCAAATCCCTCGGCAGATGATGGCAGGGCATCTCCAGTCTGGGCCTTCCTGCATATGCTACATGTAGAGAGAAGAGCCGGTGGCGAAACCCCTATGACGACAGCGGCGCATCGCATTTCGCGCATAACCAACTATGAACACGAATCGCCACATCCATTCGCGGCGGTACCTCAGCTGGAAATACCGGAAACCAAGCTCGAGAACACCCGGCGCGGTTCGCCAAGCGAGCTGATAGGGCTGCATCGGATCCATGTTACTGGACACATGGGAGATGAACGACGGAACAGGCGGTGACCAATAGTTAAGCAGCATCTTGGCGGTACCCAGGGGCCTTTTGGTATGACGGCCCATATCAAGGGAAGTGCAGCTGGAGCAGTGGGTCCGCTTCCGGGCGTGTGTGTCTCACAGATGAAAGGGGTTTTGGGGGCGGGGGGGGGAGAGGGACGAGGCGGAAAAGTGAGGCGGACCACATGGGTCGTGAAAACAAGCCAGTCAGGGCGGGTCTGCCAATTCCCAAAACAGCTCCCGTGCCATCCACGACCTTACGGTAAGGTAGACGTGGGTGGTTCGGACAGACTGGGCGGTGTAGCTGACGAAAAGGGTATGTGGTTTGTATGGCCTTGGACGAAGCCTTCTCGACCATGGACGTACCTTCACCGGACAGGCCTCGGCCGTAGGGCCCCTTGTACGAGACCATAAATAGGGACCACCCCGCATGTTTTTCAGACAGGAACGCAGAAGGAAGCAACGTACACTTGATTGACCCGCCGTCATCCCCCGAGATTCCCCCCTGCCCACCATGTCGTCGTCTTCCTCCATGAACAAATACTGGATCCCACATTTGGACATCCACAAGAAAGTCATCACCCAGGAGCTACAATACTACCTCGGGCCGGAGGCGACAGTGCGGTCCTTCACTCGCGAGGTGCGTTACTCGATCCGCCTGGCTCCGACGGAATCCGGGGGCTAACGGCTACAGGGAGAGGATGGTTTCTTGATCACAACACCAGGACCTTGCCTGACAGATGTGAGCCACCCGATTACGCGGCGAAACCCAAACCCAACCGCGAGGTTGACATCCCACCCCCTAGGAGCAAATAGACGACATATGTGTCAAGTCCAAAGAGATGTGGGAAAAACAAGCAGCAGCCAGGGCGTCCGGGACGGCGAACAAAGTCCTCAAGCGGCCACTCCATCAGCCCGTGGTCATGTCGAAGGCCGGCGCGAGTGATTCGACAAGGCGGAGGAGAGAGAGCCGAAGGAGTACCGAGTCCAGAAGCCGACGTGATGAGAGACGGAGAAACTGATAATGATACCCCAATGGAAGCCCAACCCAGGCCATGGTTTGTTGGCACCTAATGATGGATGCGGGGAGCCGGAGGGTAAACCTGCAGGGAGTTGTCTTGCGAAAGAGGCACCGGGGTTGGTGTTCCACTATTCAATGGGTTCGGCCGATGTTTGTGGAAGGGGGAGGTAGGAGAGTGAATGCATGGCGCACAGTACTTGATATTGGCCGCCAAGGATGCAGCTGCAAGATCAGACTGTGGCATGGCGGTCAGGGGGTTTTAGCTTCGGACCAGCAATATTGTGCCATCTGGCATGCCGCGACTGCAATGGACATCGGATTTCCCCCTGTGTTTGGCGGAGAACTGCATGTGTATGTCGGATCCTGCAGCCGAACCGAGGGCTAGTAAGCTTTTGAACAGACAGGGAACCCCAATTGGGCTGGGTCCGTATCCCTGTGCATTTTAGACGGGGCGAGACTCAGCGACGGTTGAAACTGGAGATCGTGAAGATGCTGGGTCATCGCGGCCAGCTTTGCGCAGGTATCTGTGGCAGGCTTGCACTGGTCTGTATCCCGCACTGCCGCAGAAATGTCGATTGTCGCATCACGCCCTCTCCGCCCACCCAACCCCGAAGACTCCATTGACGGCCAACCACGGTACTGCGAGAACATAGTGGCCTCTGAAAAATATGGTGAATTAAACACGATTGTGTTTACTCTCCATAAATAAGGCCATGGCCCGGGATGTGTGGAGAGCAGGAACGCCCGGGTTGCGCTCCCGCTCAATGTGGTCTCACAGCATATGCTGTGCCACGCTGACTGAGTTCGAGCTGGTGGTGCTCCCATAGCAAGAGCTGTGTCCTGCCCCCGGAAAGCGCAGGAAAAGGGGGGGAGGCGATCCGAAAGGTAACCAGTTCTGAGTTAGCGCGCTCTCCCCGCTGAGCTCGAGGATTTTCTCCTCGGATAATGATTGAGGCAGCATGTCTCGCAGTGCCACACCAGGTGACGATACCTCGAGTAATGCCGTTTGATGGGAAAAGTGTAGATCAAGAAGTGACGCGGCCCGTGGCTCGGGTAGCTTGCTCGATGACCTTGACCGATGTTTCGTATCTGCGTATATCGAAGGGCCCGGCCGACCACAGAAGGACCGCCTGAGTATGAACCGCAAGGCTTCCACGGCTTAACTCTCCGCTTGAGGTTATCGGAGCGGTATCAGTGATATAACCGATGACATTTACCCACTCTCCCACGCGGGTCTGTTCCGATCCGAGGCTTTCGAGAACCAATTTCACATCCACGAAGGTGAGGACGGAGTGAGTGTCTTCCGGCAAACGGTGCTCCAGCGCCAAAAGTCCAGACTCTGGCGAGTAGGATGTTACACTGTAGGTATCTAGTCAGTATGGGTTGTGAAGGTACCAGCCGAGCCACTACAGCCGTCCGCGGATGCTTGGGCGGGACGATTTAGAACCATCTGTCTGATCTCACGGGTGCTATAAACGGGAAACATGATGGCTCGTGACCAGGAGAGAGAAGAACTTACCACCCTAAGAATCGAACTTTATCCCCCGTCTCTTTCCGCGGCAGCGATGAGAGCAGGCATAACTGGGACGGGCGTGGACCGTACGACGACATGGTGATTGTGCGGCCCGGGCACGGTCAACACATTCTACATTGAACTTTAGCGTTGGAGTCCGAAACTCCGACTTCAGCTGGGCGCTTGTCCAGGTAGCTGAAGAAAATCGGTTCCCACGGTAAGGAAGGTGTACCGAGCGGCACAGATAACAAGGGCGCCTTCCGAATGCTGAACGTCGTCAATTTCTCTTATGTGGTGCCGTGCCTTCCCATCGTCTCGAACGAACTCCTGTGTCACATGACTCGTCGGCATGGTCGGTTAAATCCCGGGTTGGACCGGGCTTCCATGCGCGCGTGCCGCAATTGCCCGTCGACCCAGCAGCGGCCTTGTTGGCCACGCCTTGCATCATACCCCCGATAGGCAGCCTTGCTCAACCTTCAGGCAATTCCCGTATGCTTTCGTCACCCGCAGCGTTTACTCCTATTTCGACACATTTCGAACGAGGCAGCCTGCTCAGCTGGCGCGTTCTCTCCTTCGCGACCATTCGATAAGCGAACGATAAAACTGCCTGTAGTCAGGTTCGACCCCGCCAAAACACCGCGAGGCGTCATCGGCACAGCTGATCAGGTGCCCCTGCCCTCCCGCTAATACTCCAACAAACCCCGAGTCTGACCTCGATTCCGACCCCGGACTCTCCACCTCGCCTAGACCACCGTCTCCCGCCAATTCCGACTCGACAAACTCGCCATGTCAGGTATCTGGGGCTGGTTTGGCGGTGGCGCCGCGCAGAAGCGGAAAGACACGCCCAAGAATGTCATCCTCGACTTGCGGACGCAGCTGGAGATGCTGCAGAAGCGCGAAATGCATCTCACACGTCAGATCGAGGAACAGGAACAGATCGCGCGAAAAAATGTCAACACAAACAAGACCAGTATGGCTCCCCTGTCGATGCTCGCTCCTATGCGACGAGAGTGCTGACCCATGGAACCCAACAGCTGCGAAAGCGGCACTACGACGCAAGAAGGTCCACGAACACAATCTCGAGCAGACACTAAACCACATCGGAACCATCGAGCAGCAAGTGAACGCGATCGAGTCGGCAAATATCAACCAAGAGACGTTCATGGCTATGCAACGGGCAGGCGATGCCATGAAAACCATACACGGCAAACTCACACCGACCAAGGTTGACGAAACGATGTAGGTCATTCCCTATATATAGCACGGGCTAGTACTAACCCCGCTGGCAGGGATACACTGCAGGAGTACAACCGGCTCAATGAAGAGATCGCAGATGCAATGGGCAGCATCAGCGTGGGCCCGCAACTCGACGACACAGAACTGGAGGATGAGCTTGAGGCACTCCAGCAGCAGGAGCTCGAAGACAAAATGTTGGAAACGGGCGCCGTCCCTGTAGACTCCATCCAGCGGTTGCCGGCTGTGGCGAACGGAGATAGTAAGTTAATACATGCTCGGATAACCCTGGTGCTGGACCAGACTTTGCTAATGCCGTTCTAGTCAAGGGCAAGGCACCTGTGGCTGCCGAGGACGACGAAGAAGCGGAACTCAGGAGGTTGCAAGCCGAAATGGCTATGTGATCGTCGAGACTCGCGCCAAGATGGCGTGGCCTCGCTGTCACTTGCGTGGAGTAATACGAACCGGTTTTCGATTTGTCGCGGTCTCCCTCCCATCAGTTATGAGCATATGGGAGGAGGGTTGGCTGCTGGTGGATGGTATAGGTACTGTTTCCGCGTAAGTATGAACATGACTTTGGGAGTTTTGCCTTAGCTGAGGAGGGACGGCGTTTGAGGTTCGGGATTTGACGTAGTTATGGGAGCTCACGGGGGACATTTCAGATGCAACTTGGTTAAAGTAGTACGAACCCTTGATACACTAGACCCTTCCATTGACTTGCTCGGAACTCTAACGGGCTTGTTTGTTGGGGCACTGACATGGTCGTCGTCGAACACCCAAAACCTCTTTCGTCCATGACCAATGACCCCCAGCCCCGTTAGGAAACAAGGGACCTACACCGTCTTTATGCTGCCTGGAGCCACAATCAAACGCTTAGAGTGTCCAGCCTCAACAAATTTGGCCAAATCATTGCCATCGTCAGCGGCAGCGGTTCTTTTATCGTCGAGAAGGGAAAACGCAAAGGAAGAATGGTATCTGATACAGATGAGAAATGGGGCAAGACGAGGTCTACTGTCTTCGGGTTTGCTACACTGGGTTCCACCCTCGTCGGTCACAAGAACATAATTACCATACCGATCGTAAAGGTATTATCGAAACTCCACGTTCCATCCTCGGTCATCGACAGCAGTTCCTCGGGATCTATCTGAACGCTCTACCTGGCAGAAGACCACGGGCAAGGAAGCTCTCCCAGTATACGCGGAGAGTTGTAGATTCACAGCTTGGGTTGCTTCCACGTTGCGCAGTTGGTTGCTGAGCGATTCTTGCGGCTAGAACCATGATACGCAAGAGGCCAACTGCCTTTCATAATTCGGTTGCCTCCACAGCAACTCCCAGGTTTCCGTTACGCCGCCTCTGCACATCGGGCCGCATCCTCCCACCCGAACCTTGCCAGCCAGACCCTGGAAAAGTCTTTGTACAGGTGATACTTGAGCCCGGAAGGTACAGCTGGAGAGAACGCGCCGGGGTGAGCACATGGTAGAAAACTATCGAAAGGCTTAATTCATGGGAATTGTAGGAAACCGCTGTGCGCTAGAGGACACTGAAACCGTGAGACGCACTTGAAGTGGTTCCAGAGCTCGATGCTCGTTGTTTATCCGATCTCAGCAAACAGGAGCTAAACCATCGTAAATCTGAGATTCACGGTACGAAGCACAGTGGAACTTCCGTCGCTTGTTGCTGAAAGAATGGTGTGGGCTGGCTGGCGGTTGAGCCTTCGAAGCCATTGTTGCCGTTCCTCAACCACGAAATGTCGAGTTTTGCAGATGGATTTGAAGTGAAACACATCGCATATTTGGCGACAAACACTCAAATTGAAGTCTAATTTGCTCGTACTTAGTGTCGCCACAAGTTTTGGTTGGTGCGGTCGAGCCACGCCGACCATCCGAGCTTTAGAGAAAACTTATCACCTCCGAGCTGTCCACGTGAGTCCCCAACACATCAGTGTCGGTCAAAACAAGCCATTGGCCAGATTGGAGGGAATTGGCTATCTATTTGGAGAGCAATATGATTGTTATAACTGGGCTGGTTCGCTCCGGTTAGATGAGTCTTCCTGTCCAAATCAGTGTATTCCGTATCTGATGGGTTCCCAGAAGACGGGCAGTTCGAACTCCCACCACGGTACGGTACACACGTGATATTCGGGACGGAATTCGCGGGAGGTGAGCCTTGAAATTTCAGCGTCAACTCCGGCTTTTTCGAACTCAAATTTGGTTGTCTTGCGGGGTGTAAAACGGAATCCGGATGACTGTACGAAGCAGATTACAGACAGTCAGTTCGCCTAACCTCGTCGATTTCGTCGCCAAAACACACCGCCTCTTGTCGTGTTTTGCGGTGAAAGATTATGGTGTCGCGTTTTCCGGAGCTCGGCAAACTCGCCGAGGTCAACGTTCCTCGCCAGGTTGTTAGCGCGGGACATGGTATCAACCCCTGCCTAGCGCCATTGCGAGCGGTCAGACGATCCCCGCAGAGGTCCCAAGGCTAACAGATCGGATTCTCTGCCTACTCCCGTTCACTCTGACTTGGCAACGAGTGCTTTTTTCTCAGCACCCGATATTTACCAACCGTATCGAGGAGAGTTCCAGACATCGGAATATTGCGCGACACCGAGCTCGGTGCAAGCAATGAAAAAATTTAGGGTTGCTGCGTTGGCTGGGACCCGCCCCGGTCAATGCCCCACGCTCCGTCCCGATGTCGCTAGCGGCCCCACAGAGCTAAGGTACCTTCGCGGTTAGACTGGCCGTCCTGCAGGGATTCCACAAGCGACAAGCCAGCGAACAACCACGTAGCACACCGCAACACCACACGACAGCACTTGCACCACCACCATCACCCCGGACTCGCTGGACGGGGGGCAGTGTATCACCGCACTGATTCTCATTTTCGGCCGGCCGGAAGGGTATATACACAGGACCTTTCCCGTCGCCACACCACCATCTCGACGCAGCGTCTGTTGTGTCTGCAATGCCGCACTGGACCGGCATCCCGAAACAGGGCACACCAAGAAGCTCACCTCGGCCGAGTGTGGAAGCGCCGCGTGATGGCTCAATGGCTGCCCAATGTTGCGCCAATTCCCCAATGCTTCCCGACCAATAATTGGGCGCGAGGCTTTCTCAATGCCTCTGATATCCGCTCACCAGTTGGGCGAGTCCGTCGACTGACCGGGCAGAATGGAGACCCGGCAAGCTTTTTACCGTGAATACCAGGCACGGATTGTTCTTCTCCGCTCGGCTCTAAGCTTGGACTGGTGTCCTCCTCGTCACGAGCCATTGCGAGTTTGTGATTGCCCACGCTGCTTGCCGAATGCGTCTCTATCGATTGGGCAGCAGCCTCGCCCTGTGTCGTCGTGATCGTTTCCGATCCAAGTGATTGATGGGCTCGGTGTCCAACCCCCGTTGCAGACGTGGCGCCACTGCAGCTGGGTGGGCCAATGCCTCGTCCTCAGTCCAGTCAATCCCCTCAATCCAGTCACTTGAGGTCTCACGACCCCGCGCATTGAGTCTGTCCTGTTGCGTGGGGTTTGAGTCTCCATGCCGATGGGATTGGGGGGTGATTGCCGTGGTGGGATAAAGCAGTTCTTGCCAAGACCCGACCCAATGGCCATTTCACTGACCTGCCCCTCCCTCCAGGGTCCCTCCTTCCCGAATTGTCTCCCCTCCTCGTCCCAATTCTGAGTAACAGTCCAAGAAGTGCAAGGTTTTTCCTTTTCACATATTGCAGCCCCACGGGAGCTGTGAAGCGCGTTGACTTTTCCTCAAAGCCAAAAACCCAACACCGGGCCTCTCCCGAGCATCCCGTTTGTTTACTTTTGATTTTGACCACCGGTGCGAGAATTGTCACGGCCAACCACAGACCGTGACACCATCAAGAAACCTACTCTCGGTTGCAATCGCGTCAGCAGCTCTGCATACATTAAACCCCCATTTACCCAACCCGACCACTGGCCGTGAGACACTC